CTAGTGTATGCGTTTACGACTCTTCGGCTTACTTCATTCTCGACATGGCTACTAATCTAGAGATACTCATCTTTGGAGACGTCGAGCCGGATTCCATGTCACTCTCCCCTCGCAATCAAACGATTTGGGAGGAAGCTGCACCAAAGATAGTAGCTGGCCAACTCGCAGCCATTTTCATCGAATGCTCATACGACGACTCGCACTCTGATGATCGCTTATTTGGTCATCTGAAGCCCCGTTATGTGATGGAAGAGATGCACGCACTAGCTCAGGCTGTTGAGGAGGCGCGAGGAGACGCCCATGCCTCCCGGAAGCGGAAGCGTCTAGCAGAACCCGACACGATACCACGACGACGGACAGGAGGCGCCTTTTCGCGCCTTGCAAGTGGCGACGAGTCCCCAATCAGCCCCAAATCCGTGGCCAAGCGTGCTGTGTCTGCAGATATTGGCCACGTACCACCACTGCCACCCGCCGCTACATCGGTAGAGAGCCCGCATCTGACAACTCCTACACAGGAACTGTCTCTGCGTGAGATTGAGGGATGGAGCGAGACGGAGGATGGGCACTCCAAGGGCCCACCTCTCAAGGGTATTAAAGTTGTCATCATCCACGTCAAGGACCGCCCGGATGGAAGGGACCAAGGAAAACTAATTTTGCAAGAACTTGAGGCATACGAAGACGATGCCCAACTGGGGTGCGAGTTTATTGTTTCTCACGCAGGGCAGAGTCTCTACCTTTGAACGAGTTTGGCTGGCGTTTGGGCGCAGGATGGCTTAGATGCCGAGTTCATGAAGATACGAATAGCATGAGGTTCTCACGATGAGGATGAGTGCGATGGGGTTATCTGGGAGTTTTCCATGGGGGAGACAAGTGGAGGCAAGGGTACTCCGTATATATACCGTGTATTTTCGCGCACCATCTGTCGCATTCTATATATCCAGCGGCGGCCGTGATGTTGACGGACCGCCGAGTCTTCTTTGATTGCCACCTAATTTCTATATATTATTTCTCTGGGCCGAATGCGCATTGCCGTGTTGTGGATTCTCTTGCGATACCACCTTTATCTGGATAAACATGTGCGCGTGTCGGTTCTTGAAAGAAATTTCGTCATGAGCCTCTATTGCTCGCCCTTCTTGAGCTTCTCGTAGCCTTCCTCGCCACCAATGTTGCTATCCCATTCCGCTCTCGGGATCTCCAAAACCTCGGTGGTGCGGCCGTAGGTGATGCCTCCTAACCTGCTGACAGGGCGAAGTACCTAAGGTTATCAAGTCAGATTTGGTGTTCTTCCGTATAACCAAGAAGACGCACAGGCGAAAGTGGAAAGACTTACAGTAGGATCAACAATGTTCTTCTGCTCATTGATAGCATCCTCCCTCACCCAAAAGTTGACACCCTCAATAAACGCAGTGACACCACTCTTCTTCCCCGGCGTAGCGCGCGAATCCCACTCCTTTACAAAGTCCAACTTTCCCTCGACGCTGAAGACGGCCTCCTTGACGCGCGCGGCTTTCACGTGCTTGCAGTCGTACACGGGCGTCAAACCGCTGACGTCCCATTCTGATTTCCCATAGGGCGCGTTGACGGAGGTGGAGTTTGCGGCCTCGAGGAAGCCCTCGGAGATGATGTTGATGACGCACTCTTTACTCTCCAACAAGCACTTTAGCGAATCCTTTGGCTTCTCGATGGAGGCGGCGAAGCCGACTACGAACATTGGCGGGTCGTGGTTCACCATGTTGAAGTAGCTAAAGGGCGCGAGGTTTGTTACCGTGCCGTCTGGGGAGCGGGTTGAGAGGAAGGCGATGGGGCGCGGGGTGATTGCCGAGATGAGGAGTTTGTAGTTGAAGCCTGCTGGGCGGCCTTCGGCGTGAGGGTCGATTGCTACGTGTGGTTTTGAGAGGCCTGGTTGGCCTAAGGGGTTTGCGCCGGAGCCGAAGGTCCAGGAGGGGGATATTGTTTTGGTGAAGGTGATGCTGGCGTCGGTGTTGAAGGGGGGCCGGGTGGATTCTACGGATTTGAAGTCTGGGTGGGGGTTGTGGGTTGCTTGGGTGCCGCCGGCGAATTTGGAGTTGTTTTGGGATGTCATTGTGAGGGTTCTGGAGGGTCTTCTTGTCCTGATGCTGCTGATGGTTGGGTTGGTGGTTGGTGTGAGGTTGCGGAAGGGGATGGTGGGTGCTAGACGGAGGACGGCGGTGCGGGATGGCATTGTGGTTGACGGGAGGTAGTAGTAGCTTTATAACGTCGGGATTACGGAACGGGAGTGGGGGAGGGGAGGGGGAACTAAATCTGCGATTGCGGGATGCGGGAATCCACTTTGAGTGTTCTTGACGGGGGAGATGGACGTGGAAACTTTGGGTTTGTCTCCCCTTTCTCTCTGTCTACTTTACTCGATCAAACTTGCGGCAGGTTGCTTACGGATGCTTGCTTTGCTAGCTTACCTGAAGACCCTGAGCCGGTTCCCTGTCTCGGATGGTGGAGTAGATGCCGAGGGGACGGGGTGGTGGGGTGACGTGGAGGTGTCACCCAATTCACGCTGACAATTCCATACAAATTCACAACTTTTTGGAGGGGCAGCAGTTGGAGGGGAGGAGGGGTAACACGCAGGGATCGGGGGGTGCTCCTTGTCCTAATGATGCAATTGACTTGTAGTTGGTCCCCCCGTGCTCCTGAAGTTGGGGTGGTCGCTAGATGCATTACCCGGCACCGGGTATGATTTTGACTGGTTGATGATATTTGGAAACCATTTAACGTCGGTTCCGGCTCTTTTCTCAAGAACGTCGGTGAATCGAATTTCTGGTCATTGACGAATGACAAATTGGCAATTATCGTTCCGCGCGCTGGGATTTGGAGCACGGAGGAGACTCGGGGGATGGAATTCGGAACTCGGAAGGGATCTTGGGTGAACGGGTGTTTGCATGTGGAGAGCAAAAGTGACAAAGACTTGGCTTGCCTTGAATCGTGTGGAGGAAGTCCGTGCTTCATCTACCAGCTCCGAGGTGCTGATAAGATATGCTTATCAAGATAAGCTTTTTTGTCAGCTGTCAGGCACACTCTCCTCCTGTGCAAATACTTTCAACATGGAACCTTCAGTCACACTTTCTTGAAATTGAAGATATAAGGTAAACAGTCTGGTTATAAGTATGCGTAGGCGAGCCAGACATGGTCCGATGTCTCGATCCCAGAGAATGCCAAACACCCCAGTCTTTCCCATGTTGTTGGAGCGATTCGCGATCAACCATCGCCTCTTGAAGAATTTCAAAGCCCCTGATTCTGAGTTTACACCACTGCCCTACCTCTGAGCCCTGACCACTGAGCAATACAGTTTGGTTGTCTCTGTCTCTTACCTCTTGGGCGCACAGGTAGGCACTGGGCTAATCATGTTGTTGGGGGCTGGCTGTAGCGCGTGTGCGCATCTGCTCTGAGATGAAAGTGTCTCAACGGCTGAGCGCGGGGGTAGGTAGCACGGGAAATGCCAAGCGATGGTGTGTGTACAAGACATTCTCCTTGAGACATGAACTCGATGGCATACCATACTTCCCAGTTGAGATTTGCGTTGAGAGGCGAGGAAGCAGAGACAAAAAGATTCCTTGCTGCACGCTGTTGGTTATGCTGATCAACCATTAAGAGAAGCTCCGTGGGGGGACGGAAAGCCTCCTTTTTGAAGCTCAGGTATTCTGCTATCCTCTCATTTAGGTACTCACCCACTCACCGTGTCCCTGGCGTGTAAGTAAGTTACTTTCCCCCGCCATTCCCACCGACACGGCGCGTGGCATGGCGGCCCTCCTCCGCAGCGGGCATTGGCTCTGTTTCGCATGCAAGGACGCACCGCGGCGGTCGATGGAATGCCTCCGGGTGTTTGGCCAAGCCTGTGCAGGAATGGAACGCTGCTCTCTCCTACGCCTAGATAGGTACTCTGATTTGCGTGGGAGCAGGTATGTGCGACCTCAACAATCCGAGCGTGCGTGCAGGTGTAGTATGGGTCAGAATGAGAGATATATATATATCTCAATGGGACCGCCTTGAATCAGCTTTCACAACAAAAACCCGATAGAAGGAGTTCTTCAGAGTCCATACTATCAAGAAGAAAAGGCACCATAAATAATCACAGCCGTCAAAACTCAACTCATCACATCATGAGCGCAATCCGCTCCTCATCCTCAGCCCTCCTCCTCCTCGGAGGCGTCGCAACCCTCCCCGGCGCCGCTTCAGTCCGAAGCCAATTCCCACAACGGAGCAGCACCACACTCTCCACCACCGCGGCAGAGCAAGCCGAGCTGGGGTACATGCAGCAACCACTCGGCCCCGCCAGCAGCGGCCGGACGACGACGCAACAGACCCACACCGCGAAGCGCAGCGGTCCTTCAGGTCTTGGATGGCATGCAACACAAGCCTTATGACTGCCCCGGACGGCGGCGCAGGTTGTTACCATGTCCACGATCCAGGCAGCACGTCCTCGGGGGAAGGACGGTGGTGCCGCGGCTGCGGCGGGGTTTCGGTATAGGTCTGCGGAGGAGGTTGTTGCTGTTGTGTTGGGGCGCAACCAGCAGTATCAGAAGTACTCATCCTTACGGCCTGTGATAAGAGACTGAAAAGTGGTTGATTGGAAGGATGACTGGATAAGAATGCGGTCTTTGGTGGATGAAAATTGCAGCTCAGGGACGAAGGGAAATAGGCGGATCATTTGGTCAAAGAAGGCTACATTTGGAAAATTAAATATCCAGCAAGCGAGGCCAGATCTTGACTGGTGTTATTTCATGGCGTTGGAACTATTGATAGGATCAACGGTTCGGGACTCACAATAGATGGGGAAATGGGAATGGGATTCACGATATCCATCTTGCCTGAGGGCACACACACTTCATGCTCTGTCGCATTATGTAATCATCTCGGAGATTTCGTCCAAGAATCACGTGCACCTGATAAGCTCTTATCGGCAAAGGGTCGTCTCTGTGGAAAGTTTTTGGGCCGACTGCAGTCACTCCCCGTCGCCGCAACAGTCACCAGTTCCAGCCAGTCAAAGTCGGTTTCTTTTTTTTTCGTAGCTGCACGTTGCCCTTCTCCGATGTGTTGATATCCACCAGTTAATTTTTTTTTTGGTCGCCCGTTTCCCTTTTGTGAGCCTTTCCTGCGCTCCCCACACTCCTTCAACTTCATGTACCGCCCGTATACCCAAAGGCATGTGGCGCAAACATTGAATAATCGTTTCCCATACACCTCGCTGTTCCCCCGGAAAGGATCAGCCAGAGCTTTGCCATCTCCATTCCTCGTCTCCACTCGACTGTCCTACCACAGCAGATCCAACAAGAAGACTTCAGATCCCTTTGCCGACGCCTTTGAGTCAAAGTTTGAGGACAAGTTTGAGTCCAAGTTCAAGTCGAAGATTGTCGATTCGCGGCAGGCAAAGACTGGTTTCATCAACAACAAACACGAAGCCAAGCGTCGATTATTGAACAGGGACGCCCCGCTCGCCACCTCGAATCGGACCAAGACACCGTCCGCCGCATTTTCTCGACGAGAGACCGACTGTTTTCCCAGAGAGGCCGAGTCCTTTGGAAGAGACGTAGAACCATTTCGCAGAGACGAGCCAGTTCGCAGAAGCACAGAACACTCCGGTAGAGACGAGCCTTTCCGCAGAGACGACAGAGACGAACCCTCTCGCAGAAATAGAGAACGCTTCCACAGAGACGAGCCCTTTCGCCGCGACGAGGAGCCTTTCCGCAGAGACCAGCCCTCCCGCCGATACGAAGAGCCCTTCAGCAGAGAACGTCGCAGAGATAACGAGCCCTTTCAGCAAAAATACGCTCTGTGTACAAACAAACGCGGCACACGCCCACTGCCCACGGCAGATTTCTTGGCCTCAATCGTAGGGCACAAATACCCCGGTGGTGTCGCCAGGAGAAGCGTCGTCCGTGGTGATCCAGAATCGTTCCCCAACAAACGGGTATTCTGCCTACCGGCCAATTGGAACAAGGTCTCGGCGGAAATTAAAGACTCTTGGATCTACTGCGCCGACTTGATTCAGGGGCCAGAGACGAAACAGACAGAGTACACAAAGCTAGGAGAGCCTGGAGTCCGTGCCGCCATGACGAACTACGTCCAGATCGCGGCGACGCCGACGGCGGATACGGGCCCGGCCCTGATGCTGCACTTTGACCAGCGCCGCTACCTATTTGGCAACATTGCGGAGGGAACACAGCGAGCGTTGAGCCAACGTAAAGTGAGCTTGGGCAAGCTGGAGGTCATGTTTATATCGGGCGCGACCATTCAGCAGAACACTGGCGGCATGATTGGCATGATGCTTACGGTTGCGGATGTTCTTGACGGTAGCAGGAGAGAGGTGCACGAGAGGAACCAGGCGAGGAAGGGCACGGGAAAGAAATTGATCGCGCCCAAGGGTCCCGGGCGAATCGAGATCCACGGTGCCCAGAACCTCGCATACTCCGTCGCAACAGCGAGAGGTTTTGTGTTCAGGAAGGGACTTCCGATTCGCGCCGTTGAGCTGTACGAGGATCCGAGAATCGCCGACCCCGACGCCACCATTCCTGACTGGCAGGACGAGCTCATTCAAGTCTGGAAAGTTCCCATCGCCTCCGATCATGTCAACAAGTCTCGTAAGAGAAGTCACGAGGTCATGACGGCGGAAGATGAAGGCCTATCGAACCCGGCTGGCGCTGTTTCTCCCGAGGAGCAGGCTCTCATTGACCGGGAAGCGATCCAGGGTGTCGTCGAGGGCATGTTCAACTCCAGCTGGACCATGGACAAGTTGTACGAGACGAAGCTTTCCCAGGTCAACCTCCCCGCCACCATCTTCGTCAGAGAGGACGGCAACATCAAGAAGTACGAAGGCCCCATGCCGGGCGGCGATGAACCTGTGCCCGACCTTGACGTCCTTGTACGGTACCCTTGGCCGGCGGCCACAGTTGACAAATTGCCCGCCGCCTCCATCTCAAACAATGCCGTCACCTATATCGTCAAGAACAAGGGCCGAAGAGGCAAGTTCAACGCGGCTGCCGCAAGGGAGCTGGGCGTAAAGCCCACTGACAACAAGAAACTCACCGACGGCGTGTCTGTCGAGGGCAAGGATGGCATTACAGTAACTCCCGAGATGGTCCTCGACGCGCCGATCAAGCCTCAGGGCTTCACAGTCATCGATATCGCAGACGCATCCTACATCGACTCGTTCCTCGGCAGATCAGAATGGCAGAATGCCAACTTGATGGATGGCGTACGAGTCTTCAACTGGATTCTTGGGCCGACCGTCATCGACGACCCGAGAATCCAGAAGTTCATGAAGGAACGACCGGACGTCAAGCATCTCGTCATGTCTACCGACACCAGTCCCAACATGCTGGCGTTGGAATCGTACGCCATCCTCCACGGCTACCTGAGACAGATCGACCCTGATCGCTTCCCGGAACTTGCCTACGACAACAAGGTCCGGGACCTTTCGTATATCGGCCCCAACGTGGAGACTGCTCGCGTCGGCATGAAGGCGAAGCTATCACCTGTTTACGAGCTCGTCGAAGATGAGATCGTGCCCCCAATCTTCAAATTCAAGGGCCACAGCATGGAAGCGGGTGTTATAAAGCTTGCCAAGGAAGCCGCGGACAAGATCAAGGAGCCTGCGTTCCTCAAGGAGATTGAGGAAATTGAGCACGATATCCCTAATCGCGACACAGAAATCATCCCTCTCGGCACTGGATCTGCTGTACCATCAAAGTACCGCAACGTCTCGGCAACCCTGGTCCGGGTACCGCAGTACGGCAACTACCTCTTCGACTGCGGCGAGAACACTCTCGGCCAGCTTCAACGAACATTCGGGGCCGAAGAAACAATCAAGATCCTCCAGGAGACCCGCTGCATCTTCATCAGCCACATGCACGCCGACCACCACCTCGGAACCGCACGATTCCTGCGCGCCTGGAACGAAGCCACCATCAACCTCTCTCCCCAACCCTACCTCGGTCTCATCGGCCCTTGCGCTATGCAGTACTTCCTGATGGAGTACAGCCGCATCGAACCCATCGCCTTCGGACGCGTCAAGATCATCAGAAAGGGCCACTTCTACCCCCACGACGAAGGTCACCTCCCCGCCGGCTGCCCAACACGCCTCGCCTCCGCTCAGCTCGTCCCCGTAAACCACTGCAAGGACGCCTACGCCGGCGTGTTGACCTGGCCCTCGGGCCTCAAGATCGCTTACTCTGGCGACTGCCGCCCCAGCAATTATCTCGTTAAGGCCGGCAAGGGCGCGACGCTGCTGATTCACGAGAGCACTTTCGACAATGACAAGAAGGGCGACGCGATTGCCAAGAAGCATAGCACGCTAGGCGAGGCCCTGAAAGTGGCGAGCAACATGGGCGCGCGCCGCGTGCTGCTCACGCACTTTTCGCAGCGGTACGCTAAGCTGCCGCTTGTCGAGGATCGCAAGACGGATGATGGTGCTGATCAGGCTGTGTTGATGGCGTTTGATCAGATGAGGGTGAAGTTGGGCGAGTTCCGCCAGGCGCAGGCTTTCTTGCCTGCTATCAGCCGCTATGTGGAGTATGATGCCATGAGGCAGGATGGGGATGGGGATGGGGATGAATAGACAAACACACACCACTCTTAATAGACTTGGACGAACGTGTCCTTTTACGTTTGCGTACCTCACTCTCTCCAAGTTCCTATGGTGATGTAATGACGACTAGCTAGGTAAGCAAAAGTCAAGAGATCCAGACTGGCAAAAGAGTTCACCCCGCCTCACCACCCCTCACCCCCCGGTGCTGAACTGGGGGCTACATCTCTGGTGCTCATGCTGGGATTCGAACTCGGGTACTCGCTGAGCCTGTCGTCGAGTAGGCTGGTTAGTGTGAATAATTGATTGTTGACCGTTAACCATTCCACCATCCACGCCACAGTTTGACCTGACCCCCGGCCTAGGGGGCGCCTGCTGTGCTGGTGACAGGAATTGACTTGGAGGGGTATATGAGGGCTTCTCTTCTCGTTTATTCGTGTGTGTATTCGGGTGGTGGAAACTGAGAGGGTCTTGTCGGGGTTGAGGCAGGTACGTCTCGTCGAGGAGGAATTTGGGAAGGAGCGATGGGACAGCCCGTTTCTGGTATCCCTAGGTACCTAGTACTTACTGCATCGTGACTTGGGACTTTGCCATGGGATTCTATAGACATTAATCACGTGGTGCTCGCTTCCCCTTAGGTTAAGTTCATAAAGTACTAGCTAGTGGAAGTAGGCGCTCGGGAGTTTAGACCTCTGAGCTTGGTTTGGTCTCTTGATTCTCGGCTACCAGACTGGTCAAAGTTGCTTTTCAATGAACAAGCAAGCATGCGTTTACCTCACTACCTAGCCCTCTCCTACTTCAAGAAGTTGTCTCAAAGAATGTTTGTCAGGAACATAACCAGATCATTACACACCAGAGAGGGGAAACAACCACCGCAGCGTCTTTGATAGCTCACTTCCAAGACCAGGGGTATCTGTCAATCATGTCGGTGACGGGCAAGGCGACGAGGCTCACATTGTAACCCACAAGCTAGACTCCTACTTCCACCTTCGAGCCCTCAGAGTCAGATGTGGAGTATTGAAGGTCTAGAGGGTTTGGTGGCAATCCTCACTCAAGGGGAATGCCATCCTAGCGATGGATTCCACCATGACGGAAGGTCCCTTTTCGAGGTGGTGGGCAGTAGGCTTGATTCGCGGTTACGTAGTCGTACACGACATGCTGGTTACGAAGAAAAGGAGAAGGCGTGGTGAAAACAAAGAGGATGAGGAAGAGACACGATTAGTTAGCTTCGGGGTAGGATATCAAGGTACCGCAGGTTTATAAAGTATGCCCATGGCGAGCGCCACTGAGCAAAGAGGAAGCCATCACGGTTGCACAAAGACCATCCATACTCCACATTCCCTATAGCTCAACAAGTTGGAAGGTCTGTCGGGGTGGTTGCGAAACGTCAGTCTTGGCCAAGTGGTTAAGAGTGTGACCTCATGACCACAGATCGCAAGCTGAAATCAATCTAAGACCTCGACCCCCGGCGTCTGGCCGAGGCAGACATAATTTGCCATTTTGCCAATTGGAGTCTTCTTTTTCTTTTGTGAAACTAGTGATTTCCTTTTTTTTTTTTTTTTTTCTTTCTTTGTTAAGCTCTGTGATATCAATGGCTTGGATTCTACAGGGAGGAGACGACTGCCAGATATTCTGCCATTCTGCCAGTTCGAATCCCCCTTTCGTCACTTTTTTTCTTTGGTGCTTGATGGTACTCGGATGATCTATTTTCTTTTTTTCTATCTGCTAATCTCCGTAACATAAATGGCTTAATTCTACATGAAGAAGGCCACTGCTAGGCCAAGTCCTAAGAGACTATCAATTCCTCTCAACCTCGACCCCGCCGCCGTTGGAACAGACGGCGAGCTCGTCGTAGTAATCGTCCCGTTCCTACTACCTCTTGCTCCCGTTGCAGCGGGTGGTGTCGGCGTAGAAGGGTCCACCAACAGCGTGGTCGGCATGCTCACAATCGTCGTCGGCGGCGCGATTCCCTCCTCATCACCACTGCTGCTAGGTTGCGGTGCCGAAGTCGGAGCCGAGTTCGGAGCTGTAGGGGCAGCCGCCGACGCGGACGGGGTGGTAGCCGGGAGCTTCGTCGGCACCAAGGACGCGGCGGGCTGCGATGCTGCTACCGCCGATGATGAAGCCGGGGGCGTCGCGGGCGTCGAGACGTTCTGCTCCGTGTTGGCCCACGTGTCGAGAACGCACTGCTTCATGAGGTTGTTATCGGTGTAGGTGTTGCCCGACTTCTTGGGCGTCAGGCTGAGGACGTAGTCGGTGCTGAAGCTACCGGCCGCCCAGCCTACGAGGCCGATGAAGACGTCTGAGTTTTGGTTGATGAAGGTGTTTTGGGCGCAGAAGCTTGTGAAGCACTGGTTTTCCATCTGTTAGTCTGTGCCGTTCTCCTAACAAGAATGAGAAGATTGTTGGCTTACTGTAGCATCACTCGAGGCGCCCGTCTCGCTGACCAACCCTTTACGCCCCTTGGTCCTCAAGAACTCAGCCACCGTCCTGAAGCTCTCGACGTTGTCCGTCGTGCAGGGTTTATGCGTGCCACTGTTATCCTCATCGAGATACTTGTGCACATCAAGAATCAAATTATCCGTCGTCCCATCGGGGTTCGTAATCGCAGCCAACGCCTCCGCGCTCCCACTGCTCACGAGGAACTCGGCCGAGTTGAAGTTCGTGCCCGGCAGCAGAATCATATGCGACGCCGCGCCAGCCCCGCGAATTGCAGTGACAACCTTTTGGCACGTCGCCGCCCAGAGCTTGACGTCGAGGTCGTGCGGCTCGTTCATGAGCTCAAAGACGACGTTGGCGTTGTCCTTGTACTTTGTCGCGAGCTGCGTCCATAACGAGACGAACTGGTCGTCTGTTGGGCCGCCTTGGCCGATGATGCCGCCGTTCCAGCGGGCAAAGTTGTGTATGTCGAGCATGCAGTGCGCGCCAGTCGCGAGGCACTTTTGCATTACTTGGTCGTATTTGCCAAAGTTGGCGGCGTTGAGTTGGCCGCCTGCTTGGTTGTTGACGAGGAACTGCCATCCGACGGCTGTTGTTTGAATGTTAGTATTATGACTCTTGATGGGTAAGAGAGATTAGGATTTAAACTGACGCAGTCGGAACATGTTGAGCTTGTCGTTCTGGGCAAAGTGGTTCATTTGCCCTTCGCCATCGCCGCCTCCCAGTGAGCTGAGGGGCAGCTGGACTTTACCCAGTGGACAGCTTCCCTGACATCATGTCAGTCTTGTAGTCCTCGATGAGATGCAGACATTGTTGGAGGGGACGGGGCCTACATCAATCTCGCAACCAAAGTCGCCGCCTGAGATCGCAACTCCCTGTTAGGTAAAAAAAGGTTAGACACATCGGTCCGAAGTTCTGTCGTAGATCATGTGAGACTTGCCAAGAACTGCACCCTAGCGCATACTGCCGCCGTCAACCCCAAAAGTGTAAGTGTCTTCGACAACATATTCGATACCTAAGCGAATGGAAAAGAAGCGAAAGTGAAAACGATTTGGTGGTTGTCAAAAAAAGAAAAAAAAGAAAAAAAAGAAAAAAAAAAAGAGACTCTATCCGAAGAATCGAAGAAAAAGTTGCGGTCCAAGAAGCGAAGGGCGGCACGAAGCAAACACGAAAGGGGGGCTCGGTTTGTAGGAAGTCCTGACAAAAAGGATCAAGAACCGTTTGTACATATGGCAGCGGGGAGCCGCATGACATATCTACTACCGGCAGGCTATCGACAATGCGACTTTGGAAAAGGGAGCGTCCAAGAATAGCAGTCAACCCATGGGCTATATGACATGACACCAGCGAACGGGAGGGCGGGACCGAGAGGGTGAGATGTGGACTTCTCTTCTTCCCCATCATCCACAAACAGCCCAGCTGGGGAGGCACTGGGGGGGGCAGTGAACCTGCGAACAGCAAGTCAGCTGTGAGCAAATGCCCAGCCTGCCATCCGATGGTCGTTTCTGTGCGACAAGATTCATGCGGCGAGCGCCACGAAGCCTGGTCGGACGAGGGCCTGCATCAGACGGTGGTAGTTTCATGTGCGGACACCAAGAGGCTCCCTAGGGTGATCCGCGTCCCGTTACCACCAGGATCCCAGACACGCAATCGCCGGGGTGGGTACTCCAGAATGCAGCCCATTATGTGTGGGAATCAAGCGATTGGGGAGAGGGTCGGGGTAAATGTGATCCGGTACTACCGTACTCCAAAGTCCAAGTTGGGTCGTGAGCCTCAATGAGAAAAGGAGAAGGGGGGGATGGGGATCAAGATGGGACGCACGGCCTCGGGAGCGAATGGGAAGGGGTTCTCGGGCTGACCGGGAGGCGGAGGGTCGGCGTTCCATTGCGTCGGTTTTCGATTGAATGCGGGCTTGGCAGAGGAAGATTGCTGCCAGTGTCGAGCCTGCATTCACAAACGGCGCAAGCCTCGAGACACGCCACAAGCTTCGGTAGGAAATCGTCAGTCTTAACGCAGGTATTGCGCGAGTATCACGGTGATCGGCCGAGTATCTTCGCGTTGGGGCCGTGGTACGGGGTCACTGCCGGCGCGCCGTTGCGTAAGGTACTTATGTTTTGAGCAATAGGAAGGGCTCTGGTAACAGAACTGGCAGCTGGGCGCCCTTCTGCTTTTGTTTGTTGTCGGCCCAGAGTTGGTTCCAATGCCAGAAACTATGCCATCTCCAGCCTGCCTAAGCTACCAATTCAGAAAGGAATTTTGTTTGAACTTTGGCATGGACGAGAGATCCGGTTTCTGTAGTCAAACTATAGCCAAAAGCAGTACATCAGCGCTGGCCACTGGCAATTGACAACTGGCGCGAGAAGATCTGGGCCTAGAGCAAACGCTGGCCGTACGCGTTAGAGGTCACTGCTTTTGATCACTTAGAACTCGTAACAGAGATGCAACAAACACAACTCGGGCCGATGGTTCAGGTGTCTTAACTCGGGGTGTTGTTTGTCTGGTTGCCCCTCCGTCTGAGGTAACGTCGCACAGCAGCAATTAGTGCACCATTCGAACGGCACCGTTGACCAACCTTTATTCCATCATGGATACGTCTGCTTGTCAGCTTCGTGTCTGGCAGAGGGCTAAAAATCTGAGGCCTGGCTTAAGCGCCATCACTTGGATCCGGCGTCTTTTGGTGGACATCCAGGGACGGCCCTGGGATCCTTCGACAGAGCTTCCAAACTTTAGTGCGCCAGCACTGACAGAGGGTCAAAGAGACGTTCCATTGCCGCGTAGGATGTTTCTTTTGTGAGTTGAACAGGACGTGCGGCCAGGAAATAATGAATGATCAGAGTCCTTACAGCGATTGTCGTGAAGAGAATTCGGCTTGTCTGTTGGGTAATCCCATTCGCTGGGACGAGTAAGGGAGCAGTTTCTGGTAGGCCTGCCGCGTGTTCCAGAAGCCCCTGAGAAGCTGACGGGGTAATCCACGCAAGTCCCATTGACCAGAACTCGAGTGCTGACGCAATGCTTGAGCTTCAGAGAGAAGACACTTGTTTATATTCAGCGGTGAACCGCATGATTTGGCAGTCTCAGGGGGAAGTGCTCGGCGTGCTTAAGCGGCCTGAAAGTGAGAGAGAGCAGAGGAGTCCACCCTCTAGACGGACACATTTGCAACGAGACCTGTGCTTGATTACATAATGCCTCTTCAGCTCCATGAAGTGGGCACGGGAACGAGTGCCGGCCACGTGCCGGAGCTCTCGTCGTAGTTCCGGCATACGTTGGAAAATGTCCAAAGACATCTGAGGTATTTGCGAGTAACTTGGCAAAAGACTCATGTAAGTTGTCGACCGATAGCGGACATGATACATCCGCGTTTCTTCGCAATGACTATCAGCAATGGTGACATTGTGGGGCCGCGCGGGTAACAGAACGATAAATACCGGATGATGTCCCCGATGCTTCACATCACATCTACAGCAGATCTCAAAGTAACCGGCATCACTGACAACCTGTCGACGTTATATAACAACCCAACTACGAACGTGACAACATGTCATCTACTCAGAGCTCAAACCCGCCTCTCCTGGATCACATCGTGATCTTGGTCCCCCACCAAGTCCTCGCCTCCCTACCCACCTGGCTCTCAACCGAATTCACCATTCTTACAGGCGGCCGCCACGCCGACGGCCTCACAGAGAACAAGCTCGTTATCTTTGCAGATGGCACCTATCTGGAAATCATCTCCTTCGTCGCGGGCATCAGCCGGGAAGACCGCCTCAAGCACAAGTGGGGTCCGAAACCGGACGGCACCATCATCGACTGGGCCTACTCCCTCAAGGACGAGTCCGGCTTCGCCGAGATCCAGAAGCGGGTGCACGCCGCGCAGTCGCTGGCCGTGTACGAGGATCCCGTGCCTGGCGGGCGCATCAGGCCGGATGGCGAGGAGCTGAAGTGGGCCGTTGCGCTCCCGGACGGTGCTGCCGCCGGAGCCGGAGCCGGAAAAGTGGAGAGGGGCGAGTTGCCGTTTTGGTGCTTTGACCGGACTCCTCGCAAGCTTCGCGTGCCGGATCACGTTCCGGAGAATGTAAAGCACCCGAATGGATCGCTTGGAGTCCACTCGGTGTCGATTGACGTCAGGAGCGAGGATTTCAAGAAGGCGTATGCCGGCATTAACGACCGGGCGGCAGAGGAGGGCGACGATGGTGTCCGACGGTGGACGTTTGATATTCCCGTTCGTCAGTTTGAAGATCCTAGGTATCTCAACATCAAAACCGTCTCTGGTGAGAAGGGGCCTAGACAAGCTATCCGATTCGCTCTGTACACCGCTGCGGGTACGACGAAGCGGTCTATTGGTGGCGACCTTGGCGGAGGCGTCTCAGTTGAGATTGATCTGGTTCCTGTGTCTGGTGGATCCTCCTGAACGTTCAGAACCAAGCGCTGTGAAGACTTGAGACATGTTTATGTAACACATGTCTCTAAGTACTTGTTAGGTTTGACTTTCCAAAGAAAACTTTTGTAGAGTTGATCATGGGAACGAAGAATCAAACGCCTGAAACATTGTCATGTCCCGAAATGTAGCCTAAGCTTGAGGAAAAGAGTTAAACACCACATCAGCTTCTGAGACCGATCATACACCCGCCTACTATACACCGTCTTGTCAAGGCTTACGGGCCTCAAAGCTCTCCTAGTCAGCGTGAAATATCCAATTCTCATAGTCAAGATCAGCAACAGCGGCAATGTACAGGGTGTAGGAAAGGTGTCTCGGCGTTGGTGGTTGGCCGACAATTGTGCACTCTCACAATTTTTGGCCCCACTTTGTTGGTTCGAGGGACAAGAGCAACGACGAGTGACAAAGCTGTTGGATCTTGTATCCAACCTTGTACCAACTCGGATGGGATAATCGAGCTATTGACACCTTCTTCAACGGCGAGGCAACGAAGCGTCTTTCTTAGCAAGGTTGGTGATCATGTCTACCCAGGCGCCACCTGCGATGGATCATATCTACGACACATCCAAAGTTGTCGAAGGCGTAAAGCTGCCAAGCTTGGAAGTTTTAGAGGGTTATGACACGTGTCCGGAGGCCGAGTTTCTTGTATGGCCCGGCCCTGGGTCGCTTCGCGACATCGCGGTCCTGGACACCGCGGGGCTCCCAGTTGAGGCCTTCGCAAGACGGCAGCCGTTTGCTTCTTTCGGCCCCGGCGATGAGCCCACGTCCTTCCATCGTATCGCATCACTACCTGCAGTGTACCCTCTGGTCTCTCGCTTGACCATCGATGTCGACAACCTTGAGGAGCTTCAAGACACATGCTGCCGGATGGCCGAGGAGCACGACTTCGATCGCGACGACGGTGCCGACGAAGATGATGAAACAGACGAGTACTGTATTTGCGAGGGCTGCAAAGAACACCCCTTCAGGTACTACAAGAATCTACCCAAGCTCCACGTGGAAGCCAAGGCGAAGCCGTATGTCACTCTTGGCGACGTCGTGCTCGCCGTCAACGACTGGCTTCCCAAGATCTGGGACGACATACGCCTTGCCGACACTATGACCAACGAAAGTTGGGGTGACCAGTATCCCTTGGCACCCGCGAACACCAAGTTTTGGTTGAATGGCGACTCTCTCTGCTCTTCGGTATACCTCATTCGACAAGGGCCGGATGGTGCCGGAAATCAGGAAGACAGAGAAACACATTGGCGGGAGGTCGCCGCTGGAGTGCTGAAGTCCAAGAGAAATCTTGGTCATAAGGCTGTTGATACGCAGTAGATAGTACATGTAACATGTAGAGGGAAGTGGGGGTTGGGAAGCCTATCCCGTCAACTGCTGGAGATGGCGTGACTACGTCCGTCTCCAGTGACTCTCTAACTTCATTATATTTCGACATTATCGATAGACGGATATGACTGAAATAGGGTCGATTTATCATTTCCCCCCTTGATAAAAGCACGTATCCATGTACTGGCGCTATTTAGCAGTTGATGGGATAACAGTAACTCTTTCCAAGCTTTAAGTGGGTTTGACAATCCAACCCCTAGTATCGAATCGGATACGTGAGACTCTCAACTGGCTTAAATTATTTCTTGTAAATCGATGGTCCTCAACTTTGATATCTTTCAAAGCTCCCGTAATCCCAGCCTTTCACAAGTTCCCTAAAACGTCGAAAAAGGGGTTCGAACTTTGAACACATGGGTATCCGTACGGACTAGGATCTTAAAGAGAAGCTTGTGATTGAAGAACTTGGTTATTTCGGGAGGTGTGTAAGGTGTGGTATGGTTCAGATCCAAGGGGTATGAGACTTGCGTCTTTAAATTGGTCGGCGATACCGTGATTGAAAGAGGACCTTGTTGGATTCGGGAACGTATATAAATAGCCATGCCATAAATTCTGACCAGCTTACACGATCTACCCCAGAGAGTACCGCTATTTTCTTCTTTCAATTGAGCACAATTCCCTGTTAGAACGACTTTAGCCTCAAACATTTAATATGGAAAGACGGCCAGAACCGGTGGCTGCCTTGCAGATGAAACTCATCAAAATCTCCGAGTTCACTCCTGAAGCACCCTCGAACAGTCACCAAGAACCATCGGACTCGAAAGCTGATTCTAAACCTGGACTGGATAAGAAAACCCCGACACCCCTCGCCGAAGCACACTTCCAGGATTGCCTGGACTCCCAAGAGTCATCTCGAGCGCCGACCCCGACCAGCTCGGAAACACCTTCCCTTGGAGAAGCCTTCGGTAGCCTCAAAGAATCGTCGACCCTAGTTATAGTCAGCGGAGACAAAGCCCTCGACAATGACGACGAGACATTCTCACCACCAGCACTGGTCACCATTTTGACGATTTTCTGCCTCTGGTGTGTCTTCGAGTTCTAGGCCAGTTTCTCACAGAAAGTCTTCACCAGCCACTGGTCTGAAATAGTCTTCATTGTTGCGACAATGGTTGCGCTGGCGTCAATGTTCACCCCGCTTAATACCTGGACCGGCCTTGGTTGTGTCGCCTATACCACACTTCACTTTTGTCTACGAAGGCACTATTTCTGAGTAATGGGTGATTGGAATCGTTTTTCTTGGGACTTGAAGGTCATCTGCTTCCTTAACGAAATTGATCACATTGCATTGCAAATCCTCATTATGACATGCATGGTGGGTTGGTTGGGCCCCAAGACATGTCGGGTCGCCTTAAAGAGACATCTACCAGCTTGGACGAAGGAGTTGTTTCCGCACTTCATCGCCAAAAATCTCTGAGAAACGCTGCCGGTGTTTATTGGAGCCTCGGAGTCGTGATGCTGTTGCGAAGGAGAGGTTGGAGGGGTGGGCTTCCGTCATTGATGAATTGATAGGCAGTCTAGGGAGGAAAGACATCACTGTTACTGGCAAATCATAATTATTTGCTGTGATTACTGAATTCTAGACCAACTTTGAACCTGAGACTTATCGACAACACTTTTAGTCATATTGTAGCACTGCTGGCGGCTGCAGCCATTACGTGTATGCGATGCTTGCAAGCGAAAGTACGGTAGCTCATGACTTCGTTCTTCTAGTCATCTTCATTAGTCTGGTTAATTTCAATCATGTTGGCATTGGAATGAATTGACTGCGCATTCAACAGCTCACCTCGGAAGTCTGAGACTCTGGGTGCGGAGTTATGTTTTTGCGTGAGATTGTGTATTTTCTGACGTGTGACTTTGGAACGAAGCTTCTAAGTTCCCGAAACTACGAATCAATTTTGATCACACTATCATGGAGGTTTCAATGGAATGGAGTTGCAGCGGACCGAGCCCAGGATCACGATTTGGGATGGCTCACGGTAGGAAGATACAACGGGTGGAGTGTTCACGGGTAGTCCACTATAGGTAGCTAAGAAATTGAGGCTAAGAAAATGGAGCCAGGAACCAGATCATGTCATCACGCATACATCATCACTCATGATTGCGGGGACATGATGCGGCGAGACAGGAGAAGCTTACACGGCGAAAAATATTCTTTTGCAAGGAAACCAATGGATTTTGTGGGATTTGGTTGAAGTGCTGCATAAGCCTTCGTATCTCCAAAATAAACGATGTTGCTTGACTGCTGTATTACCTTCGAATGGTGTTGCAGCATTGAACTGTTGCGTGAAACCATGAGGCAAAGGTCGGGGCGCATAGCTTGGATCATCATATCAATCGACTGAGATTACAATGTTTTTACTTTTATGTCTATTATTTTTAACTAGTCATAACATCATATCCAGGATTAGAAACCTTTTAGTCTTCCTATCCATGTGCTGTTGCTCCGCCCGCTTCATGAACAAGAAACGAGGCATTTACCGGCAGCAGTAACCGCCGTCAATGACGATGTCGGCACCGGTGGTGTAGGTGCTAGCATCGGAGACGAGGTAGACGTAGGCGCCCTTGAGCTCCTTGGCGTCACCGTTGCGACCCATGGGGATCATGCTCTTCCACAGATCCTGAACCTTCTGCTCGACAAAGTCGGACAGACCAGTGTCAATGTAGCCGGGGGAGATGGAGTTGACACGGGCGAAGTCGCGCCACTCGTTGGCGAGGGAGCGGGCCATGTGGATGCAGCCGGCCTTTGCGACGTTGTAGGAGGTCTGCTCCTGGGGGTAGTTGGCGATGTGGCCGGACATGGAGGCGGTGATGACGAAGGAGCCGGAGCCGCGCTCGCGGAAGTGGGCGCCGACGGCCTTGGCGCAGTACGCGGTGCCGTTCAGGTCGATCTGGATGACGTGGTCCCAGGCCTCCTTGGTGCCGTCAATGATACCGGCGTCGGCGGTGGCACCGGCACTGTAGAGAACATAACCATCAGCAACTTTCCTCACAATGAAGAGTCACGCGGGGTTGAAGAGAGAACTGGGACTTACTTGGCGATGAAGGCATCGATCTTGCCGAAGTCGGCGATGATCTGCTTGGTGGTCTTTTCAACCTCGTCGTAGTCGCTGATGTTGAGCTTGTAGATCTTGACCTTGACGCCGTACTCCTTCTCGAGCTCGGCGGCGTTCTTCTCAGCACCCTCCTTGCGGGAAGAGTAGGTAATGGCCAGGTCGGCGCCCATCTCGGCGCAGCCGCGGGCAGCCTCAATGCCCATGCCGCGGGGACCGGAGGCACCCGTGACAACGACAACCTTGCCCTTGAGGCTGAAGAGGTCCAAAAGACGGGAAGCGGTGGGAATGGACTGAGGCATATTGAAGGATTGGTGAATGTGGCTTGGATGTAAAGGTAAAAGAGGCGTCTGCAAAGATTGAAGAGAAGGCTTTTTTGGGTATCAAACTTTTTGGAATGAGAAAGGAGAAGGGAAGAAAAGTTAGAAACGATCAGCGGGAGAAACGCGGCTTTGAATAGCTGGGAGTACAAGGTGCTTCGAGCCCAAAAAAAGACCGAGGGGTCAATAAGGTGGCATGATGGAGGGGTAGCTTTGGGAATTGGCCGGCCGTGACGGCATCCCGGGAACCCCACTGATGTCATTGATACAGGCACACGGACTAGACGCCGGGGCTAAACATGGACCATTGCTCAGCAATGAGGTTGTCAGGAATGTCTAGATACATGGGTGAACCCATGTTCACTCCCATCAAGTGCCCGTCAGTCTGGTGGATCTAGATTAATGGGACCCGGATGGGCCGCAGGTAGATACTGAGACAGTATTGCCGAACTGCTACGCATACCTAATAGAGAATAGTCTCAATACTTGGAAAGTCTGCGCCTCTGTGCCTCTATTGAAGTATTGCCGTACTCCTACGCATACCTAACAGAGAATAGTCTCAATGCTGAGAACGTGGAACAGTACTGTGTACTTGTTATGTACGAATCTGTATCTGAGTAATCCCACATGCGAGGACTGCAGCAGTATGCGGCATGCAGCTTGGACAGCTCATCAATCTGATCTTGGTCCTCGCTTGGCGCAACCCTTTCCTGCCGACTACTAATCCAACCGCACTGACCGGGAATCGGGTAGGATTTGTCGAACTGCATTATTCGATATCTTCAGTCCGAAAAAGTGTAAATAGCTACGTAAGTACAGATGCTCGGCGAGTTTGTTCTTAGCTTATCACAAGAAACCTGGCAACCAAGTTCTAGGCCTCAATGGAAAACCACGACGCCCAATCGGTCTCAGAAACTACATGGTTGCGGCCAAGAGTCCAGCTGTGAGATCCACAGAAGCCCACATTCAACCCACCCCGGCCCTGCAGCGCGCGCCATTAGTCAAGGCCTGCATCGTCGATGCTGTCTTCAAGTCCCAGCTTCCAACGAGAGGGGCATTTTTACCGCAGATAGCAGCGAGGAAAAGGGGGTCAACCCGCCCCGCGCCCTCGTGGACGCGTCGTGTCCAAGTACTCCTCGTGTACACTCCATCCAAGTCCATCGAGTCTGGGAACTCCTGTTGGTGCGGAGCTGGGCAGCCGGGCGCGGAGGCATGTCGGTGAGGGGGAAGACACGGAGTATGGAGCGTGGGGTTCGGGTCGCTGCGGGAGGACTACGGAGACTCTGAAGTTTGACCCTCCAACCACCGGTCCGCTGCTTGCTTCACCGTTCGAGGCTCTCACCACAGTTCCACATCACACCAGACACATGGTGTTCTTCGCACAGTTGCGGGTATCGACTCTGCACGGTTGAGGGGGAAAGATGTTGGAGATTTGGAGGGGAGCATCCAGTCGACCCACGCAATCCCGGGGAGAGCTCAATTACCCGCGCGGGATGTCTCGTAAATGAGCGATATTCTCCTCAACGAGAGGCCCTCATGGCCCTCTGATCTGATCGCCGGGACAACCAATTCGTGTGCATTCGACTCTCAAGCTCCACGTCGGAGAGAATCCGAGCCGACTGCAACTACACGTGAAGTCTACAGGCAGTTGGAACCGCAGACTTTCAAGTCGTTCATGTCGAATTTATCGACCAGCGTGGTCCGACCCTCTCGGCCCGTTCGGAGACCGGGCGAATTCAGCTTATCGCGTGACCTTGAACACCACTTCGACCACTATTAGCTACAAGAACCATTCAACGTCCCTGAAATGGCTTGAACAAGAAGAGAGAAGAAACAATTCTGTTGTTCCCATTCATTTAATTATAACTCCATTCTTTCCTCACCTTTTCCCAATCCCAACCTTTTAGCAGTCATTGAGAGGATCCTAAAGCAGCATTCGATCCCTACACACGATTTTGAGTACCAATAAAAGTCAATAATGTCTATCAAGGTGGAATTAACACACGGCCACTTGAACGCCCCCAAAGGCTTGAGTGGATGTACATAAACTCTCTTGACGCCTCATCGATTAAACTCACATCATGACATTCTCCGGGATAATACGTAGAGCAGATGCTTAAATAAGATGACTCTCCATCATTTGTGAGACGATTGCGACTGCTGATGAATGAACTGTTTTCCAGTTTTGCAGCCTCAGATATCTATGACTCTCTCAGCATCACCTTTTCAAAATCTCAAACCCGGGCAGAAAGCACCAAAATCTCCTCATTTCCATCCTCCTTCTCGAAAAGCCCAGCAATGCCTTTCTACAGTGCTCCTCTCGCCCGGGCAAAAATATGGCTCCGCCGGCGAAGAGAACAACCGTGGCCACCGCGAACAAGTCTCATGGGCGAAGCCAGTTATTCAGCTACAGCACTCCTCAGTATATTCCTCCTCACCACAATTCTGATAGCGGCCACCTTGATGAGAGCATCCTCGGAGGCTGGCAAACCCATAACCTCCATGGTGGACCTCTTGGTCATCCTGATTCTCACGCAAACTGGTTACGCAGCGATCTTCAGCATCCACAAATGCATTCTTCCTCCGCCTGGCTACATGGGTGGTCAAATCTACTTTTACTGGGCATTCTGGGTGATCACGCAGGTTGTCTGCGTCGCCACCGTGCGGTACGCGTGGCACCGAGACTGGTCGCAGCAGACCGACTGCGTTGCCCTCACGTGGCTGTTCTCGAGCGCAGGTTCCATCGTCTTGTGGACGTACGTATTAATCTGTATGACTTTAAGGAGACACAGACGTAGGGGGACGTCGCGGTATGCCTCGAGACCGGCTGATCCGGAACCGGCGGTGCAAATGGTGGCGAGGGACCGAGCCGTTGATGTAGAAGCGGCCGTGAGCCCGGTTCAACTACCGCCGCACGTTGCTGTAAGAGAAGTGAAGAACGAAAATGTGCGATTAAGCTGAGTCGAAAAGCATTGGAAAAGGGCTGGATTTCGGAAGTAACAGCGAGGATGATTGATATATAACGACATATGAGCTTGGTTGGCTTCTTGGCTTGGACTAAAAGTTTCTTTCCAAGTTTTGGTACGCATGAAGTTTTGATGCACAAGTTTTAGGAAGTACTTCAGTGAAGTCAATGTGATGTTGCGTACTGAGACATCATAGTACCTTGTTCGTGTTCGCATGGGGGAACCTTTCAAGTGGGAGTAGAGCAGTTCTAGGACGTTCTGTCAGCTGAACTCTGTTTTCAGCAAGCTGTCACTCGTAGAACGTTCAATCGAAGCCAGCATTAACAGAAGAATTATAGTACCCAAATATCTGACAAAAACTACTCTACCCTTTCAGTGTCGGTCTATCAATAGTCCTCCACAATCTTGTACCTGGATGTCTCGGACTCTCAGCTGAGGGCCCACAAGCAGATGAGTAGGTCATTCGTCAAACACGAAATTGGACTGCATTGCTCATAGATTGAGGTCAACTATCTCTCCTATCAATATGTATCTACCCTACTAGACACACAGTTCTTGCCCTTGCCGTCATGTCAAAATCCCGCAACTTCCTCATTTGCGCTGGCGAATTTCGACTTCTTGAACTCCAGCTTTCTCGGCAAAATCAACATCACGCACGATCTTGACATCGCCAAAAATCTCGTCGATTTCTTCCAATGATTTTCCTGTGAGTCAGGTGTTAGCTCATGCCCATGGACGATGGATGACAAGATTTATACCTCTGGTCTCGGGATAGAAGAACGCAAAGACGATAGCACAGAAAGCGTTGGTTATGATGAATAATATCTGAGACATCAAATTAGAAGACGGAATCAGTTGAACGCAAGTGGAAACAAGTTCAACGTACATAATACTTCCAGCCAACCGCAGCCAGCGCGATGGGTGAACACTGCGTAATGATGAGACTAATGGAGTAATGGATGACCTGGACTATGGCGTTTGCTTTGGCTCGGAGCTCCGTAGTGAATACTTCAGGTCTATACTTGTGTGTTAACGTGGCTGTTCGGGAAGTGATACTCGGAACAACACTCACGGAATAATCCATGTCATAGGTCCCAGGAGTGCGGAATAGTTGGCCGAAACAGCGAAAATGCACGCAATAAGACCGCGCTGAGCCGCCTCGTTGGTCGGAAATCCGGGTCTTGCAGGGTATACTGCTGCTAGGATGGTGATGATCAAGTAACAAAGTGACAACAGAGACGAGCTTATGATGAGAATCTTCTTGCGGCCGATGCGATCGACAAAGAACAACGAGATGAAGCAGGCCACGGGTGCCACAGAACCATAGAGACCACTAACGAGAAGTTGTTGATCTTGGCTGAACTGCAGTGTAGCGTAGATGGCCGTCTGGTAATACTGAACAAACGAAATTCCGGAAAGCATGGCAGCAGCCCAGACGAAAGAGCCGACAAAGAGCCGCTTACGGAATGCGGGAGTCTTGAACAAGTCGCCCCAGGAGAGCTTACCCTGGGCCTGCAGCTCCTCTGCGATGTTGACCTGGATAATGGTGAACTCGTTACGGCACCAGTCGTCGTTAGATCCGTTGTAGTGGTAGCTGCGGAAAGCTTTCTCGGCTTCCTCGTGTCGACCTTTAAGGCAGAGCCATCTGGGTGACTCACCCAGGAAGAGAACGCTGATGCCCAGGAACAAGGCAGGGACACTCTGGATGGTGAAGCCGAGCCTCCATTGGTTGTGGTTTTTCCATTTGCCTTCACCAACGCCGGTCCAGAGAGCGACGAAGAAGCCCCAGGCGACCACTTGATCTTATTAGCATGCATGAATCGAGACTTTCTATCGACAGTTCGACTTACTCATCTGGTTGACAGCTGTGATTCTGGCTCTTTCATGAGTCTGGGGAAGATTAGCTTCTGGCATCTTCGTAACTCGTTCGTGGAGCAATGCAACCTACCTTAGCGATTTCTGCTCCAAAGACTGGAGCTACGCCAGTGATTGTACCGACTGCAAAGCCAACTAGTAGTCGACCCATAATGACTGAATCTCATCTTAGCATTTCTTCTCACCTTTCTCAGATTTGAAATTTACGCACGCATGGCGACGTGGGCAGCACCCGCCATCAGAGCACCGCCGATGACACCCCATATGCAGCCAAAGGCAATGGCCTTACGGCGGCCAAACTTGTCACTAGTAACACCAACAGATGCACTCCCAAGCCATGCTAAGAATACTATTAGATGAATATCTGTTGCCGTTCTCAGGACACGCCATACCTCCAGCTTGATATACGGAAACGATAGCACCTCGAAGGGGAGCATCAGGGTTTCCGAAATAGGTGAGAAATGACTTGAGTGCCAAACTTGGTGTAATTATTCCCGAATCGCTATGCTATAGCGTAAGAATGTAGTCGATGAAAGGTTATCGTTGCGTAGAAAGACTCACTACCCATAGAGAAAGCCTCCTATGCCAAGGAGGATCGACGTCAAGAAAGGCTTGCTCAGCCAACCGGAAGAATCAGGTGTCATAGTAGAGGTGAAACTAGAGCCTAAATTTACAATCCGGTCAAAGATTCAAATTCCGAAGTTCCCTGAGTAGTGTACAAGCAAGGAGTATCGTCTATTTAGATTCGGGCCTACAGGGACCTCCTAGACTTTGTACCTCTTCGCCTCCCATGCTCTTCATCTCTCTCGAACAACTGCCGCGGTGATGCTACCAAAGACCAGGGTATGATTTTCCGCTGTCCAACCAAGGCGTTTGTAAGTTTGGAGTCAGCAAGAAGCATGCATGGGCCGCTTCGTTTCGGGGGTGGTCCCCCCACACGCATCTTGTTTCCCCCGCGTAACCCACGTGCAGCTCCGACCCAGACTGCGGGGTTATCAAGGAGACTTGTTCGTATCGTGACTTGATTTATCCATGACTATTGAGCGGGAAGGATTGAAAAGACCCAGTTGTGGCTTGCTAAATCGTGTTCGCCAAGATCGGCAATTGTTGGAAAAGTCGAAGTTGAAGCGCTAGCCGCTCGACTGACCATCGAAAAATTGAACAACCTCGGGTTTGATTACTATCTTGTACTGTTCCCCCCTCCAGAACCATATATATCCCCGGCTAAGTCTTTTAAGATAACCGAAGAAGGACTGAAGACTCAACATCTATGTATGCGTGTGTTGAAGTTACGCACTTGTTATCCCGGTCTACCAAGAGTCAACCACTCCACCATGCTGGTCAACATTCTCGTTTACTTGGCGGTAATAGCTGGAGTTTCGTACCTAGCTCTCATATTCCCCCGGGTAAGAAAACTTCATTCTGACATGCTTTATTCGCCACTGTCCTGACATCTTCAATTCTTAGTTACGACAAGAATGGAAACTCTATTCACACCGTTCACAACTTCCCCCCGGCCCCAAGGTCATCAAAATAGGCATTCGGAAGCCATGGCTCTGGTTTCAGGAACTTGGCAGGGAGTACGGCGACGTCGTTTACCTCCAGATGGGCCCGACGCCGACCATCGTGCTGGGCTCGGCTCAAGCGGCGTGGGACCTCCTCGAAAAGAAAGGCTCCATCTTCTCGTCACGACCGCGCTTCATCATGGGTGGCGAGCTCCTTTCCGGCGGTATGAGGGGTCTGATGGCCTCGTACTCTCCCTTTTGGCGGCGATGGCGAAAACTCCTGCACAGCGGCTTCATGCAGCGGCAGAGTGAGACATACCGGCCGGTGCAGAGTCTGGAGTCCAAGGTGCTTATGAATGAGCTCCTCACGACTCCCAGAGATTTCAGAAGGCACCTTGAGCGATATGCGGCATCTGTCATTGTGACGGTAACATACGGTAGGAGGGTGGAGGATATCGCCACTGACATCGTTGTCCAACGCAATGCTGAGTCGATGGGACGTTTGACATCGGTCAAGTGAGCTTCTCCGTCTTCTTCTCAACTATCCTATGAACTTGGTGTTTCTGACGATTTGTGTCGGCATTTAGTATCCCTGGCAAGTTTGCTGTAGAGAGATACCCTGTTCTCAAATACGTCCCTAGCTTCTTGGCTACGTGGAAGGCTGAGGTCTTGAAGCAACGACAGAAGGACGTTCAGATGTACACTGAACTCATGGACGAAGTCCGTGACAAAGTTTCCAGGGGCGTCGCGCCAGAATCCTTCGCAAAACACCTGCTCGAAGAACAAGTCAACCTCGGGATGTCAGACCTCGAAATAGCGTACACGGCAGGCTCACCGTTTGGAGCTGGCGTTGAGACGGTGAGACACATTCCCCTTTCATGGTTTTCGATCATGCAAAGCCTCGACGTAACTAACCACCACTGTCTCAAGTCGGCCGGGTCTCTAGCCAGCTTTTTCCTGGCTTGTGCCAAGTTCGGCCCACAGTTCATCCCGAGAGCGCAAGAGGAGCTCGACAGAGTTGTTGGAGGCGACCGGTTGCCCACGTTTGAGGACCTAAACAGGCTCGAGTATGTCCGCGCCATAGCTTCGGAGACGTTACGCTGGCGACCTGTCGCAGTGCTCGGTGGCACTCCCCATGCAAGCACTGCGGATCATGTCTACAAGGGCATGTTCATCCCAAAGGGCAGCACTGTCATCGCCCCTCTATGGAGCAGTACGTCGAACCTAAGACGCTAAAAACCTTGTGTGATGCTCTGACTAAGTACGTTCTAGTCCATCACAACGAAGCGGACTTCCCAGAACCCCATGAGTTTAGACCTGAGCGGTTCTTGACCGACCGCGAATACCCTGGCACATTCGGCCATAGTGCTTTTGGTTGGGGCCGCCGGATCTGCCCCGGCATGCACCTTGGGTCTGCGTCCGTGGCCTTGAACATCGCGAGAATACTCTGGGGATTTGAAGCCAACCCTGAAAAAGATGAGAAAAGCAGAGATATTGATGTTGATATGTGAGTCTGACGCCTTGCCCCTTGCGCGCACATGAGATGTGAACTGACTTGATGTACACGCAGCTTCGCGTACTCAGATGGCTTCAACTCCAGTCCATTGCCATTTCCTTGCTCGATAACACCTCGGTCTCTCAAGCATGCTCAAGTGATCGAGCGTGAGTATGCAGAAGCTTTAGAAGCGTTGAGGAAGTACGCAGTTGCTGGGAGCAAGTTGTCTTGATCCGTTGAAAGGGTTCGACATTTGTATCACTTAGGTCAGAGCTGCAGTAACATATCCGAGATCAACATTTGACTTCATGTTCACAAACTTCCGATTTAACATTACTTATACTCATCTTCATCGTCCTCTACGCCACCGCAAAGTCCTCAATACAAAAGGTATCTTCCAATACCTCAAATCGTCAAACTCCGTCTCAGAGATATACTCCCGCGTATTAATCGTCAAAGCCCAGTCAACATCAGGCCTACTCGACGCAAAAGTCCTCGCCCCAACCAACGTCCCATCCCGCTCCGCAAACGGCGCCCGACCGCCGGTCCCGCTGACGGCGTGTGAGCCGATGAACCTCGCCACCGTACCCGCACTCGCCGCAAGCGAGAATGCCCCCGCGCACTCCTCCTTGATAGCCCCGTCGTCGCCGTACGGGCCCGGGACGAGTCGGTACGCCTGTGGTTCGCGCGGGTCGTAGCCCGTGTACTTGCTATCCTGGACGATGCGATCCCCGGCGTGCTTCTTCGCTGCCGTCTCGTACAGACGTACGTCTAGGTCGCCGAGGATATTGGCCTTCAAGAAGTCGAGATAGGGCGTCGCTGTGATGTTGCTGACGATGTAGCTCAGGAGCATGGTGCCGTAATTGGAGTAAGCGTAGTCCGTGCCGGGGGCGAAATCGAGCGGGCGGGCGACCTGGTACTCGATGACGTCCCGTAGCGTTGCGGCGCGGGTGCCGTTCAATAGGTCCATGGCGATCTCGCGGAACAAGAAATTCGGGTCGCCGGACGTATCGCGATTGTACCCTGATGTGTGCGCGAGGAGGTGGTCGATGGTGATGTCCTTTGCGCGGGCGTCTGCGGGCTCGTTGTATCCATATAAAGGGTATGCAGCCGTGGAGTAGTTGAGCTTCCCAGCCTCGATGAGGTTGAAGATGGCCGCGTGGACGAAGATCTTGCTCACGCTGGCGAGGAGGAAGACGTCGTCCGTCTCGACGATGGGGCGGTCGCTCTCTGCCCAGGTATACCTGCGCTCGGCAATGGTCGAACCGTTGGACGCGATGGCGAGTTGGGCTTGGCGGACGCCGTTCTTCTTCATCCAGGTCTGCATGGCGGCATCAAAGGCCGTTGTGGCACCCGCGTTATCCTTGAAACCGGTGAAGGAGCCGGTGGCAATCCATTTTCGAGCCTCGGGAACGTCGCTTTCGGCGAAGATGACGGCGAAGCGGATGTCCTGTCCAGAGCCACCCCCCTGGAGGTCAATCGGGTGTAGGCCCTGCTGCTTCTGGGATTCAATCTGAGAAGCAAGCTCTTCGGTCGTGAGATCATTCATGGCCACCCATTTTCCAACGGAGGTGTCCACGAACTGGGGAGTGACAACGTGATCGTCTGAGCGAAAGAGGCGAGAAGGCCTCCAGAAGCGCTTCGCCGTCTCAGACTCATAGATCTTGGGATAGTCGATGGTGTAGTTGCCAGACGAGTAGAAGATGGTAGACATCTGATTCCCAACATTTTCGTGGCCCAGAACGCAATAGAGGCGGTCCGAAGGGGAACCGCACATGTTGAAGTCCTTCACAACCATGTCGATACCATTGGTCGCATTATCAAACGCGTAGGGATTGTTAAGGCCGCAAAGCTGTGTCCAGTCGCGTAGATGGCGCTGCCAGCCAGTCCCGTGACGGAGATGTGCGTCGGAACATAGCCTTTGGACTTCCACGAGTCGAACCAGTCGTCGTAAGTCGCCTCGTCTGCGCCTTAGATGACTTGAAACGGGTTTCCATCCCGCCGTACCCAGACGACAGCATACTTTGCGTCCGGCGCCGTGCCATAGTTGCTCAAGGATATCAAGCGGTAGCCTTCACCAATGAGAGACTTGACCTTGTCGTCGTGCGCTGAGCCATCTAGATTGAAGTATGTCTGGACGTCAGCAGAGGTGTCGTTGGCCTGGCGTCGTTCGGTTGGGATGGCATGGGCAATAGAGCAGAACGAAAGGCATAAAGTCAAAAGACCCAAGAATGAGTGAGGGTACATGTTCGAACGAGGGAAAGCTGCCCAGTGGCAAACGAACAACGAAATTGATTCGGACGTTTCGATCAAGCGCTGTCAAGACATCTCCCCTAAACCGCATTCCAAAGGGCCTTCTTCACGTCTTATTCACTATCTGTAGATATCCACATGATCCCTATTATTAGAGTGTCACTTTGGAGTACCGTGATCCCCTTGCGATACGAGATGAACCCCGTCCATGCCCCCCACAATGCCGCGCTCGGCAAAAGACGGACAGCCGACAGCCCCCCTTGACCCCGGTCCGGCCTCCATAGTAACCCCGGTCCTTTCGGCCGCATTAGGCAATCAGGCCATGGCGGGCTTCGAGAATGACTTCTCCCGTGGTGACATTGCCTGATCTTCCCCTGCTTTCCCCGTATTCCTCAACGGCATGGCCGATCCTTCGCCCTTGATGTGAAGTAGGACTGCATTCAGCTTGAAGTTTTGGCAGTAATGAACACAAATGCTTTTCTCTTCACTCAGACTCTTCCAAACAAAGCATAAGGGGGTTACGCGTTGCCAAGATAAAGTAATTTAGCTTTCGAGGTTGAGGTATCTCAGCAATACGCCCCATAAATCGAGTTAAACTCGACGTCGCCGTTTCAGCACCGCGTGCACATTATCTCTGTTTGACAGATCTTAATGAAAAGAAGCATGTATACAAACATAATGCCACAGCAAACAAGCTAAACTTGACCCTTATGTCCCAAGCACAAGCGCTTACCAAGATCAGTCCAATTCTTGGCTGCACATCGGCGCAGGTACATCCAGAGCACCATGTTTCAAACACGATGTGTGACTAGATGAGAGCCAGTCCCAACAAAAGTTCATATGCCTTCTTACTTACATCTTGCAAGTTCAAGAGCGCTCGGCGACAAAAGTAATGAAGGTCCATCCAGGATTCGAACCTGGGCTTACGGAAGTCCATTGAGGCGTAGCCATCATCAGAATCCGACGTCCTAACCAACTAGACTAATAGACCAGTGAAAGCGAGATTAACACGCTCAGCGGATGTGGAAACGGCGGCTCAGAGTTGTAACTATGACGGGCGAATTTCTTGTGGGAAGAAAGACTCTGAAAGCCCTCGTTGTGGATGTGGTGGGGATCATAAGGGCGGGGACTGTCAATTAGTTTGGCGGGACTCTCGAGTGTAGGCCAGAGGGATACCCTGGTCATGAACCCCACGTCCTCGAGACCTAGAGACCATGAGGACGAAGCTCTGGTGTCTGTGAACTTGAGAAGGGGTACTAAATCTGGTTCATGTATCATTCACAAGAGAAATGCCTCACGCAGCAATGTGAATATGAAGCGGCGAGCAAGGTCCAAGTCTCGTTTCAAGCCGAAGTGAAAGGAGAAAAAACGAGTGATATGAATCTGAGAGATGGCGAGAGTCACGTCAGAAAAGAGAGACTAAACGTCTCCATCAGCATTGACAACTTCAACTTCACAGTGAGTGAATTTCGTGACAATGTGGATGTATCTACAGCTTCAGCCTAGAGCTTGACCCAAATCTAGGTTGAGTCAAACTCTAAGCCGTTTCTAGATCATATTTGCTGCTTCAAAATATAGACAACGGAACCCAACCTTCTCACAGGAAGACAAGCAAAGCCTCACAGAGACCTCTACCATTCTTCAACACCCACTCGTCTTCACATTCGTAGCAACACACAACTTCCCATCCGGCCCACTCGAAACAAGCTTCGGCTCCGCACCGCTACTATTCCCCTCAAAATTATCACACACCTGCGTGCCGCCCAACACGCACGAGTCCCTCACAATCGTCCCATCGCCCAAGTTCCCATTCACACCAGACAGGACCTTCCCGCCGTCGAGCCGAATATTGTCAAAAGTCGAGTGCCGCGCCACCTGCGTCTTGCAGTTACCGCAGCTGCGGTACATCTTGCTGCAGTTCTTGCAAAAGTAGTTTTTGACGGCGACGGTACCGCCTCCGTTGTGCTGGAGGACCTTGTCGGCTGCGTCTTGGGCGCCGCCGCCGTTGACGTAGGATGTGCCTGACGTTTGGCGGAATGTAATAGCGTCTTCGCAGACTTTTTGGAACCACCTGTTCCAAGGAATATCAGTAAAAACTCATGGAGGGAATATGGCCATAATGGTATACGCGTGGGGAAAGGGAGGAGGGTGGTGAGGTCAAAACTTACACGTTGTTAATAGTACAACTCCCCAAACAATGAATCCCCTCACCATTATTAGGCCCAATAATCACATTGCTAATCGTAGCCCCTTCCTCGAGGATAAACACGGCGTCCTTATTCCCGCCCTCGGTCTGGCCCTTGCAGGTACTCGGGCTCCGATCCCACATCACCATGCCGCCGTCGAACGACTGGTGTGCAGCAATGGTTTTCACGGCAGCAATGTTCTGCGACCCCTTGGCCGTCGGGAACGTCGTCTGTAGTTCCGTGTTGGCGCCGCCAGAGGTGGTTCCGTTGTCTGCCGCGGAGCCACCACCGCCAGTGCCAGCACCACCACCGGCAGCGGATCCGGAACTCGGCGCATGAGCTGGGAGGCTAGAGTGCGTTTTCCCGCCCTTAGAAGATCCACCCTTATGCGAAGTCTTGGAACCGCCCTTAGAAGATCCACCCTTATGTGAAGTCTTGGAACCGCTCTTTGAGTTGGTCGTAGGCGATGCCAGGCCTAGGGTGGAGAGGCAGAGAGCCAAGACGAGGAGGTTGTTTCGGATGTACATTATCGGTCTAACTCGTAAAGTGGACTACTTCGAGATTATATGGTGGTATTGAGGGGGGGAGGAGTGGATGATAGCGTCTTGGCTATGACGAAGAAGCGGTTGGGATGAACTTGATGAAGAGGCTTGGCTCTACTATATGGGAGATTTTTGGCGTGTTGATAGAACCAGCTGTCATATGAGACGACCCAGTCGTGAACGCAAAAGATGTAAAACGGAACGAAAAAGAGTTATTTGTGATCTTGTTGGGAACAGCTCTTGAAAGCTGTTGATGATGATCTGAATCCAAACCCAACAGACCAGCGAACTCTATCATCTTTATATCTCTTTAGAATTCTCCCGCCCGTTTCTTGTCTTCCAACTGCCCGCTGTCAATCTCAACGAACCCCGATACTCTCAGTTTCTCTCACCCAAAGTTCAGTCAATAGACCATCTTTGGGTTCAACGTCCGACTGCCCCGCGTGCAACGATCACAATGCGCTTCATCCCCCCCAAAAAGAGAAGCACGTTCCCCGCAAGAATGGAAAATCTATCCAAGAACGATGGCGCGCTTCACGTAAGGTACACGTCCCCAGTCGTCTGAAACCTGTGCGCATTAAGCTTTCTTCTGGCAGTCAGATAGACAGAGAACCAAGGTGCCTACTCCATAGTCCAAGTACGCAGACCTGACAACCACAACCCGGGGGACCTACCATCTGGATGAGATGGTACTATGAAAGAGCGGGTTAACAATCAACTCAAAAAAAGCTTATGCCAAAACCCACCAATCATCCTCAGCCCCTATTATTCCCAATGCCATGGAACACTCTGCAACATAGTCCCGGCAAATTCCAATCTAAACGGCGTCTGATGTTCTTAATGCAAGACTCCTATCCCACACGGACCTCCATCGCGTCCGAGACTACTCATCTCAGCCAGGGATGAACCCCCCAAGAAGCCGTCAACTCAGCTGAGTAAGTCAGGCCTCGGACTCCGGGACTCGTGGGAAGTAATAGCTAACATGTCCCGTTCATCTACCTCAAAAAAAGGACAGAGGGGACGTGCAGAAACTCTGAAGCACAACCCTAATATTCTTCAAACTGCCTCTAGTGGATTCGGTCAACATCCACCCTCCTCCTCGCGGTCCAATAACTCGGGACAGCTATCCGAACTATTTGCATGCTGTTCTGGTGCTGACCTCGTGGGAGGGGAGAAGTACCATGTGGGCGCCACACATGCCATGCGTTCTTCTTCATGACGCTCCCCATCAACCGTCTCCTTAGTCCGTGCTTCCCAAAGACCATGTCTCCTTGCTCAAAGCATGAGTTGTTGATCATCATGCCGAACACCTCGGAACATCAAATTGCGTGGTTTGAAAGAATTTCAGATTTGATTGTAAAAAACTATTTACTTGAATCAACCAACCACCCAGCGCCTTTATTATTCCGTTTCCCCGCTCCCCTCCCTTTCGGCTTGCCGCTTTCCCCCAATCACGCCTCCTCTTGCGGTTATTCCGTTGCCATCCAAGGAATCTCTAGACAATCACCGCCTTTGCTGATATGACCCTTGTTGATATCCACCCTGCTGTTGATGCTGCTGTTGCTGCGACTGCTCCCTCCTAATCTGCCTCTCAAACCTCTTTCCCTCCGTCTTCGCATCCTTCTCCCCGTTGAGCCCAACCCTCTTCAGCTCCTCCTTGACCATCCCCACAGCCTCGGCCACTACGTCGTCGCCCCTTCGCCAGGTATACAGCGCTACCCCGTGCGACTCCAAAATCTCCTGGGCTCGCTGCAGTCGACGCATCCACAGCTCGTGCTTCCTATTCGGAGCCGCCGCCGTCGGTCCCAAATTCGGACTGCCGTATGTTGGGGATGTGGATCCGGACCTGAGACTGGCCGTCTGCGCCCTCACAAATGTCGGCGGCTGAACCTGCTGTGGCCGGGAAGCCGCGGACGGCGGTGGTAGCGCTTCGAAGTCGATGTCTTCGTTGCCCGATAGTCTCCGCCGGTTATCGACGCTCCGAGGACTTAGACTACGGGAAGTGGAAGGGGTGCCCCGACGCCGAGGCGGTGGAGGCGCCGGTGCAACTTTGCTCGTCTTACTTGTGTCGTTTTGCGATGTGGACGCTGATATCTTGGCCGTACTCGGCAGGCTCCTGTTGCTTCCAATTGTCTGCTGAGACGAATTGTGCATTTGCGATAGAGGATGAGGATTGCCCCTGTCTGCGGACGGCTTGCGAGCACTCGGCATTGGGGGCGGCGTAGCGCCCATGCTGTTGACCTTGATCGTGGGCACATTCGTGTCAGATGGAGCGCCGCGAAGTGCAGCTGGCTTGTTGGGTCGTGGTGGAGGGGGCTTGCGGCTAATGGCAAGATCGGTAGCGCTTGAGTACGGCTTCGGTCTGGCCTGGATCTGGGCTAGTGCAGCGGCGTCATTCAGCGTGGTCTCCTCAGGTTCGTCGGAAAAGTCGATGAGATCGCCCATGACAGGCCCGACCGTCTTTGCCTCACCGCGTGGAGGAAGCCCCGGGCGATTCGGTGGAGCATCGCTGTGGTCGGTGGCCTTGGACATTGAGCCTCTCTGACGTGCGCTACTAGTCTCGAAAGATGTATCAAAGTACCCGGCTTGCTCCGGCGTTGTGACATCGCGGATAAAGATGGCGATGATCCGTCCTGGGTGGGCTTCCACCAGCTCTGTGTAAACCTCCAAATCTGCCTCGCCGCTGTCACCGACTAGGAGAAACCTGCGTTCGGGGAAATCGTGCATGAGCCTGGTGAGGGTACTCTTCTTCCTCTCCGCCACTGGCTCAAAAATACCCTGGAGCATGCCACTGTACTGCTTCAGATGAAGCGATCCAGGGGGTAAGCCAGCTATCATGAAATAGCTGGCAAGCACCGGGAATAGTTGCCAGGGACTGTTCGAGCAGTAGTGCATGCTGACCCCCATTGAGTGCAGCTCGTTGTACCATTCCCGAACACCTTCCACCGTCAAGTCCTTGAGCTCACGGACGAAGGTGTTGCGGAAGATCTCCTTTGCGCCACCCGATATGTTGGATCGCTTAATCGTGTCGTCAATGTCACTGATCAAACTCACACCCTTCGGTTCGATGATCTTGACTTCCTGGGTTGCCGACAAGTCCTCATTAGCGAGAACTCGGACGTGCGTAGGGACAAACTCCAAAGCGGCGCGCAGGATAAAGTGGCCCGCATCGTTGGTCTGCACAGTCCGGGACGCTGACTTCTCGTCATTGTAGAAGAAGACAGTGATGGGCAGCTGAACCAAAGGCGTAGTCATGAACGGCGCTATTCTTGCCATGAGGTTGGCATTCGCAACAGACAGCTCGGCATCTGTCAAATCATTCCCCGTAGTGTTTGTCCTCGTCGGTGCCAATTTGGGAGAGCCAGGAGCTGTCATTGGCGTTTGTGTGCCACTTCGTGACCTCGATCTCGCCCGGTATATACTATTCGCATCATCGTCGGATCCGTCCTTCGGCGCTTCGCTAAAACCACCCTGATACGCTACGCGTCGCTCTTCTTGGCCTCTCTTCTCGATTTCTGCGGCCTCTTTCGCAATCTTTTCCTGCTCTCGTCGTTCCTCGTGTGATTGGTGTAACGCAGAGAGATTATCCGGTGCGGGGGCATCCTGCCTGGGAGCTGGGATGCCGCTTAGCTGGCGCGCAAGGCCGATGAGAATACGGTTGCGCCGAGTAATCGGTCCTTTATGCGGGGAGTAAACCCATCCCCTGACGTCGATGTCTACGATGGCTTTCTCGTCTTCATTACGCTCCCACTCTTTCCTCCAAAACTCTTGGTCCCTGGCGCTGCCCGGCTCTTCCTCGAAATGCTGTTGGTATTCCGCCGTCCAATCCTGCTTGACATGTCGCTTTGCGTATGATGGAAAGATGACCATCTGGTCGTCTCCCTGGACAGTGATGGCGACGTCGGGGAATGATCCCGGGATTGTAGTCCTCGGCATACCTTCCCCCGGCTCCAAAGGCCGTACCCGCGTCTGCGCATAGCCCTCCCTGATCTCGTTGACTCCTACCGCAGCGGCTCGGTACATGCTCCCCGCCTTCGCAGCCAGCCATTTCCGCCGGAACCCTCTCTCGCCTGGGGTGGGCGGATCTTCTGCCGAGCCATATGCATAGCCATTACTGTCATTATTGGCGCCTCCTGCACCTCCGCCTCCACCTCCACCATAGGTGGTCGTGTAGTCTGAGAAAGTGGGCATCTTCTTGCCTGTAGTACCTCCTCGCTCCCTCGCATGCCGCTTTGGCCTGACCGAGGGCGGACCCAGGAGCAGCCGGCGACTGTGACGCGCAAAGACGTCGACGAGCCTCGACTTCTCGTTTCGCTTGCGCTGGCGCTCGAGGATGTATCGGTAGATGCTCGACTGAAATCGGTGTTTGAACTGCGGAATGGTATGGAGACGAAAGTTGAGAACGCGCTCGCGGTATCGATCCCGTACGCTTCGTGGAAACAGGTATCGGAGGAGACTCGTGCGGTTATGAGGATGCGGACGCGGCGGACCAAATCGCCCGAAAGGAGCCAGCTTGTTCGTAGTTTGTGCCTTGGACAGGAGGTCCAAAGACGAAAAGCAGCGGTGCGTGGGACGTCGCTAGGTTTTGGGTGGTATGGAGGGAGGTAAGCTTGAGAAGTGCGAGAGGTTTGATTAAGCTCGTGAAAGAAGCCGAGGCGAATGAGGTAAGGCGACGGGTGCACGATGTTACGAGGCTGGCAGGCGACAGCGTCTTCTGACCCCCACGCTCTACAGCTGATGAAGGGACGACAGAGGGTGATGGAAGCACATGATCTCGCGCGGCTCTGGGTGGTTGTGAAAACTGGTGCGAACTGGTTCGTGGTGGAAGGGAGCGGGAGCACGCGGCGATGTAGAGGAGAGGGTGAGCTCGTGACGTCGCGGGAGGGCGAGGTCTCGGAAAGCCAAGCTAAGTTGAATTAAGGTAGGCGTAGGTAGATGCCGCGGTGCCGTGCGGGTTTGGTTGGGGCTCGAGGGGCAGATGCGACAAAGTGTCAGAAATGGAAGCGATTTATGCGGAAATAAGCAAGGTTGTAAGCTCTCTCTTCTGAGCTAAGGCATCCCACATGCATCTCACACTCACAGTGGAGGGTTCCAGCCAGCTTTAGCCTTCCAAGGCACAAGGCTCCTCTTCTGTCGCCGAGCTGACTGCTGCTGGGGCCCGGGGGACGTGCTCCGGGGCGAAACGGGCATTACGTCATCCGCACCTCGAGCTGCATATGTCCAGGCCGTTGTAACGTCTTCTCAGCATAGCTTCTACCTTGCTGGCATGTGCTGCTAGCATGCATTTAAACACAGCTTGTAGTGATGGCAGGTGCACCTTTGATGATCGGCCGGGGATGACATGGGACAGTTGCAACGTCGCTTGGCCCCCAACAGAAAGCACAGACATAGATGGCAGCTCTACGGAGTACATATCCGCAAGATAGGTACTTACGGATAGGTATCTAGGGTATGCAAGTAGGCTAGGTAAAGATATCAATAAGTATGCGAGATCAGAGTTCACTCCCATTCATAACCCATCAACACCTTAACATGAACAATCTGTCAAGAAATGAACTGGTATTGTAACATGGTATTGTAGTCTAGACTTTTGGACACCGGGGCAACATTCTTTTTTCAAAATCACCGCTTCTGGCGCGCCAGCTTCGCCCTGGTCCTCCCCTTGGCCGGCACATTCTTCTTCTTAGGCTGCTTCTTCAGGTTCAACATCGCACCCTGCCCGTCGCGCTCCGCCCTGCCCTTCTTCCACACCTTATCCCCGCTCCTCATCTCCTTGGCGTCGAGCTTCTTCTTGTCCTTGTTGCTCAGCTTCGGCTTCTTGCCATTCTTGGGCCCATTGAGCTCCTCCCGCCCCGCAATCTTGGCCTTCTTCTTGTCCTCCTCCGTCTCGAACCACGTCCGCTTCGGCCGCGCCTTGATCTCGGCCTCGTGTTGCATGATATTCTCGCCCTTTTTGAGCTGCATCTCGGCCTGCTGGAACTGCTTCTCCTGCTTCTCCTCCACCATGATCTCGTCAATCTCGTCCTCCATCTCGTCTACCTGGTCCTGCCACTTGTCCGCCTCTGTCGGCTCGATGATGCGACTCAGGATCTTGGCGCCGTTGGCCTTGCCGGCCTTGACCGCCGCCTTGACGACCTTGCGGTCCGGCTCCGCCGCCAGCGTGATGGCCACACCGGTGCGGCCGGCACGGGCGGTACGACCGACTCTGTGCACGTAAATCTCAATGTTTTGGGGTGCTTCGTAGTTGATGACTGTGTCGACGCCCTTGATATCGAGACCACGAGACGCAAGATCCGTCGCCAAGAGGTAGTTGACCTTGCCATCACGGAAGTTTTCAACACTGGCAATTCTCTGCAAATTTGGTTAGCAGTTATTTTCAACTCAAGGACTCATTAGAACTCACCTGAGCCTGGTTCATGCTACCGTGAAGCTCTGCGCAAGACAAGCCAAACAGTCCAAAGATGATTCTCGCTCGGTGAGCATCCTTCTTTTGGCGGAAGAAAATGATGACACGCTCCGTGTGCATCGTCTTGCAGATATGCACGAGGTAGCCCATGCGCTTCTCCTCACGACCGGGCCGCAAGCGGACAAACTCCTGCACCAAGGTGGTGACGGTCTTGTTCTTTTGCGAGTCCACCATGATTCTGGCGGGCTTGTTCATTCCCACGCGCACCAGCCTGTCGACGGAAGATGTCATGGTCGCGGAGAACAGCATCGTCTGTCTTGACTTGGGCAAGGTCGTCAGAATCTCGTTCAACTCGTCGGCGAAACCATCCTCGAGCATACGATCAGCTTCGTCGAGAACGAGAATCTCCACGGTGTCGACATTGAAGCTGGCAGAGTTCCTCATGTGGTCGATAAAACGACCGGGTGTGGCGATGATGACGTCTGGCCTCAGTCTCAGCTCGACTTCCTGAGCCTTGAGACTCAGACCACCAACGGCAAGAGTGAACTTGATATCGGTGAACGCGGCAAGCTTGGTGGCGACAGCGTGGCACTGGATAGCCAATTCACGAGTAGGGGTGAGGATGACGACACGGCTAGTAGGAACCTTCTTGGGCCTGTACAGGAGACGTTCAAGAATGGGGACCACAAAGGCGGCCGTCTTTCCTGAACCAGTGACTGCACCACCGACAACATCCTTGCCCATCAAGGCAATGGGCACAGTCTTGGCTTGAATGGGCGTGGGCTTGGAGAAGCCAACAGCGGCGAGACCTCTCAGGAGAGGACGCGAAAGGGACATGGCCTGAAATGATGATGCCGTATCCTTCTTGCCGGGCTTTGCAGGCTCCTCGGGGGCGAAGAAAGCGTCACGCTTCGCTTGTTCCTCTGCATCTTCCTCCTCTTCATCGTCTGAACCACGGTCGTCGGGGTGATCCACGGGTGTCGCAACGGAATCGTTGTCGGATGCTGCTGCGTCGTCATCATCTTCGGCGTCCTCTGCATCTTCTGCGTCGGATCCCTCGTCGTTTTCGGCTTCAGAGTCCTCGGCACCAGGGTCCACACCCATGCCAAAGGCATCGTCGGCTAGGACTCCGTCTTCGTCGTCGTCAAGGTCGATATCCACGTCCATGTCGTTGTCCACCTCGGCGTCCGCCGCAGCCTCCTCTTTATCTTCCTTCGACTTCTCCTCGCCGCCCTTCTTTGCCCGTCTTCTGCGAATGATTTCTTCCAGGTCAACGCCTAGAGATGCATTGCTGTTCATGGACTTCTTTGCGCCTTCGAAGCCCCAGCCCTCGAGTTCCGCATCGCCGAATTCGATGGCGTTGTCTTGCGCAAACTCAAAGTCCGAGTGCATGGCACCATCGTCTTCGTCCTTTTGGCCCCAGATACCCTCGGCAACTTCTTGTTCCGGCGACTCCTCTCTGGCGGCGGCCTTTTTCGACTTCTTCGTAGCCTTCACCTTCTTCTTGGGCGGCGGTGCCACGGTCTCCTCCTCGACAATTTCCTCGTCATTGTCGGAGATGGTGTGGACGAAGTCGTCGTCGATCTGCTTGCGCTTGTGAGAAGGCGCCATGTTGAGTGGTGGAATGGTTGTTGAGAGAGACAATTGTCGGGACCGCGGGGTATTGTAAAGCTCACACACACGCACACGCCTGTCTTCACACTCGCGCAGTGTTCCCAGAGCCAGAAATTTTTCTGGACGGACGGTGGAGCTAAACTTTTTCTGCCGTCTTCAGAGACCACCCCCCTGTCACAGGCGGTCAGACGGGACACTACTGCCAATTGGGACTGAGTGGGGGCGCTTGGACCTTTAGCTCATCAGACGGAAGGAACAAAAAGATACGTACTGACACGACTGACCAGACGCACGTGACGATGTTTGTCATCAGCTTTTAGGGGCAGGGGCAACTCCCGATACCCCACCATGGTTGATTGGGCGACCATTTTATTGGCAACAATTTTGGCAGCCTTCACGCCGGGCGCCGACAAAGCAACGAGATTTAATTTCTGCCCTGTTGCTCTACAACTTGCCAATTTTGGTCCTAACCAATCTCGGCACCTTACTACTTTCCACACGTCCTCCTTCTCGACCTCTCAACCACCACCAACACCACCATCAACCGCGTCTCTGCTTCTCTTGAGCGTCGTTAACGAATTTCCTTTCCACATCCCGAGCGCGTTTCCCGATTGTCAACACAGTTCCAGCCGCAGAGGCAAACACACACATACAAAATGGGCGAATCCAGGTGGGCAAGCTTCCATCCCCTTCCATCGTGGTGCTTCGCGCGGTAGCATCTCAGACGTTTGCGCGTCGCAACTCCTCGCTAATACGGCATGGACTTTCTAGACAAGAACTCATCCAGTGGCTGAACCAGCTTCTCTCCCTCAACATCACAAAGGTCGAGCAATGCGGTACCGGGTACGTTGCTGATCGGATACCCCTCCCCCGCCATGTGTTTATTGTGGGACCCATGATGATTTTGATGATGGTGGTTGCTGATGTTTGGTCTCAATCTGCAGTGCAGCTCTCTGCCAGGTGTTTGACAGCATCTTCATGGATATCCCCATGTCCCGAGTCAAGTTCAATGTCAACAGCGAATATGCGTACATTCAGAATTTCAAGGTGCTGCAGAGTAAGTTTGCGCCATCCTTCGCCGTTCCATCTCGATATCCAACTCCTTCCCATCTGTACGGGGAAGACAAATACGGAACGTACAGTCATGGCTGACGAGATCCTACCTGAACAGACTGCTTCCACAAGCACCAAGTCGACAAGCCCATCCCCGTCGAAGCGTTGGTCAAGTGCAAGATGCAGGACAACCTCGAGTTCCTGCAATGGACCAAGAAGTTCTGGGACCTGAACTTCCCCGACCAAGAGTACGACGCAGTCTCCCGGCGAAAGGGCGCCCCCGTGCCCTCTGGCGGTGGCGCCGCCCCCCGTACCGCGTCCGGTACCGGTGCCGCTGCTGCCAGACGGGGTGGCACCACACCCCTCGGCGGTGCGCGCGTTCCCAAGGCGGCAGGCCCCGGCTCAGCTGCCCTGCAGCAAGAGAACGCCACTCTCAAGGAGACGGTTGTCGGCCTCGAGCGCGAGCGTGACTTCTACTTCAGCAAGCTCCGTGATATCGAGCTCCTGGTGCAGCAGGCCGTGGAGGAGGACCCCGAGCTTGAGAAGCAGGAGGACGGCCTCGTCAAGCAGATCCAGACCATTCTGTACTCGACGGAGGAGGGATTCGAGATCCCGGCCGAGGGCGAGGCTGTCGACGACCAGGAGACCTTTTAAATCGGGAGGCTTTGAGGCAGGGCGACGATGACACAGATGGGAGAGGTTGTATTGTTGGATGGGAGGTTGCGTTAGGGGGAGTCGAGTGGTAAAAGCACATGGGTTTGGCGCTAGTACAAATACCCTGCGGCACGTAATAATCAGTATACTGGCGATGAGGCTGAGCGGCCCTCGGACTGTCGAGACAGAAGTCGGTCAGAGCTTGCGGCAGTCCCGTCCCACACGAGCAGTCATGATAGAATCCAAACATTTTGTCTGGGAACTTCGAGTCAGTTTTTGCGAGTGAGACGAGGAGAGTATGAGAGCTTGAGCCACGCGTCCAAAACTGCATTCCACTCTGGCCGTCCTGTTTATTTTGGTGGGCGTGGTCCTGATTCTACATGAACGATATGTTGCACCAAGTTTAAACTGCACCTTGGGTTGTGTTTACTATCAAGGTCGGATCTCTCCAAGTGTGCATTGATCGACTACCGAGAGACATTTCCCTCTATACATTATATTGCCATGCAAATCACTACAATAGTATCCGTATTGGTTGGGGATATTGATCGACCGTATGGTGAATTGGATCGGCCTCGACTTGGGTTGTCAGCATCGCCCAGTTCCTGGCCTGAAAGACCGGGCAGGGGCCTGAGAACGCGAGGTGCCACGGTGCCCAGCTGAGCATGTCCCAGAAATGCGGTCATTCCTGCCGCCGCCCCAATTTAGTGGTTCCACGCAATGCGCCACAGGCGTCAACTTTCAAGCAGTTAGCGGCACACGACCAGCGACGGTCATCGCCATCCCCAGTGCCCAAAAGTGCTACCTGAGCCCAGGCAGGCGGCCGTGTTAGGGAAGCTGGAGGTGACAGGGGACCTCGAAGGAGCAGCCCAGGTCCATGGGGCGCTGAGGTACTGCACAAGCGGACCTGCACGGCAAGGTACCTTCGTTGCATTGACTCTGGAAACCTGAGGTGACCGCTCTCTCTCGCACACTCCCGTCTCTTTCCCTCCAGACGGACGAACGAAAAGAGAGACAAGAACCTCAGACATTCCCCCGAAACCTTTTTTTGGACCTGACGCAAACAACTGACCAAGGCCATCATTCCGACCACCAAACACGAAGTATTACTTGACCAGTACGACGACTGCTTTTTGTTATTTCGCTAGCCATTCCATTTCCTCAACGCCATCTCGCCAACTGCTCCAAGAGACGACCTCGGGAAGAGCAAGCAAAACACCAAAGAACCCAGCATCGACTCCCTCCCATCTCTTCAATCCGCCATCGACGAGGAGAGCTCCGACACACACTACCCAGCTCATCCGAGCCTTCCTCCCGCCTCGTCCAAACCCGACAAACAATCCCATCCCCCGCTCATCGCCAATACCCAAGAGGAAAGAAAACTCTCCTCTCTACACATTTCCAAGCCTCGATCAACCAACAGCAACCTTCCAACAATGGCGCCTCCCGCCGAAATCTCCATCCCCTCAACCATCCTCTCGACCGGCGAATCGAAACCCTACACCCTCTACAACATCACCCTCCGCCTCCCCCTCAAATCCTTCGTCGTCCAAAAGCGCTACTCCGACTTTGCAACCCTCCACCAAACCCTCACCTCCCTCGTCGGCGCCGCGCCCCCCAACCCCCTCCCCTCCAAATCCTGGTTCAAATCCACAGTCTCCTCCCCAGACCTCACAGAACAGCGCCGCAAAGGCCTCGAAGCCTACCTCCGCGCCATCGCAGAGTCTCCCGACCGCCGCTGGCGCGACACCTCGGCCTGGCGCACCTTTCTCAACCTCCCCAGCACGGGCGTAGGCAGCACGGGGAACTCGGCCGCCAGCGCCCACGGCCTCGTCACCAGCGGTCGCGCCGGTGCGGCGGACCCGACGACATGGCTTGATCTGCACCGCGAGATGAAGAGCTGTCTCCACGATGCGAGGAATCAGCTTGCGAGGCGGGATGGCGCCGTGGATAGCAATAACACCTCTGCTGCCGCCGAGGCCGGGGCCGCTGCCAAGAAGGCGCTGGTCAAGGCTGGTACGCTGGTGAGCACCCTCACGGACGGACTGAGGGCCATGCAAGAGGGCGGACGACTCGGAGACGGGGAATTACGACGCAGAAGGGACCTGCTCTCCTCCGCTCGCGTCGAAAGGGAAGGGCTAGACAAGCTCAGCAACAGCATGGCGCAAGGAAACAGCAGGAACGGCGGCGGCGGACCGGGCGGACGGGAAGGGTGGGCCTCGGCGGGCGATAAAGCGGCACTACTCGGCAGAAGCGGCGGTGGGGCGAGGACGGGCGGACGGGTCCTAGGCGCCCCGCTGCCGGAGACGGAGCGGACGCGGGAGCAGGATAACAATGGGGTCGTGCAGCTGCAGCGGCAGATGATGAGCGAGCAGGACGAGCAGGTGAATACCCTGGCGGCGATTGTGCGGCGGCAAAAGGAGATTGGGCTGCAGATCAACGGGGAGGTGACGGAGCAGACCAAAATGCTGGACCGGTTGAATGAGGATGCTGATCGGGTTGGGGGCAAGATTGATGTTGCCAAGAAGCGGATCAAGAAGTTTTGACGCGGGACGCCGGAGGAGGAGGGTGAGGGTGAGGTTGTGGTGACGCGTACGGTGCCTCGGTCTACGGCAACAACAGCAACATCATCGCCGTTGGTTGTCGCGGGTGGTTTCGCTGCTCGGTCCGTGGTCGCTGTCCTCAGCGTTGTGGCGTGGTTTCTTTGGGTCGGCAGGCGGGTGTTGGATTCTTTTGCGTGGTGCCTGGAGTTTGGTTCCGTCTTGTTGGTCGCGCAGGCTCGTCGATGAAATTTCTTGCTACCCTGTGTGCCGGGAGTTGAAGTTCTTTTGCCTTGACAGTACAACAACGTTACGTACGCGAGTACGATGGGGGCCTTTTCTTTTTCTGTTACATTTTACATACCTTTGCAACAAGAGCGATTCTACTCATTTTCTTTTGAATTCTTGTCCGAATTCTCTCTCTTTTGTTTATTTCAAGTTGAGATTGGAAATACCAGTGTATCGTACCTATGGTAGTTTTTTAACTTGAGATCTACTTATATCCAGATTGGTACTCTATTCGTTTTACGGCTGCATTGTAAGTCTAGAGTGATTACAATATGACTCTGTACCTGAACAAGAGTGAATGTAGTGTTACTCTTGAGGGTTGGTTGCCAACGTAGCCTCACCCGGGGTACGTAACTTATTCACATGCTGGACTTCTAGACAAAAGCAGTCATGTTCATTGACGCGATGTACACTAGTAGACCGGCCTTGGTCGAAGATCCGGACCATTGGGCTTCAAGACAGCGTTCCAGACACGTCGTCATCCTCGTGCGGCGGAACCGGGATTCAAGGAGAGCAGCCCGGTAGTCGTAGAATTTGGAATCGTGGGCTCCGTTGAGACGTTGGCTATACCTCTGACTTTGCCAATGCGTGAGGATACCTTGGAGTATGAATAATCGTTCTTACTCGAATTACGCGTGCGGGGCGCTGTTATGGTGGCTTTAGCTCGGTTGATGGTGGTGTTCTTCCCAGAGCGCATTTGCTACTTTTGAGGTGAACAGCAAGCTGCGTGCCTCAAGTGGTATCGTCTTTCATACAAAGTCAAGACCACAAAGTCAAGAGACTGTCATCCCGCGCCTGGCTGAGCCTTGTTGAGGGAAGACTTTTACTCGGACCGAGCCCCTTTGATTGAGTAGACAAGAAGATTCTCATCTGAGAAGATCCGATAGGCCAGTTACCCGCTTGGAAGACGGCACACGCCCTTGATCGCGATTATTGTAAGCCTGTCGCCAAATCGCGTATCATCATTTCCTACAGGCCCGATGGATTTGTTGCGCAGCTCTGGTGCTAGATTGTAGTCGTTCTTGTTGCAATGGTGAGGATGAACCAATTGATTTCAAAGAGCTTCAAGATCCGGTTGCAAGAGGGGCGCTTCTAGCCGTGGATGACACCCTCACGTTTGCACGTAGGATTCTCGTTTGGGCCAAGACAGCATGACAGACCGATCATAGCCTGCCTCGGATGCTGACCTATATCGCCAGCCTTACTGCAGCAGCCACGTTGTGTTCGAAACAATCAGCGATGGGAAGGACTCGGGAGTCGGGAGTTGGAGTAGGGACGCGACGGTGTTTCTCTCGCGCCGGACCGTTCCTCATGCACATGCAGACGGCGGTTGCTTACGGACGGGGACCCCCCTGCCGTTATGGAGCGTTGGGTTGGTCGCATGCAGTTGCCGTCACATCGCCTTGAGTTCTCCCGTGTTCGCCTCGTTGCAGGAAAAGAAATGTGAAGCACAATGGCTATTGGGTGACGGGACTGGGGAGGGGCGATATAAAACTCATCGCATCAACAATCTGAAGTGAAGGCATCGTCAGTTTAGGTGCCATTATTCACGACTCGAGTCGAACCTTGGCTGCCTGGACGTCGTGTAGAGTTATCTGTAACCGTACAGCCAGAAGTTGCCGGCCGGCAGAAAGACGTTTAGTGTGGCACAGTGGGTGAGTGGCACGTTGTGGCCGCGCCCACTTGGTGACATTTGATACGTCACCCGAGCGCCGGGATGGGGCACACCGCACACGGTGCAAGGGACTTCCCGCGGTTGCTGGGCAACGATTGTGAGGACCGTTTCCGGGAGGGGAAAAGTTTAAAAAAGTGTGAAAGAAAAAAACGACAAAGAGGCAGCAGAGTCGAGACAGAAGCACCTTGCTCCACAACGACCGTTGAGATGAGATGACGCCGCTGTGTCACAATTGGCGCCCAACGGTGCCCTGCTCGCCCAGCCTGGCTCATTGCAATGTTGCAGTCGCAATCGCAGTGCTCGCCCGATCATCCGTCGTATTCGAGCCCATCGAGTGCTGAACCTAATCGACCCAAGGGAGACCCAGTGAGCTGGACGAGAGGAGCAAGAAGACGAACGTCGAGGTGATTGCAACGGTGCTCGGCGCGGGACTGGCGGAGGTCGTGTGGACTCCGTCGACGGTGGCTCTCTCCTCTTTTTCCCCTCCTCGTTCTCTTCCGTCCTCTTCCGCACCGCCCTCTTACACACAGAGTGGATGTGCTGGCGCCGAGGAGGGCCTGCCGCCTACCGGGGGAAATAGCCTCAAGACCCGCGATTCGCTGTCATGACATCCCAAGTGGACCTGTCCCCCAGTGATTTCCAGTGATTGACCGCTCAGACAGACCGCAGGCGACTCGGCGGATAGCCTGTCATAGGCAGGAGATTGAGTGAATTCTTGGGATTGGACCGTTGGAAGAGGGGAGGAGGGTCTGAATCGTTTGCGGTTTGCTCGATCGAGGTGGGCGAAGAGGATCTTGGTGGGCTCGGCAACGGTGATTTGTTATGATGATCTGTTGGCAATGAGAGGACGGAGGTCGTTTGCCATGCTTTGGTTGGCTAATGTTCTTCCGACGAGAGGTTGATGATCGGAAGAGGGAAACCAGAGGCCATCTCGTAGAAGATTGTAGGAAGCCTCTGGATCTCTATTCGCAGAAGAGAAACACTTATCGCAGGGTCTGCCACGAATTGGGACTCTGGAAGCGGTGGCTGGAGCTTGGTCATCCGGTGGTTTGGATTTTTTTTGTCTTGTTTTTTCAGGGTCCCGTTGGTTGCAAGGAACATCCTCTCAGCCATGAGGTGGAAGCTAGGATGGCAGTCTTTTCCTGAAGAACGCTCAGTTGGCATTCCAGTCCGGCCGAGGACATTACCCCAGGCGGCCACATGCAGGTGCAACGGGTCAAGAACAAAAGGTTTGAAGCTAGCGAACTGAAAGCAGAGAACAGGAGAATCGAAGAGATGGGGTTGGAATGGAGAGAGAGAATGAGACGGGCACCTAGAAGCATCTCTGAGACACAAGATACATAGTACCTTGGGCGAGGTAGGTAGTCCAGCTGGTGGCAGCACCTGCCATTCGGTATCGGGTCTGAGTGTCCCAGTGCCTTCCTTCCCTTCGGATCAATTTGCAGCTGTCAAAATGTCACCATTCCTTCCATTTGCTAAGAGGTCAGTGGGTGTTTAAGTGGGTCTCTTATAGCAATGGAAAGAGTCCCTTCTTGTTCTCTCCATGCATTCCAGCGCCCAGAGATACCTGAAGAGACCTCGGTACGTACTGCTGAACACTAGCGCCCAGTCATTTACCCCCAACTTTTGCTCCCCCCAATCCCACCACCGCCAGCACCACCAGTCCACCACCACCACCGCCGCTACCTCTCTACACCCGGTCGCCCATGAGAAATTCCCAAAGTAAACACAAAAGAATTCCTGGCCCCTTCTCGTCCCCTTCCCCGTCACATTTTCCCTCAAAACCATCACCAAACCCGACCTCCACCAGGAACGGCGCCGTGTCACCAGACAGCTCGATTCCTTCCATATTCGCCTTACTAACCAGCAGGGCAAGTTCCAGAACATCAAGAATATTTTTCTTGTCTCAGCCCTCTTCCCCGCGATCGGACGCAATCTCAACCACCAAGCACCCGCCACCTGCAAAAAAAGCGCAAGGCCGGAGCGGGAAGAACACGATTCATTCGGTCCAGGCACCAAGCATCGACGACAAATACCTCTCAAAGACCCGATCCGACCCCTCTCTCGCTTTGACGTCTTGGTCTTTGCTCGTCTTTTTCCCTCTTGGCTTCCGGAGTTTGTTTTTCTGCATTGTTGCTTGTGAGTACTTTATTACAGACTGCCATATTCTCTCACTTTCCCATTGCTGCGGGTCATTCCACCGCCACTTCCTGCCTTCCAGCTATCAGATGGCACACAGCTTTGCTGCTACTCCAAGAAGAAGAAAATGCTCATGGCTTCTGTGCAGACGCTTCACGATTTAACGACCGTCAATGGACCTCCTGAGATACCACTAGACTTCTGCTTGCTTCATCAACCTCGACCGAGACCCCAGGTCTCCACAAGAGCTTCAAGGCTCTACTTCAACATCCTCACTAGGCATTTGCTGCCAGGTTCACCACTCTCCACCAAGAGGTGAGGTCCGCTCAACATGAGCGCTCCTCCCCCGCCTCCGCCTCATGGCGAGGCACCCAAAACCACTGCTGGCTCTCCGCCTCCTGGCAGTGGCCTGGGCCCAGGCAATTATGACATATTCGTCATTCCCCAGCGCGATAAGGGCGGCGGATTTATCTATCTACCCTCTCTGGCGCCCCAAGGCCCTAGTTTCGCCGCTGGCTTCGCATGCGCCCTCGTCATGGTCGTCATGTTCCAGAGCATGGCGCCTGCCTTCAAGGCATGGTGGTTTACATACCAGGGCATGGGAAACATGGGTATGGCCTTGCTTGTCATAGCCGTCGGCGTGGGAGCCTGGGCTTGGGGAAAGTCGCAGAACCAGGGCGCTTCTCCGAATAACGGCTCGAGTGGCTACCGCCCCGGCCCCGGTAGCTACGGCTCAGGCGCCAACTTCAACAACAGCTACGCGAATGCTGGCCCGCCGCCGCCTCCGCCGCCTCACGGCAACCAATACAACGGCCCTCCCCCGAACAGCCCGCCGCCCAACCACGGCGCGGGAAACGGCGGTCCTAGGTCTCAATGGCAAGAACGACCTCAGCCTCCACCCCCTCAGGAACCTGAAACTGAACCTGAGCCAGAGCCTGAACCTCGAAAACCAGATCCTCCTCCTCCTCCTCCCCCACCAAAACCAAAACAACCTGATCCGCCGAAAACAAACACCTGGGAGAAGGCACGGGAGGAGACGAAGAAGCGCGAACAGGAGCGCAAGGCAAAGGAGGACGAGGAGCGCCGCAAAGCAGAGATGGCGCGGAAGCTAAAGGAGTTCCGCGAAAGAGAAGCTCGAGAACGAGCCAGGAGGGAGAAGGAGGACCGCGAAAGACGAGAGAAGCTAGAACAAGAGATACGCGAAAAGGAAGACTTGAAACAGAAACTTGAAAAGGAACGTCAGGAAAGAGAAAAACTACAGCGCGAAAAGGAAAGGGCCGAGGAGGAGGCCAAAGCCGCCAGAGAACGCGAAGCGAAGGAAGCAAAGGAGCGGGAACTCAAGGCCAACAAAGAGAAGGAGGACAAGGCGCGCGAAGAAGCCCGCAAGAAGGAGGCAGCCGAAGCCGCCGCCCGCAAAGCCCGTGTCGAGGCGCAACTAGAAGCCTTTCGGAAAGCCAAGAGAGAGCGCGAGGAAGCAGAAAAGGCAAAGAAGGATCGCGAAGACGCAGAAAAGGCCAAGAAGCTGGCCGAGGAGGAGGCAGCTCGCAAAGCCAAAGAGGAAGCTGCACTCAAGGCCAAGGAGGCAGAAGAGGCCGAAAAGGCACGCAAGGGAAGTAGCTACGCCTACTCGTCCGGCGAGAAGACGAGTATGTGGCCCAACGGCCGACCCCCTGCTCCCCCCTCCACGGCGGCTTCGACGCCGCCGAGACCTCCCCCGTCCGCATCGTCCGCACCCCCGAGACCTCCCCCCTCTGCTAGCTCTATGCCGCCTCCAAGGCCGGCGCCTTCCGCAGCTTCATCCTCCAACACGGCCAGACAACCGCCGCGACCGTCGGCACGGACTGTCGACGAAGACCAATACTCATACCGACCATACGATAAGCCGAGACACCGACCCGCGTCTTCTGTCGGCTCCGAGTCATCGTGGGCCCCGTCAGCCACCACGACAAGAACGACGCCGCCGCCTAGCATGCGCGGCCCTTACACGACCAAGGATCCCGACAAGATTGTCATCAGAGCTGTCTACCTATTCATGAACCAGTTCGCAAAGACGCCTGCGAGCCAGCTCGTTTCGGGGTTTGGCACAGTGACAGATGGGCTCATCCTGCGAATCACGACCGAAGGTCTCTTCATCGACGACGACGTCCGCGGCGTCCCGCAGCGCGAGTGGGACGTCAAGGCTTGGACGCTAAAGCTGGTCGAGGTATGGTGCCCCCCGCACTGCTTGAATTCGAATGCTGCTTCTGCCCCTGCGATGAATTCCCAAAACCATCCTTCGGGTTTGTTTCAAAAGATGGCGAATCAGCGAGCCCGTACGGCGGACCGGGGAGCCACCAAGATGCTCACGGGCGACGAAGCCGATGCCTACCTGACCGAAATGTTGCGTGCTTGCAAGAGTTGCTGTCGTCTTGGCTTGTGCGACACCAAATTCAAAGATACTAACATGGGTTCTGCGTCCGGACAGACTGGGGAGTGGAAGACAAAGAGCCTGCACGTGCTGCGCGCAACAGTCCGAGACCAAGAAGGCAAGCGATACATGTTTGTCTTGGATGAAGAAGAGGCCTGGAAGGTCGCCGTGGGCGTGCAGCGGTTGCGTAAGGGCACCCAGGTACGCTCGCTGGGTGTCAGCGGCATGAGCGCGTCCGATGCGCGCAACACGCTCGAGACTCTGGGCTGGTCATGAGACTGCTTGGGCTTACTGGGACGAATTTCGATTCAAGTCTATACCTTTTATGCCGGGCGTATGAGTCCGCCTTTGTCGATATCATAATATGGGTGGCTGGGAGATGAGGATGTTGACAACGGGTGGGCAGGCAACGCTGCTCCTTCTTATACGACAACTGTGGAGGGTCGACTCGATGACGAGGACGTGCCAGTTTGATTGGCATTCTTTTCGGTTTACGTGGAATTTGGTTGCATAGCAGAGCGCGGGATGGTCAAAAACATTCCAGAAAAAGCTGGGACGAAACCATTGTCCAATGATTTTTTTCAACAGCATCGATGGCCCGGTTGGGCACATCCTAGGATACCTCTAGTTAAGCAATCTCTCGCTGACGACCTCAACAAGGTTGGCTGTGCGGGGGGTGTTGATGAGTTTGACTACTTAATGACGATACGACTTCAAGTTTTTCCATGTCTTCTTATTGTGAATTGTCAAGTAAGGGAACTCACTGCAGTTTTCTATGACTGTCAGCTAGTCCGGTTGTCAACCGGAGTTAAACCAGGCAACTGGGTTGCGTGGAGTTTTCGACATGGGCTATCCTGACGGCGGAGGCTGGGAAGTGGGTGGGTTACTCCTCGCGGGACTTCTGTTCTCTTCTCCAGCCATCAAAGGAAAGAGGACCGCGGTTTTCAGACGAAAGAATTGCTTGTTTGGTGATCAATAGCCTCAGGATGTTTGTTCTCTCATTACTAACGGTCATACCCAACTCCAATGGATGATATCCAAGTAGTGCACAGGAGTCGTCCACGTCACGTAAACATTTTCAGTAATCGTCTTGGGCTACTACTGGCCGCTGCGACTCACATTGCTGGAGAGAGCCTTTCCTTGCCTAATCTACTGTCTCTGACGTTTAGGAGGGTAATGATTTTTCTGAACCACCGGTGAGGACCTCCCGGTATTACCTTGAGAAAAAGTCCCGCATTGAGGAACTGCAGAAGTACTTGCAAGTGTCCCCGTATCGCTATCGGCATTTGCGATAATTACCTTGGTAGCCCCCCCACCCCACTTGGTGACTGCATGTGTAAAAAAGCCGACGCAGGGAAGACGGTTTGGAGATATCGGAGAGAAGAGGGGAGATAACTGTAGCGGCATTTTAGTCGGCCAAGAGCGGTTTTTCATTGACTCCAACTCGTCATAAGACTTGGCCGTTCTCCAATCTCGGTACCTACTGGGGTCATTGACGATAACCCAGCAGAGTTGGGCTTATCTGCTGATTTTGTTCTCGGAACTAGACAGGACCTAGCACGGGCTGTATTCTTACCTTTTTCTGAGAAACAAATTTTAGCGTGGAACTTGGAATAAGCTTGCTAGAGTTTGGGCACAGTTGGGACCGTCTGTCTACCTAAGTTTGCTTTGAGTGTCGGATCGGTTCCGACAGAGTTTACCGGCCCGCAGGAAACACACGAGGACTATCCGTAGATGGACCGTCTCTTATTGGGGTATCTTGGTGGGGGAACCGTCGTGTCGGGAATCTTTGCGCCCGTTGAGCTCACTCTTGGGTTCCCTTTTCCCCAGATGATGACGTCTGAGTATGGTGTTGAATGGTAACCTCAATTCTTTTGTGTCTGACCCATTGGTGTACTTACGCAAGTTATGTTTGTTGATCGTAGTCAATTGCAATTATCAGCACATCCTACGGGCCTAGTGACGGCCGACCGACTCCCGTTCCTGCTGACTAGAGTCCGGCCCCGGGAAACCGATCCAACTACCGACATCGGCCGGGACTTCTTTGTGAGAGTCAACGCGAGGTCTCGATTGCCCCTCCGACCCCAAGTCAAGATTTACCGATATCCTCGTTCCGCAAAAGGCCACCCGATAACGACGCAATGGACTTGCTAATTCTACTACGTATGCCCACAGCCCATCTGAGCGGGGACTAGAGCGATGACAAGGACAAGATACCCCAGCCCGCAAACCGGTTCCGGCTCTCAGACTCTGCAAGCTAGCGATGCGGACTCGCATGCATGGTCCCTTTCGTGGAGTCCCCATGATAAGCAACCGTAACCGCAACCCCCGAAGCTGGAAAGTGGCCCCGTCATGGAAACAACGACCGAATCAGATAAGCCTGGCGGGATAATGAGTATTATTGCTTTCTTGCCATGGTCCTGATTCTAAGCAATTTGGACCCAGCTACCTACCTTGAGCCAGTTCTGATATGGAAAAAAAAAGGCAACCAATAGACAAGAAAGCTGGACTGGGGCAAGGGAAAGGAAAATCCCTCCCTCCACCTGCAGACCTATCGTTCAGATACCAGGAATTGGTCATCTTGATTGGATGTTGTAACTCGAGTCCGAATACACACATTCCTCATATAAAGAGTAATGTCGCATCCACGGCGTCCAGCAGGCTCGCTGCCCTAGGCTAGGAACCCAGCACAAGGACTGAGGCGCCCAAGACTCAGCAATGAAGGCATTCACACTCCTCGCCCTCGTCGGCGTCACCGCAGCCGACCTAACCTCCACCGGCGCATCCCTAATCCTCAACGACATCTACTACTTCGTCTCCCCCTTCTCCCAGGGGAACCCCTCAAACTCCTCCTTCAACATCAAATCCCTCCCCCGCGCCTTCGGCTTCACCCCCGTCACAGTCGTCGCCGAGCCCCTCCCCAAATCCTCCCTCCCATCCCTCTTCGCAAACTGGACGTCCCAAGATGACGTCTGGCAGCCCGCCTTCCTCGGCGCAATCTTCCTCGCCGGGCTCGATACGCCGTGCCTCACAAAGGAAACCTACGACGGCACGAACAAGACCCAGTCCATCGTCGCGCCCTTTGCTCCTAGTGTTAGCAGCAGCAGCAGCAGCAGCAGCAACATCCCCTCGGGCCCATACTTCCTCGACACATCAACAGGCGCCCTCCACCAAGCCTACCGCCTCTACCCAGACTACGCAGGCGCCTTCTCCGAATCCCTCCTCCAGAAGCAAGACACCACCTTCCAAACCCTCTCCGCCCAGGTACCCGCCTCCGCCTCCCTCACAATCGGCGTCCCCTCCCGCCTGTACTCCCTGGCAGCTCGCTCCCCCGCGAAACCCCTTGCCGGCGTCCGCGTAGGCGTAAAAGACATCTACGACCTCGCCGGCGTCAAAAAGTCCAACGGCAACAGAGCCTGGTACGCCCTCTACCCACCCGCGACCTCCACCGCCCCCGCAATCCAAGCTTTGCTCGACGCGGGCGCCGTGGTGGTGGGATACCAGAAGCCCTCGCAGTTTGCAAACGGCGAGACGGCGACGGCGGATTGGGTGGATTACCACTCCCCCTTCAACCCGCGCGGCGACGGCTACAACGATCCCTCTTCCTCGTCCTCGGGCGCCGGAGCATCCATAGCTTCGTATGAGTGGTTGGACATCGCAGTAGGCAGCGACACGGGCGGCTCGATCCGCGGACCGTCTGCCGCGCAGGGTCTCTTTGGGAACCGGCCTTCGCACGGGTTGGTTGGGTTAGATGGCGTGATGCCGCTCTCGCCTACCCTCGACACCGCCGGGTTTCTGACGCGGGATCCGTGGATCTGGGATGAGGCGAATAAGGTGCTGTACGGGGCGAATTACACCTCGCTGGTTGGGACCGAGGCGGAGGTGACGTATCCCGAGACGGTGTATACTGTCGACTTTCCTACCGACGAGGGACCAGCCGCGCAGATGCTGAATAAGTTTGCCGAGAACGTGGTTGCGTTCTTGGGCACGAAAGCGACGGCGCTGAATCTGACGTCTGCTTGGGCCGAGTCCGGGCCCGAGGAGGTGCGAAATCAGACGCTGGATGAGGTTTTGGGGTTGACGTATGCTATGCTCATCACCAAGGAGCAGACGCCGCTTGTGCGTGATCCGTTTTATGCTGATTATACCGGTAAGTCTCTCTCTCCGTGTTCTTTCTTTCTTCGTATCTTTGCTTTTTCTTCTCCTTCGAAAGAAGGAACAAGCCCCGATCCTCTTTCACTTGTCAGCCGACTAACACCAAACTTGATAGCCGCCCACAACGGCCGCCTCCCTTTCATCAACCCCGTCCCCCTCGCACGCTGGGGCTGGGGCGACGCGCAACCCGCCAGCGCCCTCGACGACGCAAGAGCCAACAAGACGCTCTTCATGGACTGGTTCAACACCGAGATCCTGCCTCCCTCTGCTCCTCCTGCCCTGAACACCTCTTCCTCGTCAACATGCTCCTCGGCTCTCCTCTTCTACGTAGGTTCCTCCGGCCGCGCCTCCCTCCGAAACCGCTACCCTACGACCACGACGCCCACTCCGCCGCTGGGCTTCTCCAATGGCCGGCTGAGCGTCTTCAGCGGCGCGCCGGACCATGTTTTCCCCCTGGGAGAGGTCGGTAGCGTGAGTTCTGTTACGAATGCGACGGAGATGTTGCCTGTTACTGTGGATGTTATGGCTGCGAAGGGGTGTGATGGGTTGATTGTGAGGTTGGCGCAGGATTTGGTGGGAGCTGGGATTTTGAAGGTGCCGTTGGCTGGGGGGACGCTTGCTGGGGGTGAGGTTCTGTTCAGGAGGGACGTTGAGGAGTGGTTTTGATGAGGGAGGTTAGACGTATAGAAGATTACAAGACGAGTATAACGTATAACTAATGTTTTATATGAACCAGCGGCTACCCTGGATTCTGGTGAATATTATACTTGCTTAGTGCGACAGGTACTCAGTCGGGAACTTACCTTGAGGTAAGGTAAGTGCATTCTATAAGGTACCCCGACGTTCAATCACGTGCCGTTACCGGCAGGCAGCACCGTCCTCGCTCTTTCTCATCTCCATGTCTCTCCTTCCCGTCTCATCAAGGAGGTGAATCCAAGTCACCTGACCTCCCATCACCAGGCATCCAAGGGTATATATATCCCCCCTCAATCCCATTTCTGTCACCAGCACAGCACCGCCTGTCTAGGTCGGCGAGGTCAGGTCAAGCTGTGTGCGAGGTGGTCGAGTGGTTAAATAAACAAATACCCTAATGAAGTCAGATTTCGGGTTGACTGAGGGGCGCGCTGTTCGAATCCGGGCAGGGGCGTGAGTTCTAAGGTTAGTATCCCCCCCCCCCATCCATTTTTTTTCTTTTTCTTTTTTGGCCAATAACAACAGTAAGAGAGAAATCGACTAATACCCCCAGATTGTATGCAAAGTTGAAGAAGATACTGGTGGATTAACTGGGGTGTGTTAGCTCATTGTGGAAAGCAAGATCAGCATGACTCCAATCATGGACACGTTCCGAGAACTTCGCGAGGTTCTTCATGACCGAAAGCTAACTAGCAAGCTATAGCCAACTGTGGTGACGTTGGCGATCGTGGATGCTGCGCCGGCACAACGTGCCAGACCACCAGAGCCCCCGTCGGCGGCGTCGGAATGATTTGCCAGTAAAATTCAGAAAGGTACGTGGCTATCGTCGTATGATTGAACAGGACCGAGTGTTAATCTTGAATCTGTTCTAAAGACACGGCTATGGCCCAGTTGTCAACCTACTGCCTCGAATAGAAGGGGACACTGTACCAAATGCTATATTACAAGGCGTCATAGGTGTTGAGCACTCTTGATGTTTCGATGTTTTAAACGTAACTGAGGCTGTCATGGGCCTCTTTTAGATTAAAAGCAAAGTCAATTTATCGTTTGTTCCAACAACCTTAATTCCTGCGCCATAGGCTAAACTTTGTGCGACTACAAATGACCTGCAGGACTCCTTTCCCTTTTGTTTCCCCTACATCCACGTAGCCTACCTACTTATTCCTGATTGTCGCGAACTGCTTGAGCAAGTGCCTAGGAACTCGAGAGAGCTCTGGTTTGGAGGTCTATCTTGCATCACTACAGTTTAGACCGACATTTTAGCCTCACAGTCCAAAGTTGACACTTGACAGTCGCCATCACTAGTAAAGTCTAAAAAGCACCGACCTCATTTGATATCTTGTGAATGAATTACAATTCATCTCAACTGGGTAGGTATTTCGGCAGACACCTTCATTCGGCGTACCCACCCACACATCCGGAAAGGAACCGGCACGGGAGGTCTTCAGGGGCATTGAGACATCGTTGAGCGGCATCGGTTTGTGGATGGATATCTTTGTATGACCCGACAAAGATCACCAGCTAGCGTGCGTTTCGAAACACTTCCTTCGTCTAGAACACGAAGCGGGATATTCTCATCAATGAGTTGATTTGGCTTTTCGGCCGCTTTTATACTAGTTCCGCCTACTGCGCGGACGCTAAGCATAGCTCTCACTGTCTCATGAGCTCCATCAAGATGCCTCCTTCCTATTGAGGCCAAAGAAATAGCTACAGACCACTACTTCGTACTTTCATAGGCTTGGCAAAAAGCCGCAGACACGTGGGGTTACAACATGGCATTCAGACTTTCGCCATCGTTCCTGTTTGGTGAGGAATGGTGGCGGCGAGGAGCGAAGAAGCCCGTCTTTATGTAAGTGCCGGAAAAAGCTAGCTTCACTGTTAGATCAGGGACGAGTCGGACGGTTACTCCAGCCTCTAGAATTGAAGTGGAAACGTTCACCCGAAAGTCTTTCAATCCTTCGCCTCTGCTAACAAGGCTATTGTTCTCCCGGCGCTAGGTATGCATGATGGCTATGAGAGCTGAGTTCGTGGCTTCCTTGGCAGTGGGATATCTAATGTGTTACACAAAGGAACTATGCAAATGTAGATACCAGGCTGAGACCGTCGTAAATATAAGGTAGCAGACTGTTCTTGTCAACTATATCGAAACAACCAGCTCATCATCCTTTCATCTTTTCTCCCACGCGCAATCATGCAGTCTCAAACCTCTATTCCACGCTTGTTCCTGGTGCTGACTGCTTGCGCCAATGCAGCCTCCATCGCAAAGCGAGATGTCAAAACCTCATCAACTCTGCAAACTGGATGGTCTTACTCTGGCTGTTATACCGATAACAATAATGGCATCCGACAGCTGTCACGGGATGGATACAGAGATTACAATGCCATGACTGAAGAAACATGTATAGCATATTGTAGCAGCAAAGGCTACCCCGTTGCGGGAGTCGAGTATTCTAGCGAGGTAAGCCATGCCAATTTGCCCTCCTCCATCGTGCACATACATGTACTCACATTTCCTAGTGTTACTGCGACTTTCAATTAGCTTCAACTTCGGTAAAGAAGCCCGAGACCGACTGCAACATGCCCTGCAGCGGCGACAGCACAGAAGCCTGTGGCGGTAGCGACAGAATTTCGGTATTCACAAACGGCGTCGCGGCCCCAGTAATCAACCCCGGCCCTCCGGGCTGGTCATCCCTGGGCTGCCAGAACGATCCCGGCCCAAGACTTCTTTCTTACCGAGCCGGCGTCGCAGCTGGCGACTCCAAGATGTCGGTGTTGCAATGCACCAACGCATGCCAGGCTGCTGGCTACTCGCTCGCCGGCGTGGAATACTCGTCCGAGTGCTACTGCGACAACCAGTTTCGTAACACGGGCTCTTCGGGCTTCGACGGCTGCAACATGCTCTGCTCCGGCAACAGTTCCGAGTACTGTGGCGGTCCCAACCGGATCAACGTCTACCAGGCATCCGCCAAGCCCAAGGCTGCCAGTGTCATGCCCTCAGGATGGGCTGAGAAGGGATGTCTGAAGGACAACGTCCTTGGAAGGGCTCTTACGGTCAACGTTGGCGTTGTTGGCGGTACCCAGAACATGTCTGTTGGTGGCTGTGTTTCGGCGTGTTCTGCTGCTGGTTATCCCATCGCCGGTGTCGAGTACTCGCAGGAATGCTGGTGTGATAGCCAAATCAGAAATGGAGGTGTAGCGGCGTCGGATGGTTGCGATCTGCCTTGCAAGGGCAACACGGCAGAGCTATGTGGCGGAGGCAATCGTCTCAACGTTTATGCTTCGATTCCTCTGACCCTGCCGGTCAGCTCGACGTCCTCTTCGACCTCATCGACGACCTCGACAAGCTCTACTTCATCATCTGTCTCAACCACTTCGAGCTCCTCTACAACTTCAAAGTCTACAACTAGCTCCACTGCATCATCTACCTCGTCCACCACGAGTTCTTCCTCGAGCTCTTCGACGACGACTTCAAAATCCTCGACAAGCTCCACAGCATCTTCAACTACTTCCTCCACCCCATCTAGCACAACAAGCACTACGAGTAGCTCATCCACGAAGACTTCCACAATAACCACCACTAGCTCTTCGAGTACTACTGCCGCCACTTCGTCGTCTTCAAAGACGTCATCGTCCTCGTCCAGCTCAGTTGCTTCGGCTAACAGATGCCGCGCAACCACCAGTGAGTACTTTCGATCGACACTTGAATTTGCCGCAGAGAATCTAACAAATGTACAGGCAGTATTTATGTCCAGAACGGTGGCTTCGACAATGGCTTCAACAGCTGGAGCTTTGCGCTTTACCAACCCAGCGATCCAGTTTCGCAAGCTGTCATTTCAGACAACCATCAGACTTCAGGTTGCTCTGCTCTGTAAGTCACAAACTCTCTATGCCAACGGCAGATTGTATCATCAAGCAAATGCTAACACGGCCACAAAGCGCTTTCATCCCATCCGGTACTTCGAATCGCCAGGCTTACATCTACCAATCCCTTACCGGCCTGCCCCTTCGAGTCGCCAGGACTGTAACGTTTTATGCAGGCCGTCTTGACTCTGCGACAAAACAGGACAATGCGAAGGTCTATGTTGCTTGGGGAGATGCTATCATGGGCCCGTCTCCAGTCTGTGGCAGCTCTACGTACACGTGCTTGACGACTTACAGCGACGCGGGTGGATACAGACAACACACCTTCACCTTTACTCCCACTACAGCCAATGGTACCCTTTCCATAGGTTTCTCCTGGGATACTGGTTCGAATGCTGCCCCTGTCATTATCGATGACATTACTGTGTCTTGAGAACAGCTGTTGGACGCCGTCTACTACCCTTAATGAGCGATTGTATCTTTTGTTTTTAGAGAACCAGCATAGCGTAGAACTAGAAGATCTGAGAATTATTTCTGTCGGATTGGAAGCCCAATTCGGCCGCGAGTAAGGGCAGAGCATGGGCCACCTCGAGGGAGTACAATTAGACCTCGACTACCCACCCAACCTCCGGTTGGAATCTCCCTTTTACTCCTTACGCAGAATCAATCAATACAGAGATATTGATACTTCGTCACCCCCAGGACCCTACGGCTCGAACCAACTTCCCTGTGAAAGGAATACCAACAATTTCCATTCACTTCGTGTTCAGTAGAAACATGTTCAATATCCCGATTCCTGAAATGCCTTCTTACTTTGACGCCGGAAAAGTTTGGCACCTTCAACTGTGCTCAACCTGGCCGCGATTTCAATATCGGGAATTACCTACTGAATATTATTCAGTACGCGTCTAAGAAACTCTTTCTGTCCAGTAATGTTCTTCTCAAACGCGATTCCACCCTTGTACAAGTCAAAGTGGCCACCATCGACCCTCAACGCTTCTCCAAAGGGAGCACGTCTGACGCAGTCCTCGGCAGCACCTAATGATGCCTCGTGATCCCAGGTAGAGAGAACAACCAAGTATGGGCGAGTGCTCTTGTGGATGTGTAACAACGGCCGATTTATCATTATGTTCAGAAGAGATCGCCCAGCAATAAAATTGGGCCAATCTCGCCCGTCGTCAGGCGCCAAACGATGCCAGCCATCATAAGCCTCTTGTGATGCCATGACAGCTGTTGTGGACCCATCGCTGATGAGATCAACGTACTTCGGCTCCGTCGTCCCCAGAACGTACGCTCCGACGATGTCAGCAGCAGCCGTCATCGTCAACTTCAAGGACCGGAGAAGCGGCATCTGCGTTACACCAGCCAACCCGTCAACAAGAGGACATTGCGCTACACCGGCCGCCAGCTCGTGGTCTTCGGCCATGAGAGCTGTGGTGTGCATGCCGCCGAAGCTACTCCCCCAAACAACGATGCGTGATGAGTCGACCCACGTGTTCTGCTCCGGCTCCCGAACCCACTTGATCACATCGCGAAAGTCTTGTAGCTGATGCCCAACGTCGAGCACGTTCCGTGGGAAGCCCTCGCTCTCGCCAAAGCCCAGGTAGTCGAACGTGACGGCGGGGTAACCCTCGGCTGTGAAGTGGCTTGCGAAAGGAGCCAGGCCGGCGGCCTTGATGGCTCCGATGCCGTGACCCATCACGATGACGGGTGCTGGGTGTTTCATTCCGTCGGGTTTGTAGATGGAAACAGCAATCTTTTGGCCATTCCGGCTGGATGTAACGAATCGATCTTCGATAGTGTACCCCATGCTGATATCATGCAAAGTTTCATGGAAGTTGAAAGAGCTCAAGTAAAACGTCTTACACGAACCCTTATCCGACTTTATTCAACACAAGACGCATTCGACTGTGTCGTAATTTCGTTGCTCGACTCACCATCGGAGCGAATGGAAGCTTTTCGGCTTCTAGACATGCATAAGCGTCGCACGATCATTTGCACGGACTCAATTGAGCCTCGGCTTGTCATGTGGAGATGCTACACGGTGAAGGAGCTGTCCCAAACCTAAGTGGACGTTGTAATTGCGGGGAAGTATCAGACGGAGAACGGGTGTTGCCTGCCGGCTTTGCTGTCCATCCGTCGATCCGACGAATATAGGGTAGAGAGTGGTCGGCGAATAGCATCAGGCGTCGGCTATTCACCTCCAACTTCACTCTTTGACGGCTCAGGAAACAATGTCTTCCACACTTATTCAGTCGTCTTCATCTTTGTCCGCGAAACTTGTTGAGCTGTTTCGCAACTTCGAAACGCCAGGGATTATGAAGCTAGTCTTCCGACGTGGTTGGCCGAGATTTGTTCTTTCCTTGCTGCTTGGAATAGCCGCGCTTCGGAAATCCAACAGTCTTCTGAGCCAAGCAACTCTCAACAACTTCACTCAAGATAAGTATGACTGGCGAAGAGAGTTGGTGGTAGTTACCGGCGGATCCGGAGGCCTTGGGGACATGCTGGTACGTAAGCTAGCCAAGAATTGCATCAAAGTGATCAGTCTTGACGTTGTTCCACCGAGGACTCCGCTGCGTAAGTTTGGTCTGCGTTGCTGAATCTCAAATGACAAGTCTCGCTAAAGCTGCAATTAGCGTCAAATGCGTACTTCTATGAAGTGGACATCACATCAAGCAAGTCAATCAAAGAGATCGCAGGCCAAATCCGTCAAGATCACGGCGATCCTACGGTTTTGGTGAACAACGCAGGCGTCATGAAAATAGCCTCGATGCTAGACGAGACTGAGGAGCAAATTCGCCACGTTTTCGACGTCAACATCATTGCTAGCTTCCTCTTGATCAAGGAGTTATTGCCCTCAATGATCCACAACAACCATGGCCACGTGGTATCAGTTGCGAGCATGGCGAGTTTTGTGACGGGTGTAAATAATGTGGACTACTCTTGTTCCAAGATTGGCGTGCTAGCCCTGCATGAGGGACTTACCCAGGAGCTGAGGCACCGATACAAGGCACCAAGAGTGCGCACGAGGTGAGTCTAAGATTGACGATCTAGCAAGTAACTAAGCTGTGGAAAACTGACTTTGGCCAATGGATAGTATCATCCACCCGACCTATATAAGGACAGCTTTGATTGAAAAGGTCCACAGCTCGGGTCCCTTCAAGTCAAAAATACTTGAGCCGGAGCCCGTAGTTGATGCCATCTTCAAGCAGGTTGTCTCTGGTCGCAGTGGCCACGTTTACTTGCCAGGGGACTATGCCAGAGCGGCAGGACTACGCGCTTGGCCTCATTGGCTTCAGGAAAGTCTGAGAGATGCGCAGAAGGACACACTTTTACATTAAACCTGAACAAGAGGTTTGAGGACTAGGAATTGTATGTACGTCTTTGACAAATGAACAAAGGATGACACGGAACGTTTTGCTTCTTTCTCTGGTCCCTGGATAGTGTCCCGCGGCTAAAAGATTTCCAGTATGATTGAGAAATTGTAGAAGATTACTTGAATTAAAGGCCAGCTTGTTGACTATTGCTTCTCCAGGCGTGAGTCTTAGTTTTCCTAATGACGTTCAGCTCGGACTAGCCCTATCATACGTCGCGAGCTACGTCAGTGGCTCCCATCATGTGCAGCAGTCTCATTTCGCAACTGCACAGTCGTCTTATATGACTTGAACTTTCTCGCCGGAACGCCCTTTGCGAACATTTCGTCAAGCTCTTCATAGGAGCGACCGCCAGTTTTCAGGCTGGAAGAGCCAAAGATAAGCCAGGGAAAAGAGACACAAGCCACCAAAGATGAAGGCAATCTTGGCGCCGAGGTTGGCATTGTCCGGGTTGAACATGTACGGGATGACAAACTGACACATGACGTTGATGGAGTTTTTCGATGCATATCCGATAGCGACGGTCTCGGCTCGTAGACGAGAAGTAGACACCTCGGCAAGCAGAGAGAAGGCGGTTGATCCGATTGAGACCTTGTACCACCAGCTGTAGATGAGAATGAATGCAACGGTTCCTTTGATCATGGGCTGGCTGGTGCCAGTTCCCAATCCGCCTGTGATCAGAAGGAAGACTGTAAGAATGGCCAGGCCATAGAACGTCAGGTTTCTTCGGCCGACTCTGTCAATTACAGCGGCAGCCATTAAGTTGCCGACAATAGACAGGACGGGTTAAGCGATCTGAAGTTGGTAGCTCATTGAAGTGGAGTAACCGGCAAGCTGGAGATAGTCTAGGTAGTCAACTGTTAGTTCCGTTACTTTCATGACGAAATGGAGCTAAGCCTCGAATACGTTGTCGTTTGGCAAGCAGGTGGAATACTGGCAAGTGAAGTAGCTGGCCACAAAGGCAATTCCGCTGAAACTCTGAATGCAAAGAGGCATGATGCTGATGATCGTTCTCAGGTTTGACTTCTTAAAGCACTCCAGGTAGGTAACACCGTCTGTTTCGGCTTTGACCTCGTTGAGTGTGCGCTCAATGAGAGCAAGTTTCGCTCTTCCCTCATTACCGGAGTGTCCAAGCCTTCCAAGACTCTCAAGAGCTTCTTCCTTCTTCCCCTTAGATACTAGCCACCACGGAGATCTAAAGCAGGTTAGTCAAGTGTAAACATCTTCAATTTATCCTAAAGAATTGGTAACGTACTCAGGCATGAATGGCCAAAGAATCGCTGAAACTCCGGCAAAGCCGAATTGGCAGCAGAAGACTGTGCGGTAGGCCCAGCGGGACTCGACGGTGCCGGTGTAGTTGATTACAATAAACGCAACTAAAGGTCCGATTCCGTAGGCAACACCGACTCCACAAGTGAAGATGCCGCGGAGGGCCAGTGGTGTAATTTCTCCGATATAGCTCACCATGATGGTGCCGACAGCACCGAGCATGAAACCATTGAGAAGCTTTCCAGCAAAGAAGACCGGATTTTTTGTTGCAATGAACTCAATGGCGACGGCAATAAAGGAGATGACGAGGGCCAAAGCCAGGACTTTCTTCCGGCCGATGTAATCAGCGAGCTCGGCGGAGGCGATCGATGAAATTACGGCACTAGAAGGCGAAGTAAGTCTCACTTGCCCGAGATCAAAATGGTTAATTCTGATGCTTACGTGGCAATAGGTGCGCCGCTGAAGGCAGACTGCCAGATAGCTGGAAGGACATAGTCTCCGTTGAACTCGTATCCAAAGTCTTTGCGGAACTCGAGGATCCCCACAACAGCACCTACAGCCTGGACGTCGAAGCTGAGTAGGATGATAGTCCAGCATGCGTAAACACACCAGGCACATGCCCAGGGGTAACTGTCACGAAAGAGGTATAGCAGTGGATATCTCAGGGGTAGAGATAAGGGGTAGACAGGGGTATGGGCATACAAAAGGGGCTCCCTCGAGGGCTTCCCTTTTCCCCTTTCCATAGTTGATTAGACCACAGTTGATATCCCGATTTCCATGAGCTACTCTGTATGCTGATTCGTGACAGTAACGGACGAATGACTTCCAGATGCCCATCTCGTGGTCTTCAAAGTCGGCAGCGAGTGCCAACTGAGAGTCAGCGCTGACTTCAAGGTGCTTAGCGTCATGTTGTGAGTCAACCTTTTCGGCTGCATAGCCGTCGTCGTAATTCACCATGATTGTTTATTTCATGGATGAGAAGTACAAGAGCGAAAAGAGAGAGTTGAATCAAGGATTCTTGGAAAGACGATGCCACTTCGGGTTGCTCAGATCAAAGACAAGAGGTGATGGTTGCTGGAGACTTTTAGTAGAGGGTTTGGAATCATCAAGCAACCACACGGGCAGACTTTACCCCAGGAAAACTGTGTTCGTCATGATCCTGGGGTCTGGGGGCGCTTGTGGAGAAGGGGCCCAACGGCGCGGTTCCTGAAAACCGTTCAACCGACATCTACCGTGACAACGTCCCCGTGGGGATCGAATTATGCGGAGGTGGCACTGGGCAAGGTTCATCCAAGAAAACGACACTTCTTGACTTGGGGCTTTGAGGCTACGGGTTGATAACCTCGATGCACATGCCCCTGTGGACTCCCCGTACCCGTCGGCGCAGAGCGTGAGGGACCTGATCAAGTCTGGCCCTCCGGTAAGTAGCATTAGCTCCCGGTATTGGAATAGTTTACTGACAGCGCGATTTCTCAGGTTTATGGTATGGAAGCCGTGGGTGACGATATACCGCTCAGCGAGGGAGGTGAACTTCTTCTTGAGAGGTTGACGGCGCCTGAAGAAGAGCCTCTCTGGGTTCTCGTCTGGGGTGGGGTCAATGTGCTTGCCCAAGTCCTCAACAAGATCCGCAACCGCCCAGACGCAGCCAAGCTGCGACAGAAGTTGCGCGTCTACACAATTTCCGATCAAGACGATTGCGGAGGCTGGATTCGCCAACAATACCCCGAGATCTTCTACATTTGCTCCATTCACGGCTGGAACCAGTACTAAGCTGCCGCACGGACCGGTATTTCGGCCCCTTGCTCTGGCGATGTGGGAGGACCTGATGGCTCAAAGGTGACTCACGAATGGGTCAAAGAAAACGTTCAGATCGGTCCCCTGGGCGCCGCATACCCGGATTTCGAGTTCATCATTGAGGGAGACACGCCCACGTTTCTGTACCTTATTCAAAACGGTCTGGGCGTTCCAGAAGAGCCTCTATATGGATCCTGGGGCGGCCGCTACATCCCAGTGAATGTGAGCTCAAAGGGACTTTCTTCCAGGGGTCACTTTGCCGACGCCATCGACACTGTGACAGGTGTGGACGGCAAGCCGCACAGGTCCAACCAAGCGACCATCTGGCGGTGGAGGAACGCTTTCCAGGACGACTTTGCCGCACGCATGCAGTGGGCTTTGACATCCGATTTCAGCAAGGTCAACCATCATCCCATCGCGGTTGTGAATGGCGATTCCAGCTTGACGCCCATTCACGTCGAAGCCGATGCGGGAGGCGTTATTACTTTCGATGCGTCGGAAAGTTACGATCCCGATGGTGACAAACTCAGCTTCAAATGGTACCAGTACCGCGAGCCAAGTTCGTTGCAGACGTATCACGGATTGGAGGTGTCTGACATTGAGATCAAGGCTCTCGACGACGGCGGAAGTAAGGTGGAGGTCAAGATTGCGCCTGCGGAGAAGTCTTGCATTGTGGTCAGGGAAAAGATTCACCTGGAACGAGGCCTGCCGCTGCACTTAATACTTGAAGTCACGGATAGCGGCTCGCCTGCATTGACGAGCTACCGCAGAGTGATAATACAACCTGTTGATAGAAACTTTGCCTTTAGAAAGTAGATAATTACCACGGCGGAGTCCGCACTTAAATAGATTGTGAAGTTCGCAAGTAAGCTTCTCTGGTGAAGCTACCCCGCTTGTTTGGAGTTATGAAGTGTACCCTGATGCATCATTCATAGATCTCCGAGAGCAAAGCATGTTCCATGTATCTCTGAGCCGTAAGTACGGATAACAAAATGATCATATGCTATTCGGAAAGTTGCTGGTACTGCCGACAGGTTGAATCAGGGGATGAAACTTGCTAGAACGTGTTTGAGGGAACAATGCGATTAGGTATCTATCTATCCGGGTAAGCCGGGCGTACGCCGGCCGGCGACTGTACCACAAAGGTCACCAAGGTGCCGGACCGGAGCTCACGTTCTCCGCAAGTCCGCCCACGGTGTTCGAGCTCCGCCGGCTTTCAGAAACTAAGTTTCAGCCAACCCCGCTTGAGTCTAGGCTTAGATTACGTCTTCGCCCTTGCTCCCTCCTGAACGGCGGCCTCGGGTGAACTTTTTGACTATCCCAGCTCTTCGGCAAGCTCAATATTCGCTGATTCTTACCATCTACACACTGCTGAATCCCCATCACTGAAATTCGTATATCAACATATCATCACAATGGTGCACTTCGCAGCTAAGGACATCCCTGACCTTACAGGTAAAATCATCCTCGTCACTGGGGGCAATATTGGCCTCGGCAAGGAAACAATCACCCAGCTCAGCAAGCACAAGCCAGCCCACATCTACCTCGGAGCTAGAAATGAGTCCAAAGCTTTGGCCGCGATTGAGGATATCCAGAAGACAGTGCCAGACGCAGCACCAATCTCGTTCCTCGAGATCGATCTGACGTCATTCGAAAGCATTAAGCGTGCTGCTAAGGAATTCCAGTCAAAGTCGCAGCTTCTTCACATCCTCATGAACAATGCCGGCATCATGGCCTGGCCGCCCGGTGTGACAAAGGAGGGCTACGAAATTCAGTTCGGTACGAACCACATGGGGCACGCTCTTCTGACCAAGCTTCTCCTGCCGACGCTGCAGCACACCGCCAAGGTCGGCCCCGATAAGGACGTGCGCATCATCTCGCTCTCTTCGGCGGCCGAGAACTGGGTCCCGAGCAACCTCTACAACTTTGACGACTTCAAGACCGACATGGCCACCACGGGCACATGGGCGCGATACGGCGCGTCCAAGGTGGCAAACATTCACCACTCCAAGGCCCTCGCCAAACGGTACCCTGAGATCCGCTGCATTTCGGTCCACCCGGGAGCTGTTAACACGAATCTCGTCAGTGGTCTAATCGCCAGCTACCCTCTCGTCAAGCCAATCGCTGGCCTCGTCACCTGGCTTGTGTCGACGCCCGTCTCAAAGGGGGCGCTGAACCAGCTGTGGGCCTCGGTCAGTCCGGATGCCGAGACTGGTGTGTTCTACTGGCCAGTAGGTGTGAAGGGCAAGGACTCCAAGAACGCGTTGAACGAAGAGCTCGCAGAGAGTTTGTGGAAGTGGACGGAGAAGGAGCTAGAGCCCTACGCTTGAGGTCGCATCGCCAGACATGTAAATCCAGTTTGAGGAGCGCCGTCGTGTAATTTTCTGTAAGATCGTATCCATTAAAGTACCTATGAAACACATACTGCTACTACAACAAGTGGTCGAAATTTGGCTCATCATCTTTCAAGAAGAGCTTTCTTCTCGTTTCAGCCCGCCACTTTGCAGGGCCTTCATCAGACCCTACTTACCGCTGGAAATGTCAACCACACATGATCATCTCGCTAGTCCACAGCTGAAACTGGCAGTGAAAACATGCCGTTCTAGAACTGACAGGACATACCGAAGCGAAACTCGATCCAGAGCATTGGAACCTATTATGGAATAGGGATGTGAGGCTGGTGGCACTATCGAAGGCCGCAGCCGACCCCTGCTGGGTCCCAGTCCTAGAACCACTGGCGCGGTGTTGCTTGCTGGAGTCCAGACCTTCCACAACCCACTTACCGGGGTCCCCAATTGGCTTGATGATCGTCCGGAACCCTCCTATCCCCGGATTCATTCGTGGAACTGCCGCAGAAATATCCAAATTGGGTTCGTTCAGCTCTCCTAAAGACGGATATGTTGTGCCTCGGCCACCTGAACAGGAACGCGTGTATTCGTCACATCCCCAATCAGTATCTATCGAAAGCACTGCTTTGTCGGCGGTTACAGAAATGGCTGCTTTCCGTCTGAACGGGGTCACTGCACTGGTCCACGACCGAGATCTGGTTATCGTAGTGGGTTCCATCGAGTCCCAAATAGGCAAGAAGCTGACATTCAGCTCAAAATTTGAGGGTCCCAGACCATGGTCTATCGTCAACATCACGAACCAAAATGGTAATTTGGCCGTGTTTGAAAACCGCAACGTGGTCACAAGACGTATCGACCTCTTTCAGTTAGCAGTCACACGTCGTCTACAGGATTGATATAAATCAGACGCAAGTCCTGCTGTGATATACCTAATGGTTCCTCTATCAACACAGTTCTGCACCACTTGATATCAACAATGGCCGACCAACAAGAGCCTATATTCACGCCAACCAGCGGCTATGAGTCGTTCATTTACATTTACAACAAAACCAAAGTCGACTTTGCACTTGATAGTTCAAAGGCCATTCTCGGCTCTTGGGCGAAAGGATGCCCTCCGAACACAATCAAGGCTGGAGCTCAAGCTTTGATCCAGCTGAACGACAGCTTTGGTATAAGAAGAGCACTACTCTAGCAACATCTAACAATGGCGAGCTAACGAATGTATTTTAGGCTTCTCGGGCAGCCAAGGAGAGGTTGTGTACGAGCTGTATCACCCCTCCGATCCTGACACTCCCCTCTCATTCAAGGTTGAGTTCTGTGATCCTTATGGCAGATGGAACGACAACTATCTGCGGACGAAGTCGAGCAATCCCAAGTTGGTCTCATGCCAAGTTCTGGACTACAACCTTACCGGCCACCCCTTCACAGGTATTTCTTTCTCCGGATCCGCATCGTCTCTCCCATTGTTAACAAATCGTCCAGGTCATGTCGAGGTCTACCTGACCGAGAATTCGGCCAACGAAAGAATTGATGCCGGAAACACCTCCAATGAAACCAACGGCGACGCTCACGCAGCCTTTGAAATTGGATTCAATGGTCCACTTGGCATCAAGATCCGAGACCCGGTTCATGAAGACATCGCCATCGCCGCCTTCATCGCATCCAGGATGCGCTTTCCAAAGGGAACTGAGTACAACAATCTCGACGCTGCCCAGTGGGAGTACATGCGTGGTCTTCTTTGGAGCGATGACCCTCTGTGTCTGTTGTTTGAAGACTCCAGAGAGAGCAACAGCGAGCTGGCATTGGGCGAAAAGTTTCTAGGTGACTTTTACGCCGGCGCTCCCAGCAGCCTCACACAAAGGAGCCACTTTGGTGACTTGCAATTCTTCCACGCGATGGCCGCTCAGTCGAATGAAGATCCGCATGAGACAAAGGCAAACATGCTTTCTTGGTTGGAAACCATCTACAAGCTCGCTATCGGCGTCCAGGACGTGAGGGAGACTGACAGCCTTGCTGGTCGGTTCCCGACCCGTTTCTCAAGCTACTCTGATCCCTCTGGAGACGCGAGTCTGAGACAGTTATTCTTGGGTAGAACGCCTTCGTATCGAAAGGCGAACATCTCCAAGCGTGCCTTTGGTCACTGCCTGCACATGGTCCAAGATTCGTACGCAGTCGGACACACACTCCGTCGCTTGGCCAATCCTGGAGACCTAGACGGTAAAGATGGCGAAGGTAAGATCTCACGTCCCCTAGGTACCCCCAATTTTTCGCTATCGGCTTTCTTTTGCCACTCATGACGATACGATCCCACGCTAACTCACTCATCATAGGCTTCTTCAGGTTCAAGCCCGGCAAGTTTGCCAGACTCGGGCCCATCATCACGTTCCACACCTACTCTGGTCAATCCAAACGTCACGCGCACTATGATGAGTCCAAGCAATCCCGGAGCCCAAGGGACCTCGAGTCCTTCAATCACGTCATTGGAGCCCGAGATGCCATCGACAAGTCAATCAAGTTGATCAACTTTTACGCGCAAAAGACAAAGTGGGAGGATGGAGTGCGTGACTTCTTTGCCAACGAAGTGTTTGTGCTGGACTCGAAGGCCACCCTCAGCAACCCTCAAGTTGATGAGAGGTTCGGATCACCAGATACGAGCAGTCAGTCTACTCTTGAGGCTGATCGGTTCGCGGATGAAGAGTACCAGCTGGGTATGGAGAGAAAAATGACGATGCTGGAGAGCGGTCTGGCATTTACTAGTCGTGTTCCTTCCGAGTCACAGTTCAGGTGTCTGGAGCAACTCTCTGGCCGATGCACAAGCACCATCCTAATGTCCGTAAAGCTGCTTCTTGGGTTTATTGTGGTAGCTTGCGTAATGATTCTTGGACAGTTCTTGTTCAGGGGATTTAGGTTGGCTTCAGTATTGTCACTGAGGCCACTGGCCCATTGAGCTTCGGTCCTGGGAGAACCGGGCTCTCAAGTTTGGAAGTGCTATTAGCAGAATCTACTAGTGAACAATCAAAGACTTGAAGTAGTTTGAGAGAGTTCTTCATCGTTCCGTTTCTAGTGTTGTAAGCTTCGCAACGATTGTGTGGATTTATGTCAAGTTGGGGTGTTGACGCAGGGTGGAAGCTCTCAGAGGCCAACTACAGTTAGGGGTAGAATGATGAATCACTGAAATCTGCTCCTCCCTCGACGTGTACTCCCTGCGCTGTATATATATCTGAGCTGCTCCTTTGTTGCTTGGACTCCTTACTACCTCTAACTAGCCCCCATCCGGGAGGGCTCTGACAATTTATCATTTAGCAACACCTTTTCGTGGCCAAGGTAGCAAGTTAGATAGGTAAGACCTTTTTATTTAATGTTTGGCTCCACGAGTCTGAAATATGCGTTCAACAACTCGGTGACTCTCCAGGGCTCCATTGTCTTTAAATTTCGTGTAATAGCTCGTTTCAATTATCACAAAGTGTCTCTGCGTCGCGACTCGGCAACAAATTCAGCCTGTTATGTCGCGATTCAAGGCCCCTGACCCTCACCTGCCTTGCTCGTAGCAAGGTTTCCCAATCAGCACTGCAGTAGTACGGAGTCCCGCTTTATCTTTCGAAGACACTAATTGCTTTAATCAACTTGTGTCTTTGTCTGCCTTGGGCTCGCCTCCCTAGGACAAACGTTCCCACCGGCAGGATATAAAGTTTTTTAGGGGGCAACTTAGTCAAATTACAACATCGTTCTAAGTGTTCTCGATCATCGTCTTTGATATGGGTACCTATGCCATATGCCTGGAATGACATTTGTTCTTGCGATTGACTCTGGCACGTCTGCACCCGCGCAACTATAGGGAAACGGGGGAAAAAGTAGAGTCCCTGACAAGATCTTTCACAGCCCCAGAGGAGATTTGACTATGAAGCCTGGCTCGCCAAGCTGTATGTATCTCTTGCCAAACTGCAGACCACAGAACATACCTTAGTCGACATCAAACCTATTCTGTAAACAGACCCTTTGTTCTCTGTAAGAATTCCGCCGCCCCATTTTGCACACTGGTACCTATTCACGCTATTACTTCATAGCAACATGAAGCTTTCATTGCTGCTCAGCATCTTAGCTCCACTTGCCAGCGCTGATGTCGGCACTGCTGGTTCTTGGTCCGCACCTTATTTACCAACCAGGTGTAACGGCAACAGCCGGGATCAATTTCCTTCCAATGGATATTTCGTTTCTCTTGGTGAGGGACTTTGGGATAATGGGGCGTCTTGTGGGAGGAAGTATTTAGTGCGGTGCCTTAGTTCGAGTCCCCGTGCCTGCAAATCGGGTACGATCCAGGTGGAAGTGGTTGACTTTTCCAACAACCCCGTTGGTAAAAAGTCAGCTGATGCCACCATGCATCTTTCGTCTCTCGCATGGGCAGCGCTTGTCGACACCTCAAAAGGGGCGAGCAAGATCAATATCGAGTATGCGCAAGTCTAGTGGAGGGGCAGGTGACTTCCAAGAGCCTCGCGAACGCAGCAAATTGTCTGGGAACGGTTACAACTACTTGGCAGTGGAAATTTAATCACTTCTTGTGTTTGTTGATGTCAACACAGCTTGAGTGAGAAACCAGCATTATCAGCTAGTAGACTGAAAGATGAGAAGACTTGATCCTCGTCTCTACAGAGTCTCTGGTCTCATATGCCGCGCACCCACAGGCGGTGCATCCACGTGATGTAATGCTCCAGGCCTAGCGCAGATGATCATACCTCTAGATCAGCAAACCATATGAGTTCAATCGTACTGAGATAGAATTGATGACGGGGAGAAATAGATGTGCTCGGCAGGAGCAGCATTGCTATGAGAAATGACAGCTGACCGCGACAGGATGCATGGATGTTGTCTTGGGTGCGGATCCCGGCTCCGTCCATGCAATCAGCGGATGCTGCTGAAGGATTGGGCAAGTCAGGGTTTGGGAACGGTACGGAGTACACCATATCTTCGCTGCGGAGATTGCAATGCATCCATCCTTCGGCAATTGCTGAGATGTACGTAGTGATATGCGAATATCATGCTACCCTTCGAATCAGCACTAACAAAAGGCCTTTGGAAAGCCATAAAACATACTCCGTATATGGCTATAACATATCGCCACCTTTAGATAGTTACTGTCCGACAAATGATGCCCTCTAACAACATTTTACATGGATAGGGCCGGGGAAAAGGGCAGAAATTCAGGAACATTCACCAGTTTGTGGGGTCCGAGGAAACACGGCAGCGGGCCGTAAAGTCGCTCTCGGACCTCCTCGTCGCAACCGGATCGCCTCCCAGTCGTATCTCGGTCTCGTAGGTAACAACTTGAGTGGTTGACAGTGGCCGCTACGGGTCACACCGACTAGGTCGCTCTCGGAGCAGCGCGGCCGAATAGGGCTTCCAGCTCCGTGTGTGTGGGAGACCAACGAGATCACTTGAGGCCGCCATCTCTTACAGTCCATTTAGTCTTCGCTCTAGAGGTGGTTTCGAACAATGGTGTTACCGATTGTTTGATGGTTGGCTTCGTTCTAGCTCGAGGCTTCCTATCGGCATTTGCAAATGCTGTGTTCGGAGAATTAGGAAGCCTGACCAAGATGCACCAAAACTCAGTAGCTCATAGGGATCCTTGTTATGTTTACGCGAGTTCGGACGATGCAACATTCGACACACTGTTCCTGGGTCCGGATCGTGATGGGGGCCAGCAGACCTTGTGCCTAGACTGCCCCTGAAGCCGAGCATTGTGGTGCAACCAGGCCACGAGTTGTGGTCCACATTTTGTAACTATTCATTCTTCCATGGGGGGGTGCTGAATGCTGATGACCGTTGGAATATTATGGTTCCAGCGGGCCATTGTAAGAACTCCCTCCCGTTGGACGAAATTTCAGTTGCCGCGTGCGTGCTTTGACGTGGTTGTGGACCTAGCTGTTATGGCCCCCTTGTGGATAGTGACGATCTCCTCTGCCCTTCGTTTGAATTAAGCCATGGGTACGCCGCAGAATCCATCCACAATAAGCCTCCCGATGTCTTGTTTCGGTCAATGATCGACCTGTCAAGTCGTCTCGCCTAGAGGCCTCGCCGGGACTCGAAAAGATGAGGCCCATGCAACTGCCAAGTTCCGAATCCTTCAAGCAAGGACTCAAGGACTCCGACCATCCTTGCGACCTCTCTAGATTCGCTACCACCAATCGCTGGTCCCCGTTAAAATTGACTCGTGGAGGAGAACAAGATTTAGGGAGATGAATCGCAACCTTTAATTGTCGGGTGCCCCAGACTGGATCCCGCGGTTGTCTCTTTTCTGTCTTTCCACGTTGTCTCGATTGCAAGATCGACGCAAGACAGATCTGAAGATCATGATAGGACCAGGCGGCGATGCGCCCATGGCGCTGGCCGTTCTTTGGGGCTTGACGGGTCTCGCTCTGTTCTTCGTGCTGTTGCGGTTGTATACTCGACTTGTCATCCTGCAAGCGTACGGCGTGGATGACCACTTCTTCAACCTCGCTTTCGTGAGTGCCAGGAACCGAACATAAATGCATCGCAAACCTTGGCTAACCCTTTCATATCCAGCTTCTCTTCGTCGCCTACGATGTCATGCTCACAATCTCTTCCTTCTACGGCTTTGGTAGGAATATCCTAGAGCTTGAGATGGACAACATGCCGAAAGCGATTTTATACGAGGCAATCGGCAGCACAATCCTCGTATCCGCCATCGTCGTCTCCAAGGCCTCTCTAGCACTGTTCCTCCTCCGCCTCGTGAACACTCGCCTGCATCAGATCTTCGTGGTCGCCCCCGTCATCATTCTGTTTCTCATCGCCTTGGCCTCTCTTCTCGTCTTCTGGTTCTCGTGTACGCCGATCAATTTTCTCTGGGACCGGCTGATCCCCAATGGAAGCTGTCCCATCGATCCGGGCCCCATCTCGACGGCTGCAGGAGCTTGGAGCGTTGTCGTCGACTTTTGGTACGCCATAACACCGTGGGCGTTATTGTGGAACGTTCAGATGCCAAAGAGGGAGAAGTTGCTCATTAATGTGAGCATGAGCTTGGGAGTCATGTAAGTTCTGCCCTCGCCGTTGGAGGCATGCACCTTCGACATCGGCATGCTGGAGTGATGTGATGTTAATGTATGTAATAGTGCTGGCGCATGCGGAATACTCAGAGCTTTGGAGCTCAAGAACCTGAGCAGTGTGAACTTCACCAGTAAATTACCCTTGCATAGACCTCGAACCTATGTTCTCTCTAGTCACCCTCACGTACCATGGCCGGAACTCGTCGTTAACAGAAACACTCAACAGAAGACACTGTCGCCCTGATAGTATGGCATGCAGCAGAACTAGCGGTGACCCTCGTCTGCATCGGCATTCCCGTATGCCGCCCCCTCTTCAAGGGCTGGCTCAGCAAATGGACGTCCCGAAACGGCAGCAGGCCTGGACCATACACCAGAGACATAACCGGATCCAACTTGGGCTTCGGTTTAAAGACGATTGGTGGAACCGACTACACCGTCCGAGTTGGCTTGAAGACGCCAGACTTGGACTTGGGAAGCCTCGCGGGACGAAGCGGCGAAGGGCGGTGGGGAAGCGGGACGAGGTCTGCTGGAAAGGGCTTCGGCGACAACGATAGCGTGGATTCAATACTGGGGCCGGATCATCGACATGGCCAGGCGCGGGACGCGGATATCGAAAGGTACTCTAGTGATGAGGGAAAGGGGAGTAAGCAAAATATCCATGTCTGGGTGAAGTCGGAAGTGGTCGTCAAGTCGACTGCAAGGGACTGAAGCTTGAGAAATAGCGTACACGAGAAAACGTAAACGACGAATTCACAGTGAAGCATTTATCGATCGCTTAGAACTTCTTAGAGAGTGTGACGAATACCGAATGACACGCAGAATTGACCTAGGTCGCCTTTATCGATGCGTTCCGGAGACAAGATTCAGACGATTCCAATGCAGCTTTGCATACTTATTATCATTTGATAAGCTGTAGTAGATATGAGGCAGATTCATGAGTATCTCTTTGAGAGTCGCAAGTTTGAGTGAGTGACAGCCAGTTTCAACTCGAGTAGGCCCAAACCCCATGGATCGCCCCTTCCGTGCTTACTGTTGTCATCGCGCCTTCTCATCTGTTGTTTTGATGGCATTTGAAAACATACCACAGGTTGTAAGCTCAACATGGTTCAATCAATTTGCCGAAGATTCGTCAGTTGAAGCATTGCCAAGCTGATGCATTGAAGCGGCACAGCGGAAGCGATGCCGACTACAAGCCAGATTCTGCAACCCATCAATGTTGGTCGGCAGCGGATACGATACCATTCGATTTCAAGATGCAGCTAACGCCATTGTGGGAGGTACTGCGTTGCCGAAGACGACCTCGTCAAGGTTCTACGGTGGATTCTTTCATCTCCTTATGCGAAGTTGATGCCGTTGGTTCTCGCAACTTCTGAATTTTCACGATAACTCGTGGAAACCAGCTAAAGCCCACTTCTTGTTACTGGGGTCCATGTTGATGCCAAGCGCTTCTTTTCGCGAAGGTGCGTCTTTGCTAAAAGTTTGTAGAGCCTAGATTTCTACCCCTGATTCGGTTGGCGACATATATATCTACATGTATGCTCATCTACTCGGGCATGGTTGGTCGCCTGTCGTAGAAAACGCCTTCTGAACTTCGACCACCTGGAAACAAGATACTCAGATCTGACCAAACAAAAGCTGCCTCTTTTCTGACGATTGATGCGATTTGAGAGATGGAGTTGTGGGACTTCATCGTTATTGGCGGTGGCCTCGCCGGCTCTGTCATATCCAACAGTCTCCTTCACAAAGATCCGACGTTGAAGATCTTGCTGGTTGAAGCCGGGCCTAATGTTAACGGTCTCGAGGCAATCGCTTACCCCAACACCAGCACTGGTGCCGGAAGCGACATTGACTGGGCTTACACGTCCGTTCCGCAGGTCAATGTAGACAATAGATCCATTGCCGCCCCTGCCGGTAAGGCCCTCGGCGGAGGAACGGCAATTAATGGAGGTAAATCTTACGCATTCTGAACCTTTCTTCACAAACCACTAATTCGCTCCCATTTAAGCTGCCTGGGTTCGCGGACACACCGTTGAATACGACCTCTGGGCCGAAGAAGTCGACGAAGATCGATGGAGCTACGAGGGCCAACTCCTCTACATGAAGCTGACCGAGAAGTTCTTCGACGCCAGCATGGGGAGAACGGTTCCATGATCATCCAGGGCGTCACGCCCATGAACCGACACTTCCCCATGCGAGAGAAGCTGGCCGAGTCTCTTGAGGCTCTCGGGATCACAGCCCTGCCCCAGCTCGACGCGAACGCCGGAAACCCCATCGGCTACGGAGACCTCCAGGAGAACCGTAATCAAGGACGCAGACAGCTCTCCTCGGAAGCTTTCCCCCTGGACGGTGTCACCGTCATCACCAATACAATGGTCGAGAACATCCTCGTGTCCAAGAGTCTCAATGGCACCGCTGTGACAGCCAAAGGCATCCGCTTGCAAAATGGAACAGAGTATCACAGCCGTAAAACGATCCTCTCCGCCGGCGCCTACCGAACCCCCCAACTTCTCATGCTCTCTGGCATCGGTCCCGCCGATTTCCTAACGGAGCACGGCATCGAGGTGAAGCTGGACCAGCCCGAGGTCGGCCAGAACATGCACGACCACATCCTCATGCCCACAGCATGGAAGGTCAAGAACCCCTCCGAGGGCTGGGCCTACGAGTCGGACGACCCGCTGTTCAAAGAACCCCAGTACGGCCTCGGCAACAAGATCGACTTCCTCGCCACCGTCACCCTGCCCAAAGAAGGCCTCGCGGCAGCCATCGCCGAAGATGAAGGTGTAGCACCGGGCCCGGAGCACCCGCTCCTCCGCCAGGACCGCGCACACGTTTCACACACGTTGCAGTACAACGGCGCCTCGACGGATGGCTCTGCGGTTCTGATGTTGTCTATCGTCCTGATCGACACTTCGCAGGGCTCGGTGGGCATCTCGTCGGCCAACGTCAGCGACCCGCCCGTCATCGACCCAAATTACCTCAGCACAGCGGTGGACAGGTACGCCGTGCAGGAGGCTCTCAAGTTCGATACTAGGCTTCTGGGAAGCGATCTGACGCCCGCCGGTCGCGAGATCCTTGACGGCGAGCTCACGGCTGACACGCCTCTGACGGTTGATTCCCCTGACGAGGCGTTTGCTGCGCGTGCCCGTCAGGTTGCAGGGTAAGTAACCAAGATCCCTCCCCACGGAAGTTTCTAGTCCCAATAGCTGGGCAGACTGAACTGATATTTGAACACAGATCATGCTTTCATCCTAGCGGAACGGCGGCCATGGGCAAGGTTGTCAACACCGGTCTCAGCGTCAAGGGCGTTGACGGGCTTTTCGTCGCTGATTCTTCCTTCTTCCCGGTCTCCATCTCAGCGAACTTACAGGTGGCCATGTACGCCATGGCGCTCCAGGCTGCGGACATCATTGGGGCGCACGGAAGCAAGTGTCGTCAGGTCAGGACCACTTTGTGATAAGGTGCATGTGACAATAATGCAATGTAAGAGACAGCTAGGCAATTAACTCGTAATCATCAAGAGATTTGAGAAAGGTACAACCTTCACTTCTTGACCTCGGCTTTGGACTTTGGAGACCATATGAGGCTCAGAGTCCGCAATGAAAATACGGGCAATCAGGTTGTACTACTTGTATTTCAAGTAAGAGCTGACCTGAGTTGGAAGATGGACTACATCATCCCGGGTCAATGTGTAAGCGGAAGAACCCTCAGTATCTGGATTCACGAAGCCTCTGATAGTTGTGGATGTTCTCGCTGGGTCTATATTTCGACACTCCCTTCCAGTCTCCTGCTTGTCTCTTTGGGTACTTGATCGTCTGTAACCTATCAGACCTATGTTATCTTATGCGAATTCCGTCGCTACCTCAGTTGACGGAGTTCTTAGTAAACATATTGAAACTCAATGTTTCCAAACGTCATTTCTAGATATCTTGACAGATTCGACTCCTCACTCGTGATGAAGCCAAATTTACTATCTTCTCTGGCAACTGACCAAACACGACTAGGATGTGGGAAGTGCTTCTAAAGAAACGAGACAAGATACACAAGTCTCACGAACAGAGTCAATATCATAAAGCCCTCTTAAGAACTAACATACAGAGCTTCTCAGAAGCAGAAAACGTAGAGACCAGCATGGCCCTCCAGATCTCCCCGCACGCCAAACCGTCCCGACCTCGCATCGGCACGCCCCCCGGCCGCTACAAGCCGAAGACGGGACGGCGAAGGCACTCACGAGATGCCCGCCACTTCCCCGCCGTCCAGCGATCGCGCACTGACCACCCTCTACTGCGCCCTACATGACCTATTAAAATTTCTTCTTTTCTTAACCAGGCCTGCTGGCGAAATGGCATCGCGTCACATTTCGGCTCCTTAGTCTCTCTGTGAAGATTGTAGGTTCGATCCCTACGTAGGTCGGTCTTTCTTTTGCTTTTTCCACGACCTCATTCACCGTGCCTTGGGATATCTTTTTGGGGTTCTTTCTACTGCTTCTGAACTGAGGAGTCAGTTCTCTACACTTCAATAATAATCCTTTGAATATCGTTACCTCTATCTTTCCGTCGTCCGTACCAAATTCCCAGTTGCACCGTCAGCGCTGCACTATCAGCAATATCGCTGCACCGTCACAACCCGTCCGTCTGCGGTTGTCACGCCCAACGCCCTACTGTGACAGATAACCTGGGGGCCCGCGTCCAACCGCCACCAGCTGCAACAACTTCAGGGTCCAAGCTCTGCCGCCCAATCATCTCGTCCGGATAACCTCCTCTGGGGTCTCTCTTCCCCCAAATCCACCGATCTCGGGAGCTCACCCGACGATAACCCATCCTTTCCGTTCCTCCTGTCAAAAAACCACCAAACCCAATCCAAATCCCACGGGAACCCTCACTCACACCGCAATCGACTTTCCCCCCTCCCTCAAAACCGCCGTACCACCAGCATTCGTCGGCACCGCTCCCGCCTTCTTTGGTCGCGTGGCATTGCATTGCATTCGAGTTTACCCCTCACTTGTCATATTTGGGCATATCTACCCTCGAGGATAGCTCTCAATTGCGGGAGAGAGACAAAGAAAGCTTCGCGACGATCCTTCTACCAAACCCTCGTTGTTTCGCGAAATCGCTTCACCACCAAACCACACTCCGAACCTAGCCTCCCAAATGTCGGCCTCTCTCCCCGGCAGCCGCGAGCTTCCCGCCTCGCAGTATGATCTCAGCACATACATGGGCCGCGTACGGCACAACCTGGGCCTCACCGACCCGAGGTACGTCCAAAACCCTCCCAGTTCGCGCGTCGCATCGCAAGGCCACGATCATGACTCCTTTGCGCGCGTCTACCTCAACATCACCACGCCAGCCTCCCCTTACCTCTGCCCTTACCAGAACTCGCACCACGGACCCAAGAGACCAGATACTAACATATCTTCCCAAACAGCACCCTCCTCGTCGGCAGCACAGGTCTCGATCAAGCAAAGTCACTCCTCACCGAGTACAAGCAGGGCAAGATCCCGACAATGACCCCCGAGCTCTGGCAGGCCAAAAAGGTCGTCGACTCGACCCTCCACCCAGGTGCGACGAGCCCGTAAAACAAAAAAACACTGCCTCTTGCGACAAGGGCTCGTTGCTTGTTTGCCTCTCTCCCGGTACCCGGTGACTAACACGCGGCGCATTCGCGCACCTCACCCCGTGTAGATACCGCCGAACCCGTCTTCCTCCCCTTCCGCATGTCCGCCTTCGTCCTGACCAACCTGGTCGTCACAGCTGGCATGCTCCAGCCCGGCCTCGGAGTGAGTTGAGCTCAGACCTCCAGAAGAAGAAGAAGAAAAAGGAAATCGCAGTCCTAACACAATTCCCACGAACAGACAGCAGGCACAATCGCATGGCAAGTCGTAAACCAGTCCCTCAACGTAGCCATCAACTCGGCAAACGCAAACAAGTCCTCGCCGCTATCCTGGCGCAAGCTCGGCGAGTCCTACGCAATGGCCGTCTCCGTCTCCTGCGGCGTCGCCGTCGGCCTCAATAAGCTCGTGCCTCGTCTCAAGAACCTCACGCCCGCGACTCGCACGACGCTCACCCGCCTCGTCCCCTTCGCCGCCGTCGCCTCGGCCGGCTTCCTCAACGTCCTCCTCATGCGCGGCGAGGAGATGCGCAAGGGCATCGACGTCTTCCCCGTCGTCGCGGAGAAGAAGGCAGAGACCACGGAAACAAAGGCAGATGTTGAAGGTACCAACCAGCAGCCCCAATCCCTAGGCCGCAGCAAAAAGGCAGCACAAATCGCCGTCGGCGAAACAGCCTGCAGCCGCGTCTTCAACTCGACTCCCATCATGGTCATCCCCCCTCTCGTCCTCGTCCGCCTGCAAGCCCAGCAGTGGCTCAAGCAGCGGCCCCGCCTCACCGTGCCCGTCAACCTCGGCCTCATCCTCGTGACGAGCTACGCCGTCCTCCCGCTCGCCCTCGCCGTGTTCCCCCAGCGACAGAGCATCAGCGCAGACAAGCTCGAGCCCGAGTTCCACGGACGCGGGGGCGAGGGCGGTCTCGTTGTGTTCAACAGGGGTATCTAGATATCTGTCACTGTCTCTTGCATTTTTCGTTGCTAGGCTACCAAAACTGGGATATCAAAACATTGCAAAGCGAATTCGCATCAAGCATAGGAGGTTCAAAGCAAGAAATGACGGCAGGGGGGGACGTATCGCGGACGTTTCTCGTCGCCCACGCGATGCGATACAGGCAAGTCTTGCCGAAGCGGCCTTTCTTCCTACCTCACCTGTGATACCGTCTTTCCGCCCTGACGTGTTTATCGCAATCGCATCCGTCAAAAGGGGAATAACTCAGGAGGAGGGAGGAAATCTCCGTCCAACCCCCCCGGATGAGCGTAATATGGGATAGAGAACCCGGTGTCAGATCGGACGTTGAACGTGTTTCACGCAGCCACAAAGTCGTCTTTGGCACCCACGGTCGCCAATTCCCCGGTATGTTCAGAACCGCGGAAATGGTAGACATTTTGGGTGATATCATTGCCTTACCTGGCTGGTGGTTCTATATGCATAGCCTGCGGAAACCACTGTGTCTTGATGTATGTCCAAGGAGGGGGTGGTCCACGAGGCGTAGAAGTTGCTTGTAGCCAGGTGGGCAAATCGTCCGCTTCTCAGAAAGGAAATTGAGATATCACGTGAACGAAAACCCCGGGGTAATTCCAATCCAGCTGCAGTGGTCAAATTTGTCACAACAAAAGTGTGTTAAGACATGGCCAGTATGTGAGGCGAGACGTTCGTGTGCGTCGGGCATCGCCTCCAAAGGACTTACACCACCACAAAAGGCAGGCTGAGGTAATCAAGAAGCAATTAGATTCTCTGGATGAGTACGGAGTAATACTGCACCACCATGACGACAAGCGGCAGCTAAACCAACGGCCTTGAATGAAATCTTATCGACCACGCCGCCTGTGTGCCTCGAGAGGCGCGACACCACCTCGACAAGCCTAGGACGGGACAATTACGAGCTTGGCTTAGAATCGCCACCAAAGGAGGGGTGGGATGACGGGTCAGCGGGGTTGCTTACAGCTTATTGAGGCTGGCTCAGCCCAAATAGACCAAGACAGTCCCGTTATAGTCTGTCGAAGGCAGCACGTCTCAACATAACTTATAGGTATTGGTATCACCGCCTTGTGAGCAATAGGGCAGATAAAATCATAAACAGGTATTGGTACTCTTGTAGTTTGATAAGGACGAGCTTTGGGAATCATGGAAATCCTCGCCTGCTAGATGGAGGCGCTGCCCCTATGCACAGTCAGCACATCAATAAGTCCTCTGTCCTACTTACCTCAGTCTATTTTCTGGCTTCGAACGACGAGGTGCCCTGCCACTCTTGCTCCCTTAAGTCAGTGTTGATCGCGAAAGATACCTCTCTATCCGTGGTACCGATCTCAATCCGCCTTACCTTGTTTGGAATGAGAGTGGACGCCGATGATAGTGCGAGACTCTTTGATTCCCTCGAAGCTGAAGTTCGGTGCTTGCCAGTCGTGCTTTCTCCGCGAGCCCGCTTCCTGACTAAGTAAAGCCGTCTGCGGCCCTTGGGTGACATTTCGTCCCCCGATTATGTGCATGCAAAAGGGGAGATGGGCGTTCCTGCGACGCAAGCACGGATCATAGGCTCTGGAAAGAAGAAAAAGGAAAGCTCAGTGGCCCGACGGCATGTTTGCGTTCAAGGAACTGAAACTTTCCAGCCGTCAGTGGTGGCAGATGGCAGCAGCACGCTCTGCCCAGGATGATGCATGGTGCGAGAGCGTCGAGACTGAGAGAAAAGTCGCAACCTGCTATTCAGCTCGGGTGCAGATGCTTGTCTGCTCATGCTGGCAGGATTAAGCCATTACCAGGCATCGCTTGTCTTGACAGGACGGCCGGGCAACCCCCCATCATATCGTTGAATGATCTTCATGAGGGGGAAATATAGGCCGCTTGTTCTGGGCCTCTCACCACCAATGTTTCGCGGCGAGGCACACCTTCTGGGCCTATGCTTGTCTAGTCTCGGTTGCCACGGGCTCAGTATCTTGGAGTCATGCAGGCACTTTACGCCACGTACCAGACAGGTACACCGCGAAGACACCATGCGCGGATATCGTTGCGACTGTGTGCCGGATCCCTCTTAAAAGTCTCTCGAAACTGTCGAGTTTTGTTTGCGGCAAAGACGTAAGCATGACTGACAAACGATGTGTGACATGGAAATTGAAAGTCGAATCCAGCTCTACGATTTTCTATTCAAAAATTTGACAATGGTGTGAAGAACGACAGCCCGGTGACCGATGGAGTATGATGGAGTTGCGTGAGCCTTGACTCTCGAGGTGCAGTTGCGTTTGCAGGCATGATGTTGGTCGGAGAGAGGGGCCGTTGACAGCACAGATTTCCTTCTGTCCGCTCCGCCCTGCCCTGCTCTGTGCTGATAATGTGGTCTCCCAATGAATTTCGAAGAGGAGCTTCACAAGCCTCCTGCCTCTTTACGCTCAAGTCGGGGTATTCCTCACTGCCTCCGAGCCTCCTCACAAGCGTCGTGATGACTGCGACCCTTTGCCTCTTATCCCCACCGCGTTATGAACTGCAACCATGGTTGGTCGTTGGCGGTAGAAGGTGTTGCTCCCCAAAAGCCCCATTGGCGCATCTTTGGACGGGAAGCAGGGATGTAGACGTTAGGAAGTGCTTGGAGATTCGTCGGTGATTGTGCTGCCAGTGTGCACTGTTGGGTTGCCATAGAGGAGACGGTGGGATCAGATCAAAAGCAGCGGTATCCATAGGGATGTCAAGCCCAAAAGGCGGCCAGTGCTGGCTGGTTGGATTAGTAGGTCAAACGCTTCCATTTCCGTGGCTCATACTGAAGAGTTTGTTGTCTTTCCTTTACTGTGCATGTTGGTACGGATCATTATTCCCATTAGCTTTTTCGGTGCGATCAGATCTTGGGCGACTGTGTGGAATGCGTGGATCATGCTTTTGGGCCGTGTTTGGACTGATGCTCAACGCCGCCAACCGCCAGCCGGTGGTTCCCAGGTTGTTGAAGTCTCCGGTGCCATGCCATGAGGTAATGTAGTATTAAAGAGGCAAGAACAACCAGAGTGAAGTTTAAAGCCTGTATCAGGGCCCGTTTAGGGGACCCATCTGGTCTGCAATATTCGAACTTTCTGACGTATTGCAGCAGCCAAAGGGCGTGGGATTTCGGAGCAAACCAACGTGATGATGACCAGGTCGCGTTTCCTCGAATTAAGGTAAGATGTGCAGGGCTTTCTTTTGTCAGCACGGAGCCCCGATATGTCAGGCTGCCGCTGCGTCTGCTGGTTTGCCCTGCCTGCCGTGGAGCGGTAGCACTGGGGCTGGTTGGCGGGGACTGGATCCATCCATCCAACCTTTTCGTTTGTCCACCCATCGTGAAGGCGGCTGGTGTTGAGGTGTACGGGTGTGTGCTCTGTATGAATGGTCAGACCAAGCCGGCCCAGTCCAGTCCCGGCCATTTCAGGCTACTAGGAATGGTAGCTCAGGTGTGTGATATTGTTCACATAAGTACTGGTTAGGAGACAGCGGTCGAGTACAACGCAACGGCGAGAGAAAAGAGTATGGGCTAGCCATGATTATACTGTGATGGAGTGACAGAGTGACGGAGCAGCAGCGGCAGCGGCAGCCCATCACTCGCTGCGCAACGACGTGACTTTGAAAGAGGCGACTTGCCCAGGCCGGCGGGACGCTAAACCCGTCTGGAAGATTGTCGTGGAGGCAGATTGGCGGGCAGCAAAGTTGGGGTGGAGGGCGGACTCTAGAGCGACCCGCCAAGTGCGTAAAGTGGGTGAGAGGAGGAGCGAGAAGCGTGAAGCGTGAAGCCGTCGGCGGCCACTGGATTGGCGTGTCTTTGATTTTGCGAGCGTGACAAGTCAAGCCTTGGGCGAAGTCATCGGACATGGGTTCCTTGGGCGCACAACCGCAAGGGTACAATACTGTATTCGGTCTTTTCGAGATGGTACATGACCGTCGCCGTATGTCTCGTCTTTCCCTTGGGACTGAGAATGGAAATGATTGATGGAAGCATTTGGGCGTGAAGACAGATAAAGTCCCAGACTATCGAGTCTTGAATGCCGAAGATGCCTGCCATGCCGCGATCCCGGTTATTGAGACGTGGTTGAGGAGGGCTTGTCGGTGGTGTGTTCTCTGTCTTGAAAAGGAAAGAGCCAGCGGGAGCCGTCCAGTTGGAACTTGGAGGGGAGAGGAGCCGACTGGGGGTGAGTGCGTGCCGATTTATCGAAGAGAGGGCAACGGAATGACTTTGTTGGCAAACGGTGCGGCATATCAAGTCTGCAAGGTATTGTATGTGAGAAAGCAGATAGACAAGAATGTTGGAGCAATGCAACGATGACAGTCTAAAGACGCTAGAATGCGGCCAGACGGACAGTCCCATTCACGCCATTGAAGCACCGCTTGAGAAGTAGCGTCCTTCCTTCGTGGGCTCCGTGGCTCCTTCCGTCCTTCTATCGCTGGTTTCCATGTTACGGTGAACTGGGCAGGTGCGTTCGTACGTTACGCCTGCCGCTCTCGTTCAGAGTTCTTGCCTCACCAGAAATGGCGGGGCATTCCCGTGCTTCGCCTTCCTTTCTTTCATCCAATACACATATCTGGTACCTGCCTCGAATCTTCGACATGGCAGCTATCTTATGACTTACCTAAGGCACCTTGATTTAAGTGCTTCGATACGATTCAAGCAGACAATGAAATGAAACCTCAAACCGTCTTGGTGCACACGAAGGGACCTCGACAAGCAAAAGCCGGAAACCACCCATAATGATGTCGGACCGCCAAAGCCCTCCGAAATAAAGTAGGTACGGGCCCCTGGAAACAAACCTGGAAATATGGTGTGCGTAAGACCGAAATGCCCTGTACCTCACATCGGTGACAGGCCCCTTGTTCCTGCCGGATGTACAGTAGGCGAGAGGCTAAAAGCACGGAAGCACCTGCAAGTTGCAGCCCACCCAAGTACCTCCCGTCTCGTCGTCTTGTCTGAATCGAAGCACCAAGTCCGAGGATTCCCTTCGGAGGGGAGCCATATGGATGCTCAAAACACTTTCGCTGCGGTTGATGATCCGGCGGGCACAGATTGACAACCTGGAACACGCCCTATCTCGCTTGATAAGGAACAATAGCTACTCCGTATCCAACTTGGAAAGACTGCCAAAATACGGATAGGTACCTTGACTTTCCGCCTTAACATATCATCGCGAGTACTCCGTACGGACATTTCATCTGTATCCTAATCTCATCATCCTCAGGTCCTTATTTTCAAAATCTGCCTCAAAGACGGCCTCAAGCGTCTGGCACATGTCGGATCAAGTTGGACAGATTCAGCGCTGCACTGCACGGCACTGCTTCCGCTGCGGCAAGGACATTCTGAGAGATGCTGAGTGGGTGGGTTTTCACGATAAGATACTCGCGTCATGGCATCGATCTGCAGCCGTTGTCAAGTACCTGCTTTAGCCAGTCCGAAGGTAAAGGTATCCGTACATGTGCCATCTGGCAGAGATGCGCAAGCAGGGCACAGTCTTGAAGTACCTCCATCCTACCTACGCTTCGCCCCGACCCCACTCTCCCACTCCCTCCGATATATTACCTGTACCAATACAGACGCTGAGGCGGAAACTTTTGTACCTGTGTAAGGCATTCGTAAGAAGGCTCGAAGGGTAGTAAGGTTGCCAGATATTCAACCTCAGGCCCAGAGTACCTTATGGTCTCATGCTCTTGAGCAACCTCGAAGAAGCCTGGGACGCTGCAAGATTCGTATTGTTCCCGGTACCGTTGAAGAGACCAACTTTGATGGCGACCGCGAGACCAAATACCCGACACCCGCACCTCCGAGTCTGTTAATAGTGACCGGCTTGATTTATTATGCTTCCCGGTGCACATCAGTCTAGGGCCCCTCCATACCCTGCCAGTGGTCCCTTGATTGTCCCATCCTCGACTCGACGGCCGACGCGTGAGAAAGCGACTGGAACCTGTCCGTCTTGCCGCCTACTGCCTTGGCTTGAAGTGGGCTTAACCGGAGACTACGGAGCAGGGAGGACTCATGAGCAAATCTTCTCCTCTCTATCCATCTTGTCAACTTTCCATTCCCCAAGATGGACGGAGAAAAGAGTCAAAAAAAAAAAAAAAAAAGTAGAGTAAAATGGAAAGGCAACCAGTCATTCGTCTCACTGCGTGAGTGTGGTAGGCACCTTCCATGGCTGGGTACCTGACCAGAAGTAGCCGAAATGCGCGGGCCAGCCGCCAGACTACCTACGTTTGGTTAAAGGTACTCCCGGCTGTATGGGGCTGACGGCGTAATCACAAGTATCCCACATCGGAGATTCTTAACCAACGTAACCTTTTTCCCCATCTCGTTTCTTCCGCCGCCTGTCGTCCCCCATCCACTTTTGGCTGCTTCCATTTCCGCTCCCACACGCACTCGTTGACACGCACGCTACTATGTACCAAAGTCGCCAAAGTACACGCCCAGTCAGTCACCCACGCCCACACTCAATCGATTCCCCTTGGCTTCATCGCCTGCACTCAGGACTCCAAGTTCAGTGTCGGAGTGTCCACCACCAAGACGTCCTCGTCCTGTCTTGTCCTCTCGTGCTCGTCCCTCAGGTCGTCTATTCTCCACAATTGGTCGCCTCCTCCCGTCAGGGCCCCTCCACTTGCTCACCTCACCAACTGCTGCTCCCCACGGACCAAGAGAGTGAAGCGGCCGGTCATCCCTCGGAACTTCGTCACTTTTTTCGACCACAACGTCCAGTCCATCCACCAGGGCACTCTGGAGTCTGCACAGCGACCGGCGGCTTGTTTTTTTTTTCCCCAGCTCTTTCCTCATCATCATCAGTCAACCCTGCTCCTGCTGTTGATTTTCCTCCGACTTTCTTCCGTCTTCCACCACTCCTGGTAGAAACCTCCTCCTGTCAAACCGAAGAAACTCGCGTCGCGTCATAGCCTCTTCGATGTAGCAAAGAGGCTTTCCCAGCGGGTACAGCACAGCACAGTCCACAGTACACGCATACGCCTGCCTACCTACCATACCCGTCCATCCTGTCATCAAACGAATCCTCGACGACCCCCGTCCACCTTGTACGCTGTACCCGTACCAGCCACACTTTGCACACGACTCGGGAAATCCAGGCCGGAGACCCTGCGGTCCCTCTTCAAGGTTAGCTAGCGGTACCGCAGCAGCGACAAGCCGCCCGTGGCAGAGCCAGAGGCAAAGACCGGAAAGCTGTTTTTACCCACTCACGTCGTCAATCTGCAGCCCACTCCCAGACACCACCAGTCCACCACTGGCACCGGCAACCAGATCCAGGGGCCGCACACAGCACACAGCGCACACTCTTTGCTGAGGGAACGCTGAAAGCCGACAACACTGGGCTTGCTCTCTGTTTTCCCTCACTCACCCTCTGTTTTTCACGCTCCCTCCCTCCTCTTCCCAGGGCTGATATACCTTGGGACTAACCCCGAACTCCACTGTTTGGATTTGGGAACCCTCCACCCTCCATCATTGGATCCCCCCCAAAACCAAAGTACAGCCGGGCACGTACTCAGTACTGTACCCAGCAGCACTACCAGCACCCAGCATCCAGCGCTCAGCGCCCAGCACACCGGCACAGCGAGCGCCTGCGAAACCACCTTCCTTCCGCCTTCCCTCCATCATCGAACCTTCCTTCCTCGCCCTCACCATCCGCCCTCGCCATCCGCCCTCGCCCTCGTTCTCTGTCTCCAAAGGTGATTCTCTCGACACCGGCAAGACACGAGGAAAATCATGTCGACTCCCACAACGGCTACAGCGACATTGCCTCCTCACTCGCATTATCATCATCCCCATTATCCCTACTCACATCAGCCGTACCAAGCCTCTACTGCCACCGGCTCTTCGTACCGACAGCCAGCGAACCCAATTCTCTCTACTTCCTCATCCACGGCGACGACGAGATTGCCTCCCGCATATGCCAACTCGTCGAGCATCGCCTATTCTACCACTTCTACTGCGAGCCACGCCGGTCCAAATGGCCTAGGCCCTTCAGCCTCGTCAGCCAGTTCGAGGACCATTCACGACGTCTCGAGTCCCGACGCGAACTACTCGCTCACCACCTCCACCATGCCTGCCTCCAACTCACTCTCCCAGTCCTCCCAGTCCGCTCGCAAGCGAAGACGATCAAAGGAGCCTGACTGGAACAAATTTTACAAAAATGGCCTGCCCAAGGAAATCATCGTCATCGATGACACCCCGGAGCCAGAGCAGGGCAAAGCCGTCGGCAACGGCGTGAGGGTCGTCTCCAATGGTAACGGCAGCGTGAATGGCGTCACCACAAATGGTACCACCAGCCGACCTGTTCCCAAGAAGCGGAAAAGAGACGACGAGCCTCAGCCATACGACCCCGTCTACCACAACAAGTACGCCGGTTCCCACACCACCACTCCTCATCACAACGGCACACCCAACGGATCGACCATATCCACCGACCGCACTACAAACTCAGCCATCCACACCACCGCAGCCACGTCCCTCTCTTCAAATGGGCACGAATATTACGATGCTCAGCCTGGTCAGAAGCGTAAGAGAACCCGTCAACAGATTGCCCAAGAGGCCAAGAAGAGAGAGGTCGAAGGTCTCGGCGACCCATTCCTTACATACAAGCCGCCTCCTTACCCTCCCAAGAAAGCGCCCGACGTTCACGTTCGATTGGTTCAGGATGTAAGTATTCTCGTCTCGTCCCGATACGTCTTTATCCAAATGCTAATGGTTTCCCAGCAGGGGTACAACAAGAATGCTAAAGTTGACGATGATGATGGACACTACATTGTTGTTCCTGATGCCGACCTTACGGACAAGTGTATGTTGAGCCCTCAATCTATTGACCATCAGGTGCTAACGTTCATCGCAGATCAAATGGTGAAGCTGCTCGGGCAAGGAACGTTTGGCAAAGTAGTCCAGGCTCGAGACCGTAAGAGGAACAAGTCTGTCGCTATCAAGATCATTCGGTCGGTGCAAAAATACCGAGATGCCTCGCGAATAGAACTCCGAGTCCTCGCAACACTCAAGGCCAACGATGACGAAAACCGCAACCGCTGTATCCACCTCAGGGACTGTTTCGACTACCGCGGTCACATTTGCATCGTCATGGACCTTCTTGGCCAAAGCGTCTTCGATTTCCTCAAGAGCAACAGTTTTGTTCCCTTTCCCAACAGTCAGATTCAGAGCTTCGCTCGACAGCTCTTCACCAGCGTTGCCTGTGGGTTTGCAAAAATGTCTCTAGCCAGGCCTCCCACTAACAGATTGCAGTCCTGCACGATCTCAACCTCATCCACACTGATTTGAAGCCCGAGAATATTCTTTTGTGCGACAGCGCCTACCAGACCTTCACCTACAACCGAAAGATACCCTCTTCTTCTACCACCGTCAATCGACAAGCGAACCAGCGCAGAGTCCTACTCGACACGGAAATCCGCTTGATTGATTTCGGTAGTGCCACTTTCCAAGACGAATACCACAGCTCCGTCGTCAGCACCCGTCATTACCGAGCGCCAGAAATTATTCTGGGTCTTGGATGGTCCTTCCCATGCGACATTTGGAGCATCGGATGCATCCTAGTCGAGTTTTTTACCGGCGACGCTTTGTTCCAAACGCACGACAACCTGGAGCACCTAGCCATGATGGAGATGGTTGTCGGGCAGAGAATCGACTCCAGCCTCGTCCAAGCTGTGAACAAGATGGCCACTAGAAGTGGTGGAAATCCTGCCTCTAAGTGAGTGGTCCATGGCACAGTTGGGCAAGGAAAATGCGTACTGATACTGTGCAGATACTTCAAGCGGTTGAAACTTGACTATCCTACACCAGAGACAACACGAGCTTCCAAGAGATTCGTCAAGGCTATGAGAAGATTGGAGGTATGCAAATTAGGCTCTCAGGACGCTAGAGGATGGCTCGCTAATAACTTGTAGGACATCATCCCTTCAAACTCAACCTACTTCAAGAACTTCCTGGATCTCCTTCGGAAGATCTTCGTCTACGACCCCCAACACCGCATCACTGCGAAGCAGGCATTGCAACATCCTTGGTTCAAGGAACCCGCGACACCGGACGATGGTACGGAAGCGGCCAAGATCCGCCTGGAGCGAATGAGACAGGAGCAGGATCATCGATATCACGCATGATCCCTAGCTATACGAAGCTGTTTTCAAAACCTTACGTCTATAACGAACAAAGCCGAGCATGATATGGGAGTTGGGCCGTTTGATATCTGGTCTGTACGATGGGGGCCGACGGAATTGGAAGGGCATGGCGCTCGTGCAGCTTGATTTTTTCCGACATGGGCCTCATCAAAGGTTAGCCATGTTCTGCCCTTTAATAGCAGAAGGCTTGATGGCATGTGGGGGTTTTTTGGGTTGTGTTTCGCGGGATAAGGGTCAACCTCGCAGTAACACGAGACAGTAGCACGAACGATCGTGCCGAGCCCTGGACAGCGTTGCTAGTAGAGACGTTTCGATGAGAGAGATGTCGTGCCTTGTCGCCAGGCCCAATAGAGCGATTCTCCTGACCGCCGCAAGCTTTCTCGGCTTGCTAACCGCTTCTTCAGTCTTCTGGAGTGACCACTGATCGATGCATTCAATTTATTTAGAGACCCCACCTGATCCGAGTAGACTGTTTCAACCACCACAGTGTCTGGGAACTTGGCTATCTGCAAATGAATCGTCTTGTGAGTCGTTCTTAAAATGGTTGCTGCTTTGATCGGGTGTGTTGCTTACATCAGCCCCTCTTTGGTTTTAGGTTCGATTGAACGATGCATTTGATCCCACCGCTACTCACGAGTTGCGACTGGGATGACTGCTGGCACCACTCGAGCCAACCCCAGGGACTTCTCCACACGTGACCAATTGCAGGTGCGGCGACAATTTCTAGCCCTCTGCTGTCCCTGGTATTATTGGTCGGAATCGATGCAGATGATGCGACCACAGCCGTGGCCTGGTATTGACGGGCGATATCGACAAACCCACGTAACAGGAAGCCCACGCGCCTATTCCACGGTTTAGAACTGAGGGAGATTTCAACAAAGCAGGACAACGTCTTTCGCTTTGTTTGTCCCAGCCCAACACTGAAAGATACCTCTTTGCATTGTGTGGCTTAAAGCCAAAGGATGAGCCTGCTGTCCTTGGTCAGGCAAGTCGTGGTTCAAAGACAATGTCAACTTCGAGATTCTTCGGTGTCGACATGGCCATTCCGTCTCAGCGGGTATAGAAAGACGGCCTGCTGCTGCTCTTGGGTCACGTTTGGCGAACAGTAAACAGCCTCAAATTTAGCGATATCTATCCCGAAATCTTCCTAACGATTCACTCACAAATTTCACATCTACTTTTCACAATGTCCAGCCCGTACCAAAGTATACACGATTTATCAAATGGTTCTGTCAGGAAGTTGGTTCGATACCTTTATCTCCCGGCCGAGCACAGCATTGCGAAACCCCCAAAGAGCTGGCTCAGGGAGCAAGAGGAGATAATGAAACAACTGCCCACGGATTGTCTCCGTCCACCCAGCAACATCAACCCATTTAACTTTTTTACTCGCCTTGCGATGAAGCACAGCGAGAAGCGTAGCCATTCGTTCATACCGCAGGCCGCAGTCCTATGCAAGAGCCATTATGGCCTGAATCCTTGGACAATTCACGCCCTTTTTGCACTGGTTCTAAAAGAGATCACGGTGGAAACGGCTAGCTTGCGACATGACCGACAACGCGGTAGGGGTCCGGAGTTTACACCGTTGATCAAGGAATTTGTTCGTCGTCTGGACGGCATTCAGGCCTTGTGGATGGACACTTACAACTTCGAACTCCTCTATGGCCGCCAGCCGAAAGTACTGAGCCATGTCAATTCACATTGTGAGGCGTGCATCTTGTCAGCACTCGGATCTCGTCCCTCTTTCCTCGGCGACCTTCGTGCTAATCTCATCGCCCGGACGGAGAGAATCTCACCATGCTTGCAGAGGGTTGTAGACGCGTGGATCAATGAGTTCCCAGAGACTGCACAGAGAAAAGTCTTCAAAGACAGCGCGAGCTTGGGTGAGGAAATTCGGGCCATGCTCAAAGAGGTCAGAGCAGCGCGTCGGCAGAGACGCGAAGCTAAGCACTCGAGAGGAGCCGGAGCTTCGGAGGACATCAGGAGGACATACAGACGTGATACTCCGCGCTCAATTTCGGGCGAGCAGTCGACCACGGGTGGACGGCCTTCAACGGCAATGAGCGAGGACCCTTTTGCTGACCCAGATGATGAAGACCCCGACACTGAGAACCAGCCGTGGGAAGATGCGGTCGGGGATTATTACGAGCAGCTAGCCCGCCAGAACGGTAACGGGGGTAAACTCGATCGATCTTCCCTCCACCCGGCCTTTGGCGGCCCAGCCCCTGAACCCAACGCCCAGTTCCGTCGAGACTTTGGTACAGGAAAGGAAGTGGATCGGAAAGAACAAGGGGCTCTCTGGGAGGATGCCGTTGCTAATAGTCCAGCTAGGAAAGAACAGCGTCTACGCGCATCTGACTTTCCCCCATCAATGGTCCAAGACGACGCCCGACGACGTGATCGGTTTCGACATGTAGACTCCGCAGAATCCCAACCGAGCACGCCTCCGCCCGCCACGCCTCCAGCCGCTACCCTCGCACCGCCGTTCCGCGCGTACGCCGCCGAAGTCCCGCGCAGCCCGTCGTATACGGACGCCAGCGTATACTCCAACAACGAGCCTGCCCGACCTCACCCCAAACCCCCCTCCTCGCTCGCGTCCATCGTCACGACATGGCCCGAGATTCAGGCCCGCTCGTCTTCCGCCCGTGGACCCCGTCCCGGCGGGGTCGTAAGTACTTCCTCCCCCTCCACCCAGAATAACAACCTCGTGACACAGGACCGCCGCGCCACAGCTACGAAGTTTACTCCTCCTTGGGTGGGGTTCCAAATGTTGCCGACAGAAGCGGAGTGGTATCTTGCCGAGCAGGAGAGGGTAGCGCAGCTAGAAGAGATGGAGCGCATCGGTCGGCCGAGTTTCAGGGACCGCGTTGATTCTAGGTTGGTTGCGTCTGAGGATGGAGGAGAGTATGAGGATGGGTCGAGAACGCCGACGGCGGGGTCTGCGCAGACTGGGACTTGGGTTGAGGAGTCTGGTGGCTGGAATGTAAGGGAGGTGTCGCCTTTGAGTAGTGATGATGAGGGTGAAGATGGGCGGAGTGTTGTGACGGTCGAGGGACGGGGCCCTATGAGTGAGGCGTCGACGATTTATCCTGATGATTCGCATAGTGTGGCTAATGCTCGGCGGTGGTGAAGAGTTTGCAATTGCTTGGGTGTTGCGAGATTGAAAGGATTTGCTTCTGGGTTTTGGGTAGGTAGTACTGATAGGTTAGGCGTTTTAAGGGCGTAAGATCTATGCAAAATCATTTGTAGTTTTGGTTTCCATCTTCATGGTAGTCGATACTGTACATATTACTGGTCTTCGCCTTTTCATGGGCAGAAGAACAAGGCACGAAATCACGCGCATGGGCAAGGGGGCACATAATTCGATGAACAAGATTGAGCTATCTACCGTTGCAGTATTAAGGTAGGGACACTCCAAAGAGAAGAAGAAGAAAGCAAAACAAGACCGGCCCTTGCACATTCTGGGGCATTCGTTACCTTCCCTTCCCTCCCTTTCTCCTTCCTCCAAATCCACTCCCTGATCGAGAAAATCCCAAGATCCATGGCCATACCAATGTCCACCATTCACCGAGAGACGACAAGCCTTGTGTGTCCCGCGAGGTCAATAAGGTATGGTCCATGATGGCCAAGCTACCGGTGTATCTGCTCATTCCGCCGGCACGTCTTCTATGAGATCATCTTGATCTCCGAAAACATGGGTGTCGAAGGAGCCTGGTTAAAAGAAAATCAAACCCTGATTCCCTCAGGATGAAAAGAATTTGTGTACTCTGACATCCAATTAGGGAAGGGATGTTTGATGACGAAGGTGCGAAACAAGACCGAAAGAAAAGAGCAAATGAATGAGCCAGTGAAGAGTTCTCGGACGCGAAGTCATGTATATGTTGCTGTCAGATGCCGATATGAAGCTGCCAATGAAAGCTGCTAGGTCGGATCGTTGTTGCAAAGCCACAAGACGTCGGTGTCCAGTGCTCTCTTCTTAGCTTCGAAAACGGGTCGTGCAATAGGGAATTTTGGGAAGGGTTCTTCGCAACTTGTTGAGCTTGGCTCTTTCTCGGTGACTGAGTCTGTCCTTTGGCAAATGTCAGCTCGAAAAGTTCTTTTAGACCACCTTGCCGTTGGATACTCACCCCCAAAACTATCATCATCGATCGAAATACCCGATATCGGGTTTTCATTCGACGGTGACCAATCTAGCAGAGGTCTCCGATGCTTGAGCGCATGAGGCCAGTATTTGATCTCGCTCAGCAAAGCTTAGGCTCCAAAGACATCATCGCTGTCATGGCTATCGTCGTGCTGCTTGTCCTTGGAAGCATCCGGTGACTTGACTCTTCGAGCACCAGGCGGGTGGTACTTTCCGGGATAGTCGTAGGAGCATTCGGACTCGTCTCCCACGTAGAATGTTCTGCACGGGATCTTGTTCGCCCAGTGCTGCCAGACGACCTGGTCGTACCAATCGGCGCCGTGTGGCTGCTTCACCTTGTAGACCTGCTCAAGACAGCCGACCTTCTCGAACTGGAAAGACGACATGAAGTCGTCCATCCACTTGAGGCCCTGTCCGCCCTCGCTCTGAGCCATCGTGTGAACAATAACACCTAGAAATCCCATTAGCTATTGAATCTGACACTCCTTTCACGTTCAATCACTTACGATGAATGTCCCGGAAGTCAGGCTTGTGGAAGGCGTCCTCTTGAGCATTCGGATCAGCCCACTGGCACTCGACATAACCGTGGTACAAGATGGAAACCTGGCTGAGGAGCTGATGAAGAAGGGCACTTCCGATCCGACCACGTCGATGCTTAGGGTGGACAAAGGCAGTAGCCTTAACAGTCGGGGTCGCATTGCCGGTGAGCCCTCCAATACCTGTCTCGTACGGCCGGAGGTAGGCGAATCCGTAGACGGTAGCCTCAGAAGCCAGAACATCCGCCGGCTGAGACTTCCGCCACTTCATATATTGTCGGTAGGCATCGCGAGACGGCCAGTTGTTGGGATCGGTTAGGTCAGTCGTCTTGGTAGTCGCAACGATGAAGGGCAGCTGCTGTCTTCTGCACTCGATCATGATGTATTCGAACCGCTCAACAGAGACCGGGTAGGTATCGGTCACCAGGGGATCTTTACCGACAGCCAGGTTGTACATCTCGGCGCAGGCCTCGGCATCAGCTCGCTGGGCAGGGCGAAGTACGCAGTCTGCCAGAAGACTGTTTTCGTCCATAGTAGGTGCCACAGTGGCCTTTGTCTTCGCGCGAAGCGCAGCATCTCTCTTCTCGTCACGATCTTGAAGGATGGCCATTTCTTGATGGGCCCGCTCTTCCTGCTGCAAGCGCTGACGAATGGCGATGTTCTTTCGAACCATGATCTCGCGATGAACGAGCAGGTTACTGGTCCAATCACGGCGACGTTGAATCATCTCGGGCGTCATGTCTTTGTCGTCTTCAATATTAGCCACAGTGTTCGGCTGCTCAATGCGGTCGATGAGTTTTCCAGTGTCGGTGCTGACATCGTGGTGGTGGTGATCCTGCTTCTCGTTGAGGAAGGAAGTGACGAGCGGGCCATCCAGAGTATGAAGCCAAGTCAGAAAAGATGGACTGCCGGTGGCTTTCATATCGGAGCTAGTGACTTCTTTGGGATTCTCTCTGTACTGGCCCGACGAAGCTCTGTCGTCATTGCTGACATCCCAAGACGAGTGGCTCTTCTTCGACTTGGTAGTGACGCCCTTTCTCTCCGGAAGATCCTCGAGCGCCTTGGGTGTCAGAGGCACTGACTTCTCCAACATGCCTGATAGAGGAGCACGCGGGTTAGCATAGTCTGTTGAACACTCTGTATCCGACTCCGCGAAGTAGCTAGTCGTAGTAGTTGGCTCCTGGGCTTCGGTAACTGGACCTTGGATCTTGTGATCGATTTTTGCCTTGATTTTGGCGACCCTCTTGTGAGGGGGAACGTAGTCGCTCGACATTGAAAGTCCAGAGGGCATCATGTCGTTCCCCACGTCGTCGTCGCCGTCGGATTGAATGTTCAAATGCAGAGCAGCAATTCTTGCCTCTCTCTCCTTCTGGGTTCTCTCGAAACTTCTTACAGCGTAGGCTCTGCGCTCGGCGAGGTAGTCGTAGTCAGCGTTCTCTTGGCCTTCATTAAAAATATCTCCACCAGGGGCTCTGCGGGTGTTGAATTCGAAAGAGATTCGGCGAGCCTCAGGGCTGGAAGTGGGGTCATCTAAGAAGGAAGGAGGTGGAAGTCTTCGCTGGGGGACCGGAAGATTCATGGCCCATCGAATAGAGGTTGATCTTTTGATCGGCCCGGTGGGCTTCATGGAAGGGCTGCTCGAGGGAAGAACCACCGCCTGGGCCTTCTCACTGGTGTTATTCTCAACCACGGCCGGACCGAGAGAGGAGAATGTGAGTCGAGCTGAGCCAGCCTCCTGCGGGTACAAGCCGATGGACGACCAAGGATAAGGGCTGTCCGGTCTGGAAATGCCTTCGCCACAATGCTCTTCATCTTGGCTGAATTGGTTCTCATTGTCGTCAGAATGCTTCTCAATGGTGGCAGGCTCTTTCGACAACTTGAGGTAGAGGTGTTCGCCACGGCTTTCTTCTTCATGAATGGACTGCTTCTCATTGTTGCCATTTTGGTTCTTCAAGATGACAGAGACTATGGGGGTTGGCGTGCTGGGATCGATGCGGTCGCATTTGACATGTTCGCCAATTTTCTCCTCATTGGCGAGACATTCTTTGAGAATCGAAATGCTAAAATCGAGATCTTGGCCACGATCCTCTTCATCATGGCTCAAATGGATCGCATGGTCACCAGATCGCTTCCCTGGGATGAAAGGCTTTGCGGTGGCCGACAGCTTGAGATCGAGGTTTTTGCCACGATTCTTTCCACTGTGGCTAGACTGGACTTCATTTCCACCAGTCTTCTTGTCCGGGGTGAGGATCCCCTTTGGATCTGACATCTTGCAATCGATGTGTGCTTTGACCAAACACAATGAGCTTGCAACTGGCTGAACAATGGGGATTAGCTAACTTAGCACACTCATGTTTTTTTTGTGAATCAATTTTACAGCAGATGAGTGTACTTGCCTAGTTACCGGTATTTCAGCGTCAGTGTAGAACCGTGAGTACCTCAAGGAGTACCTAGATGAGGTCGTGTTGTGCTTTAAGCAATGAGAGCGCGTCGGGTGTGAACCAAGGCGACCTGAAGTAAAGGTGAAATGTCCGCTCTTGACTTGCAGGAACGAAGCAACAGCGAACAAAAAAAATAAGCTGGCACCTCGAGATTGATGAAGGATTCCAAAATCACTTCTACCGTGGGAGGATGGACAGTTCGAAGGAAGTGAGAAGCTTTCGGTGCAGCGGCTTGAGTGAGAAAGGGTAGAATTGGTACAGAGAAACCTTAGGGAGAAGAAGGGAAGTGGGTGAGATGCGCAGTAGGAAATATTTTGAAGGTGAGGTTGTCTGGTAGGTAAGAGGGAGGTACGGCAGCTCACCTGTTGAGAGGCAGGAACAGGCTTCACCCAGAAGCTCCTTCCCTTTTCCCACCTGATCTTGGACAGATGCATTTGGCTGGCCCAGCATCAGCCACGAGATCAAAATTTTTGTGTACTTAAGAACCATAATTACTTTTTAGAAAACAACCGATCATTCTAGCATAAAGCAATAGTGGAATGACTGGTATTACCTGCTCAATACTACACCGACGTGTAATCCATCTAGAAGCCCGGGAACCAGGGAACATTGTTGTCTATTGAGATTCAAGTGCCCCTCATATTACTCAAGATATTTTATATCATGGATTGTAATTATCATGTGAGGCTACCGTTGTGGCGTGGTGAGAAGTATCCAGCACATGTATCTGGTGATGTTAGTCGTCCATTTACTCGGTGTGGTCGGTAAGCCCCACTGGTGGTGGCCTCACCGAGCCCAGACCGACGCTGCGGGGTCACGTGTGGTCAATCGATCCATTCAGGCAGCGCCGACGAACCTCTGCCTACACCGGCTCTTCTACATGACAGGTGACAGAAACTCCGACGTTATGAGCATCCCCAAAACCTTGGAACGTCTGAAAATAAGTCTGTTGTCGATGCATCCGGAGGAAGTTATACCTATCACTTCGCCATGTTGTCCATCTTAAGAAAGGCCCGTCTCAGAGACAAGGAGATGCGAATCCTGATGCTGTCAGTGTTGTCCACCCATTTGCGGCCTCTTTCCTGCGCGCTGATGAACTTTACAGAGGTCTCGATAATGCGGGAAAGACTACGATCGTCAAAAAGATTATGGGCGAAGATGTCACCACAGTGAGCCCGACATTAGGTTTCATCATCAAGACTATAGACTACGACGGGTTCGTCGACAAAATCTCTCCAATCCGTTGTCGTGCAGGAGTACTAACTGCTTACCAGATACAAGCTAAACATTTGTACGTCCTCACGCTGATGTATGTTTCATTGGCGGCAAGTCTGACTGGAACAGGGGATGTGGGCGGACAAAAGACACTACGCTCGTACTGGAGGAATTACTTTGAAAAGACAGACGCGTTGATCTGGGTCGTCGATGCCACGGACAGACTGAGAATCGAGGACTGCAGAGAAGAGCTCCATGGCCTGCTGCAAGAAGAGGTTCGTTCCGGCGACGACACGTATACAAGTGGATGCGTACCCGGTTCGGGTGCTAATTTGGATTGACAGCGACTTTCTGGAGCGAGTTTGCTGGTGTTTGCCAACAAGACCGATGTCAACGGATGCATGGACGAGCAGGAAATTCTCCAAGTTGGTGCTCCGAACAACATCTTGACCGTTGCTAGGAGGGATTGGCTGACGTATCTCTTCAGGGGCTGCAATTGGAGGCGATCAGAACACATCGCTGGCACGTCTTGCGGTGCAGTGCCATGACAGGCACGAACCTCAAGGAAGGCCTTGCTTGGGTGGTGGACGACGCAAAGAAGAGGCTGTTCCTGTACTAATGGCAAGTGGGAGTCCAGGTATCCATTGGCGGTTAGCTTTCTTGCCAGATCACCACTACTACGATGCGGCTCCTCTCGTTCTCGAGGCTTAGCGATCCGTTCGAGGATGTCCTGGCCATATTTTTCTCAGCTAGTTCCCGGGCGCGCCGTTGGGAAGCTGGGATGGCCAGGAGAGAAGTGTGGACGGGCATAAAGGTGGCCGGGTCGAAAGGGGCATGGTGAAGCGTGTCAGGAAGTTCTGGAAGGACGGCCCCAGGAAGGGCCGGATCCGAGTGATTCTGTGGCGGCTCGGGAGTCGGGATCGACGTTGTGTAACGGAGTGACGGATAGATGGGATACCTAGCGTCGAGAGGTGCGAACCCACGTTGGTTAATAGGAGATCACCACTATCCGTATTAATAGGATAGCAATATATCCTCTGAGGCTGAAAATGATGCGCTGCGTCGACCTACTGTACATGTGTGGATGGGGCAGTGATGTGGTCCATTGGCATTGCGTGAGCGTCTGACAGACTGTCTGCTTAAAATCGGGTCGCTGCTTGGTCCGAGGATGCCCGAGAAGAAGAAATACGAAATGAGGGGACACTGACTGTAAGCCGCCAACCGTCAACGTCAGCACCAAGTTAGATTGTCAGTGATTCTTCACGGTACTTTCCAGCAGAGCAAATGCGGCGTCTTTTGTCCGGGCTGGACTTTGTCGGGCTTGGAACCGAATTGCATTCATTACAGCAGAGAAATTGCAGCCGTTGAAGTTGAATACCGGGCCATCCCTCCGGAAATCATGGTTTGAAACGATGTGATTGAAACGCCCCATCTAGCCAGTAAGGGCGCTTGAATGTCGAAATTTGGTGCAAGGGATCTCAGGTACGAAATAAATCCATTGTGAGACAGGGGTTGCCGGTGTGGAGAAGCGAGTGGCCAATGCACACCCGACCTCACCTGGGCACCTGGGTACGTAGTCACGTAGTACATACGTACCCTTGTTGTTTTGGTTCCACTTTCTTTGTGTACATCCATCCACCTCGAGGTCTTCTTCGTCTTCATCTTTCTTACGAAGGCCAAGTCAGATGGCCGCAATGGGGAAGCTTAGCTGAGCTGAGGGGAGCTGAGTTGAAACCCCTTTGAGCAGCTCGCTGGAATCGTTTGAGACATTGGCGCAGAACTTGGAGTTGACGCCGCGTACCTATTTGGGAGAAATTGTGGTTAATGTTGCGCAGTTGCGCCTCAGAGTCTGTGGGCAATGGGCATATCGAAGAAATCATTTTAGAGACCTCCATGCCCAGTCACCCAGCGCCCAGTGCTACCTGAAGTGCAGGCTGCTGTTGTTAGGGGGGCCTGCACACCTGCCCAATTAGCAAAGGCAAAGGAAGAAAAGAGGCAAGCTCGGGCGCGGGATGCAACTTTTCGCATCAGCACGCAGTAAGCATCCGGAAGGAAGGCAGTTAGTTGCCAGCTGCGCAGAAACCTGCTTCCTTCCTTCACCTCAGGTCGTCTGTGTTTACTTTCGACCATGCAGCGCCTCAGTCACCAGTAATAAACACAATTGCCTACCCAGAAGAAGATTCTATTCCTTTCTGCATCCAAACAAAAGCAGGCCGCGTTCAGAGCTTCTCCTTGCTTACGAGCTGCATTTCCCAGGATTGTGGTTCATGCTCCTTAGCCTCAGCCGCCGCCCATATCGCCAGAAACTCGGGTACCACACGCATTCGACAAGTTTGTCGTACCTAATCAAGGCATTTCTTCTATCCAAACAACAAAGTCACCAGAGAGACCAGAGAGACCCGGCTCCAGCCTGTCTCCATCCACAACGCACACGTCTTCCATCCGTACCTAACCGTGGGCTACGCTACCTTGCCTTACGTCTGTGACGTTGCTCCGCTCTCGCCTTGGCCCAAGTACCTTGCTTTGGCGCCATTTCCCTAGCGGCACCCATCCAAAAGGTGACGAACCAGAGGTACCTTACCTTGTCCATCCTACCTTGGACCTTACCTTATCCCATCCCATCCTAATCCCGCCACGGACCAGACACACCAAAGACGAGACCGACTGAGGGCGGGAAAAAAAATAGACAACATATCCTTCTCCAACAAAGACCTCTCTACCTTACCCGTTCGCCTTGCCACGACATACGTCCTAACCGGGGGGATTCCTGCGCATACAGAACCACCTGTTTCCATTCCTGCTTCCTCCCCCACTCGCAACCGTGTCATGACTCTGTCTTCCGCCTCAACATGTCGGAACAAACAATGGACGACGTCTCCAAGTTTTTGCAAGATGTCAAGGAGATGAATGCTCGCCGAACCGAAGAAGACGACGCCCGACAACGCGAACTCGACGAAAAGATACAACAAGAGAAGAGAGAACGACAAGCTCGTCGCGCCGGTACGTCGACCTACCTTTTATCATTCTCCTTGCTTCCCCCTCCTCCCACGCCTTGCCTTGCCTTGCCTTACTGCTGCTTGTCTCTCCCCTCACTGCATCATCTACCTACCACCGTGTCTGCCCTCAACAAGCTTTCTTTTCCCGACTCGGCCAAGGCACAAATCCTACTTTGCAGCTTGCCGTGTGCCATTCATTCTGCTCGTGCTCGTGCCGTGCTATGTTCAGGTTCAGGTTGCCCTTGGCCCAAGAGCTGAGCTACTGACGGGACGGCCGCCGCACTGGGCGAGCCGCGGGCGACGCCTCAACCCCTTGACACCCACCCCCAATAACCACCACACACGGCCTTCGTCCATTGTTTTTCGCAAGTGTCCCTGAGGGAAAATCATCGACGCTCACTTTTTCTCTGCAATTGGCACTGCTCTTCTGTCCCATCTCGTTGCGCAACTGTGTTTATCCAATAAGAAGAAATACTCTGATTCGCATTTTCTGACAACGTTTGACAGAACGCGCTCGATCCATTTCCCCTCAAAAGTCATCCCCGGCCAACACCCCACCACCCTCCTCTCGAGGTAACACGACGCAGCTTTCCGATGACCTAAGACTGTCTTCTCCTGGTCTCGAACATACCGGCAGCCCTCGCCCTCTCTCACGAGGTATCGCAGCCCCCGAAACTATGGATAGCATCTCCACCTCTCCAACCAAGGAGAACGATTCCCCCTTCGACGCCGACAGCAAGCGATCGAGCGTGACCTCTCCTACCGGCGGCGTACAAGGAGCGCGGCCGTTGTCGTGGCAGAGACGTCCCAACTCTCAGCATTCGGATCGATCCAAAAGCCGTCCCCTCTCCGTCGTTGCCGCCGAGAATGCGACCAGGACCTCGCAGAACCCTACTCCAGACCCCTCTTCCGCCACCGAGCAGACCTTCTCTCGGGACCAAATTTCCCAATCATTGGGCTCCAAAGACCCCGCGTGGTTCCGTCAAACGGCCGATCGTGCCAGCGTCGGCTCGGCTGCCAATCGCAAGAGCCAGTTTGAGGATACCGATACCAACGACATGTCTTCGATGCGTGCCCATCAGCTTCCCGGCATGAGCCGCAGCTCTTCGACAGACTTGGCTGCCGAGCAGTCTAGTCCGACGAAGGAAAACAGACTGGGCTCTCCGCTGTCACTCAGCAGCTCCCAGAGACTCGACCCACCTGCCGAGATCTCCGAGAGTGATCCCACAGCATTGCGCAGAAAGTCAATCATAGGATCCGGTCGCTCGTCGCCCACGCGACCTGTTTCTCCTACCAAGGGCATGGGCGGTTTCGTCCAGAGCGCCATGATGAAGAGGTCAGACAGCGTCAAGAGGTGGAGTGTAACCTCTCCTCCTGGCCTCGTGCGCGCCGACTCAGCTGCTTCAAGTCGGCCTGAGTCTCGCTCCCGTCCGCAGAGCATGTACATGCGGGACGGAGCTGCTACGCCTACCGGATCATCTCACTCTCGGTCTCTGTCTCGCCCCGCCTCGCGCCCTACCTCTCGTCATAGCAACCAGGAGCAACAAGACGAGATCGAGACTACACCCAAAGCACCTGTTGCAGCAGCAGTACCTCCGCCCGAAGCTAAGCCCGAAGCCAAGCCCGACGTCAAGCTGGATACCAAGCTCGATAATAAGGAGGAGGACGACAAGGATGTGACACCGCCATCAAGCCCTTCGAAGACCATGGATTCTAGGAGATGGAGCCCGACGAAGGCAAGCTGGCTGGAAACTGCGCTGAATAAGCCAGAGTCACCGAAACCTAAGCCCCCGCCAGTATCGAACCAGCCAGCTTGGATGGTGGAGCTCAACAAAGCCAAGGCGCACAAGGCTGCCAACCCCAGTGCCAACCCCAGTGCCGACCTTGGCCGAAGCGGCTCAGTATCATCGCAGAAGCACGAAGTCAATGTTGGTGGGCTGATGCGTTCATCACCTATGGGAAGCCACGTGTCCAAACCCTCTGTGAGTGGCCTCAAGGGTATATATGCACCGCCAGTGCAAACTCACAAGACCGGCGGCAGCATCAGCAGCCCAAGCTTCCGTACCAGTACGATCAAAAGTCCGGCGAGCGAAGGCAAGCCGGGAGGAGATGCCCTGCCCGTGGATGTCCCAAACCGCTCCTCGGTCACTGATAGCCCTGCCGTGGCTAAAGTCAAGCCCGAAACTCCTCCCAAGAAGGACTTCCGCGCTGGTCTGAAGTCCAGAAATGTCTCTGGCGATGCTGCCTCGTCCAAAGAGCCCGCCAACGAGCTGCAGAATGTTTTTGGCAACTTGCGACGGGCCAAGACGCAGAATTACGCAGCGCCGGATGAGCTGAAGGGCAACATTTCGCGCGGCAAAGCGGCCTTGAACATCACGGGTGGGCCGAAGCCCAGCGAGCGCAAGGATGAGTTCAAGGACGCGATTTTGAAGAAGAAGCAAGATTTCCAGGCTGCTCAATCAGAAGGCAAAGGCGTGATCAGAACCAAGTCCAACGCGTCTGAGAATCCGGTTCCAGAAGCTCTGTTGAAGAGACATGCGTTGAGCAAGTCGATCTCGGGCAGGTCAGACGCGACTTCACCCTCTGCCCTCGAGCATCGAAAGTCTGTAAGCGAGAGGCCAAAGTCATCGTACAGGGATGATTCCAACGAGTCGGTCTCTTCGCTCAGGTCGCCATCAGTCAAATCGCCCTCTGCTAGATCGCCGTCGCTTGAATCGCCTTCTATTAAGTCACCGGTGTCACCCGGGCCTACGGCTGAGGCTCAGAAAGATGGCATTGCTCCTGGCCGGCTTCAAGGACGTGCCGCTG